ATGGTGGGAACCAAAACCAGGAAATCTATGGAATAAAGACAAACGAGAAGCTGTTTAGAGAAATAGCATCAGAAGGTTAGAAAATAAGAACTGGATTGTCCGACGACTCCCAGGGAGTAGGTATCGTATAAACAGAAAATACTAAAAGAGGGACTGTCGTACAAAAAGAAAAAAAAAAACCTGAAAAGTAGTTGAAGAAAAGACCTTTCAAATGAGTGTAAAAGGAGGCTGTAGACTGGGATCTGGGCTGACGTGAGCTGGAGGATGCCCAGCTTGTTTTAGGATGGATGATCAATGTTGTTGCGAATAAAAACCATTGTCTCTGCCCAGCTGCTCAGCTGGAAGCACTGTGAAGGGTATGAGTCTCTTTTGTAGAATGAATGCTGCATATTCCTGGCTCTGTTGAAGGGATACACATGTCTTGGGTGCATCACACCATCTGTGTCCCTAATACCAAAGAGTATTAGATGCAGGTTGACAAAGAGCCAAGGCGTGGGGGACCCAGAGTGTTCATTGTGGATACTGTTGGGAGTTAGACCATCTGAAACCATTGAAAGCACTGTCTGGCAAGCTTCCTGCTGCTTGCCCAGCTCACACCAACTTACTCATTAGAGCTTTGGATTGCAGGGTTAACAGGAGCTGATCGGGAAGAATCCCAGCTCTCCAGTGACCAGTCTGTCCCTCCAAGACTTGTATTAGTGGATGGCGGTTGGACAGAGGCCAAGTGCACTCTGGCATTGGAAGGTGGAGAGAGCAGAAGGGAGATGCTCTTGCTATGGTTGGATATCACTGGCGGGTGCCTGGGAACAGGGTGCACGTGTTGGTCTATTCCGAGTGTGCGATTGCAGGTATATATGGATTGAGCCCCAGGATGGCGGCTTCCGGTTTCAGGCAAAACCCAAACCCAACATCTGCTTCACCTCTGTCAGCTGCCTTATCTCCCGAAAGATTAATGGGAGCTTTGGACAGGAATGTCGCAGAGTGCTGCTGCTTCACCTCCAAGAGGCCTTTTATAGCAATGAGCAAACGTTCGAGTTACAAATGGACTGAATGTTTTGTAAAGTTATATTCTCAAGTCAGCTTCTTATTTACCACCTGTCCTCCCCCTAGATATATACTGGATGTAGGAAGGAAGTTTGACTTGTTGTCCTGGTCAACAAGCCCCAAGATAAAATTGATCATTTACTTCATTGCTGTTTAAAGGGACATTGCTGTGTGCAAATTGGCTGCCCAGTTTACCAGCAGAATACACAAACAACAAATCCTGTGAAGCCTTTTGAGATGCCTCGATGACATAAGATGCTGTTTCAAATGCAAGGTTTATACTTACAATTGTTTATTTTATTTTTGACTCTTGTGACTCTCCTGCTTGGGAGGGGGAGGTAAGTGGGGTCTCCTTGCAGCAGAACTGGCTCCAAAATAACAGAATTGAGTTGGAATTGAGCCAGCCCTCTCGGTGGCGGTCTCGGTAGTCCAGTTCCTGAGTCATGCAGTACTCCAGGGTACTGCTGATGACAGCACAGCCAGCCTGGCCTGGCTATTTGCCAGCACTTGGAAGGGTGGTCCTTTAAAAATAATAATGAGTCCTTACATTTGATATAGAGCCTTTCACGTCCCAAAGTGCTTCACAAGGACATACTATAAAGTGGAGTGACTGTGTGTTTTGTGGGCGAAAGTGGCAGCCAGTTCGTGTGGAGCAATGACAAATAGTCATTTTCAGCAAGATGCTATTATGTGTGAAGTGCGCAATATAAATGCAAGTTGTTGTTTGTATCACGTAACAGTTTGACAGAGCTGCTAAACCTTCTCCAAGGCATGAATGTCCAATCAGCCCCAAATATTTCTTAAAATAACATTTGTTGCCTGTTTTTTTGGGGGGTTGGGAGGGTTATTGAGTTGACTGTTTTGGTTTATTGATTGATAGAATTTTATCCGGTGCACTGCATTGTACAGTATTTTACATGTTATTTTCATGCTACAGTTCCAGTCTCAGAAACAAGTGTCTCGCCTTTGTGTGTTTGATTAAAACATAACAAACACAATATCTGGGGGTGTAGTTGGGGAAGGAAGATTTCTTTGTGCCCTCAGTTTAAGACTGGCTCCGTGACGATCCTATGTGTATCTGTATGCTTTCTTTTGCAGTGCATTTTTGACTTCTGTAAGATTTGCATCTGTTTAGTCTTGTTTTAAAAGTGTTTGTGCCCGTGAAGAGCTCCTTGACTTGAAGTGTTAACCTGTCTTTCACTTGCAGATCCCGATCGGCTCCCCATCTGATCCCAGGTTTTGTTATGCAGTGGCAAGTTCTATATAAAAAAATCTACCTCTTTGACCGCACCTTTTCGTCACTTCCCTCTTATGGTCACCTCCCCCCCCCCCAAGGATTGTTATCCAGGACACGGGGAGGAATCCCTTCTTTTTTCGAGCAGTGCCGTAGAATCTTTAACGTCCACCCAAACTAACTGGGGTCCCAGTGAACTGCTTTACAGTAACATAAAAATAAAAGCTTCACACCTGAATCCGTGCAAAGCTGGATGTCACAAGAGGGTCAAGCCTAAATGAGCCTCTGCATTCACTGGACTCTTGGACTCTCACTGTGTCTGAAGCTTTTGCCTTCGAGTGAGAAATCTGCAAGCAGTGCATGGAACCTTTCAGGCAATTCCCTTCCTCGTAGGTTTGAAACTCAATGAATCTTTTCAACATTGTTTGGGCCTTTGAGGTACTAAGTGCTGGAATGCAACTATCTGACTGGTAAAAACCTGAATGACTTGTTGGACAGGTTATCTGTACTGTGATTGAAATTCAGTGCATGGTAAACATTACTGTGCACTTTAAAACCTTTTCTTTAGTAGAAATTAAACAGTTTGGGATTCCAATTTTCCAGAGTTTGTGACTTAAGTTAATATCCTGCTGATACAGAAATGCTAAAGCCCCCAGAACACTGGAGAACACTGATATGGGGGTTTGTAAACAATAAGTTGCCTGAAACATTCCTCTTTATCCTCCTCCCTTTACCATGCACTGATTTATGATGTGGCTTCTTCCTGAATGTTTACTGTGTTACGCTAAGGCCTGTACCAGTTGTTGCATTAACTTGACAAAAGTGCAAGGATTGTTATTTGCTCTTTGTTGGATGCTGGGTGCTATTACTACATGCTCCAAATGGTTCACTGGTTCCATTTGCACGCCTGAAAACATGATGCACCTCGACACCGGGCTCTTATTATGCAACAGTTTCTTAATAAGGCACCTGGATGTACATCATGCTGACTCGGGTGAATTCTGCTCTGCTGTCATTTTCGCTGGGTCACTGGGGTTGTCCCATTCCTTTTTGGAGAAATCACATTAGAAATGGCAACTTGTTGGACCCACCTAACTTAAATGGTCACTGCTCTTAAGAACTTACTTTTCTCTCTTACCCGCATTTAGAGTGCACTGGCCCAGGCAGGTCCAGAGTCTGTTTGGAAACCTTTTCTCTGATCACCTTGACTAGCAAATCTGAAAATGGTTTTCTTCCTGCAGATGTGGTTCTGAATCTGTTACTGGTGGACCAGCTGGTAACTGTGCACGCAAGGCTCTACCTGCTAACCTCAGGACTTGATGAAAATGTGCTCATCGCAAACTGAAAGTCTGCAGCGTATATCATGTGCTTTATGAGCCTTGTGCAAATGCAAGTGTGCAGAGAGAATTGCAAATAACCAATTGATAGGGTTTATTAATCTGACAAGCATCAATCCTTTAGTTAATAATAATCGTACTGTATTTGGTATAGCACTTTCATGTTGGGAGGAATAGTACTTCACAGGATATACTGTAAAGTATAATGATTGTGGAGTCCTGTAGCTCAGTGGTTAGAGCACTCGCTTTGCAAGTGAGAGACCTGAGTTCAATTCCAGGCAGAGGGCGAAACCTTGGGCAAGTTTCCTTACTCCGCACGCCTAATAATAATCCCTCCAAAACAAAAACAATAATAAATTGGTCATTTTCAATCTACGACTGTTTGTGGGACATTGCTGTGCGCAATTGGCTGCCGCGTTCGCCCACAAATATACAGTCAATTCACTTTACAGTCTATTCTGTGAAGCGCTTTGGGACGTCCTCCCGACGTGAAAAGCGCTATATCAAATGCAAGGATTATTATTATTATTATTATTATTGATTTGCAGGCAAATGCGATAGTAAATTAGTGCACAAATAACCATGGAGTGAGTGACCAATTTTATTTGGGGAATTGATGGGCAAGACACCAGAGGAAACTCGCTTCTCTTTTCCAATAGTGGTTAATTTTGTAAAGAAAACTTCAGTAAATACCCTCTGCATTTACACACAGCACTGGGTGGTACTGTCTCTGAACTGTTCACAGGTCCTGTTTCCATTTCTGGATAAAGTGGTGTCTTGTTGATCATGCTGTCTGTGGAGTGTTAAATGTACGATTTGTATGAGGAATCACAAGTATGATATGACACCCCCCTCCCCTCCGTTACTTTGGCAGAGCACAGTTCTCACAGTTCAGTGTGACTTTAAGTGTGCCTTCAGATTCCTTATGAAGCGGTCACATTAGAAATGGTTATTTATTGGAGTCCTACAACCTTGGGGAATGTCAGGCTGAGGTGTTTGAAGTGAACGAGAAATAGGTGGTTTCGTGGGACATTGCTTTGAGCAAATTGGCTGCTATGTTCATCCACACATACAGTAAAGCTCGAGAAGCACTTTGAAATGTTTCAGTGACTTGATAAGGCACTAAGTCAAATGCAAGCATTGTAATTATTATTTATTATTATCAAATGTTTACAACAACCCAGGTGGGGCTTTGGGTGATCATTCCACAGTCAGTTATCATCTTGCCCTGAAGCAGTTTTGAAAACGAAGTAATATTAGCTTTCAACATTGGCCACTCAAAAGAGTAATTGGGATGGGAAGGATAATGTACCATTAATTTTAATCTATTTTCATAGCTTGTAATGTTCAAAATTTCAAGCCTTTTTTGTTTTGTGCCCCACAAGGAACTGGAGGAGGCTCTGCTGATAAATGACATTGACTTCCTGGATGACCTGATTGCCTGTTTGCTCCAAGGCTGCTATCAACGCAGGGACATCACGTGAGTAATCAGCCAGACTGCCTTGTCCCACTGCTGTGAGGGAGGGGCAAAAACTGGGGCATGTTAGCTTTGCTGGTGATGTGTTTACCAGGAAGTACCCGAGGCCTGGACATTTCTCATGGTCTTTGCCTTATGATTTAAATTTTGTTGCCGTGAAATTTAAGATCGTGGCAAAATTACTGGAAAATTCGTAAAATTTGCAGCCTGACTAATAGTTTTCCACCATGCACTTCAATCCACTGCAGATGTCAGTAGTTTGCTGTAGGCTTCCTGCACTAGCTGTTTGGCTTTTGAACTTTACACTGTACATGGTGGCTCTGGTCTCTGCAGAATTCAGTGCGTTTGTGTGTGTGTGTATTCACTAAGTACTAAGCAGATGACTGTGCCCCCCCCCCCACCTCCCGCGTGTGTCTGGGCTTCAGACTCTTAGTTATAAAGACTCCCCACCCCCCCCCAAAAAAAAAATTCAATTAACGTATGCGGAACACTGTCCTAAAAAGCCATAGATGCACTTGCAATGTTTAGCAGGAAGAGAGGTGGCTACTGGGATGAGGAGAAATGGATGGAAAGATCTTTCCTGATCTGATAAACAGGCAGACCAAGCTGGACTGGCTGACTACTTCCTCTTGTTCCTATATTTCTAAGAAACACTGCTCCATAGCATCTGCAATCTCAAAAACAACACGATGGTGTCTAGATGAAGAACATGATTATTATTATTACGAGGAACTTCTTCACGCAGAGCGTGGTGAGATGTGGAACTCGTTGCTGGAAGGTGTTGAATGTTGAAGCAAAAAGCATCAATGTATTTAAGAAAACTTGATGTATACATGAGAGCGCAAGTATAAGAGGGGTAGGACAATTGTGGAATATAAACATAGCTTGATTTGGGCTGAATGGCCTGTTTCATACTGTATCCCTCTGTGTTAACTCCAAATCATTATAATAATAATATAGAAGGACCAGCTCACGAACACTGGTAATATTCTTCCATGATTTGTATGTATATAAGAAAAGTCTGCCATTTAATTTTCTACAGCCTTAATCCTTTTGTGAAATGTAGACTAAGGAGGAAAAGTTGCATATCATATTGACGCAAACCTTGAGCAATGTGGAATTAGGTTGTGCAGTGGGTGCGGATCTGGTTCAGGGCTGGGTGGTGTTCTGTTTCTGTTTTTATTTTTTTTGGTTCTTGAATTGATTTCCTTTAGTTTCTGTGAAGTGGAGACGTGATTGATCTCCGTCCCTTGGTCCAGTGCTTACGGCCAGGATGTAATCTTTTATTGAATTAGGCAGTTCAAACTCCCAAGGGACACTTTTGGGTTTAAAAAGCGTTTCTTCTGACTCGTCTGTACTCTGCAGTGTTCTCTGTTCCTGCCCTTATGTTCAAACAGTGTGGACGCTCCACTCCCTTGTGATTGAGGTTGGCTTAAAAAAAAAATCACTTTTTTAAACCCAGGAGTTTTGAGCTCTTCCTTTCTTGGCTCAGTGGTGAATTTCCACCGGGCCTGGGCCAGGAATCTTGCCAGGTGTGCAGGGGTCAGATTGGTTGATCTGTGCCAGACCAGTGATCGGGGCAATGCAGATGGCCTCTGCTGATCACCTGTTGCGAATTGTCCATGGATGGAAGGAGAGTGAGCACAGGATCAGGCTAGTAAAACCTTGCAATGCGCCCGACACTCTGCTTCTAGGCCTTGCACAAAGTGGAGCAGCAGCTCAGGTCCATATAATACAAATTTGCATTTATATAGCGCCTTTCACGTTGGGAGGATGTCCCAAGGCCCATGGCAGCGTTGGGTTGGCACCCGAGCTGGGAGGGCGGGGAGGATGAATGGGTGAGGTTGCTTGAGTCAGTTTCTTGAGATGAGGAAGGAAGGGAGAAAATGAGCTGAGTTTTGCAGAGGTAAGATCCTGGTCCTCACCTACAAAGCCCTCCATGGCCTCGCCCCATCCTACCTCTGCGACCTCCTAACCCCCTACCAACCCACCCACTACCTCCGCTCAGCCGGCTCTGGCCTGCTCCACGTCCCCCGACCACCCACCCCACCATTGGCGGGAGAGCCTTCAGCCACTCTGCCCCACAACCTCTGGAATTCCATCGCCCAGTCACTCCGTCTCGCCCCCTCCTTAGCCTCCTTCAAGTCCCGCTTCAAGACCCTCCTCTACGACCATGCCATTGGCCACCCCCCTTCTCCCCCCCCGACCCCAGCTCGGGTCTGAAATGCTGCACACTGTCCAGCGCCTTGGGACGTCCTCCCGACGTGAAAGGCGCTATACAAATTGCAATCTCATAGAAGGTTATGCCAATGACTTGCATCCCAGTTGTTTTTTTTTCTGTCTCTCTCTTTCCTCTCCCCCCACCCCACTCCTAAACAAGGATTTGACACTTGCATTGCATTCATCGAGTTGAACGTTCCTGTCCAGCTATCCTCCGAGACTGGGGCAGACGCTGTGAAATGCATCGACTTCCGTGCTAGTGCAGCTGGTTTGAGCTAAGGTGTTCTGCCAGTTCGACAGGTGCTCTCGAGCACCTTATAGAAGTACATTACGCTTGGTATGTGAGCACAGGCACTGAGTGTTCTCAGGCTATTAGACTACAGCTCAATCTTTGCCCAATCTCCCCAAACACAATCAAACAAGGGTTTCACTAAATAATGATCAGTGGGCATCCTAGCTCATATCTTTTCCCTCCCCCCTTTCTACCTAGGGGATGATAATAATAATAATAATCCTTGCCTTTGATCTAGCACCTTATCACATCATTACGATATCTCAAAGATCTTACAGCTCCCCATCTGAGATCAGCTAGTTCACGACAGAGCAGGAATCCTTCTAGGTTTGATAGTCTGGGCAGTGACTTTACCAATTGACCCAGCGGTGAAGGAGAGCCAAGCACTCAAGAAGCTATCTGTAAGAAAGAAATGTAGAGAGGATAAATGGGAGCTGAACAGGTGGAGGAGAAACACAGTACATGAGCATGAGTCCATGCAGAGACAACAGGATTTAGCAGGACAGATGACAAGAGCTGGTTGGCAATAGTGAGAAATATATTGGAGATGTAACTGTTTTGGCAAATGCTGAAGAAACATGCCCAGGGCAAAGAAAATTTGCATCAGTGGCAAATTGCGAAACACACTTGTGTTTGACTGAAAGGAAAGAGGATTGAAAGGAGCATTGTGAGGTGATGTAACACACTTGGTTGTGATAGTAAGTTGCAAATGGGTTAGTGGAGGAGCTGGCGAGCGAGAGAATTACTGTCTGGGTGATGCACTCTCTGTGAGGAGGATATTAATGGTGTAAGGTTTGCGACCTGCCAAAGGATCAGCAGTCAATATAATGCACTCTGTTACAGCGCTAAATTGATCAGAAATTAAATTAACCAGGAAACTAAGAAGGCAGCATAAGTGACTGCGCCTGGAGACATGGATAGAGGGAATGATGGGAAGATTGAAGTGCAGAGAAGTTGTTGAAGCGGGTAATGGAGTCCTGGAGGGGAGGTGTGGGAGCAGAGTGTGGAGCCCAGAGTGGCAACCACTGGTAAACCGGTGTGATCTGTAAATGGTAGGGACCTGGGGGGAAAATATAAGTCATTGGAAGGAACAGAGTTGCAAAAGGCAACAGGGTTCAGAATCATTGAAAGATCTGAATCATCAAAGAATGTCAGAACCAGGTAAAACAGGAAAGAAAGAGGCAACACAGATCTGAGGATAAAATAGATGTTTGCAAAGAAAACAAATGGTTTGTTTGTATTTTCAGTACAGGTGTAAGAGTGGGTAAACTCGCTGGGAATGTGGATGCCTGAGGGTTGCGGCTGGGTGTTGTTGTAGCAAAGCACTCTGATCCAGTGAACGTTCAGCTGTTGTGCATCGTGATTATTTCTATACATTCTACACCAATCGGAAATCTGTTTGTTTGTTTTGGCTGTTTTCTTGCTTGCCTCTTGCCCTGTCCGTCATGGGGAATTGGGGGTGGGGGTGGTGGCTTACACCCATTCCTGATTGATGCAGCGATTATCAGCACGTTCTGAGTGAAGCCAGCTGACATTCTCCCTTCCACGGCCTTGGCTCAGCTTCTAATAGCTGAGAGACCATGGCACGGAACAGGGTCTTGTGAGAGGCAGTGGAGTAAGTGCGCTGCGTCCCTGGCCTGTAATTACAAAATGCTTTTATTTATTAATGAAACTGCTGAAACGTTAATGTGCCATCATTGTGGATAGCAACGGAGAGGTGGGGGGAGAGGAAGGAGAGAGGAGGGATGAAATGTTCCTGAAATATAAATGGTGGCACAGCATTGCACCTCAGTGAGTGTTTGCATTGTGGTCTCTGATGGCCTGTGACTGATGCGTTTGTTGCTCAACAGACCTGACAACTATGACGTGTACCTGGAAGACATTATCAAGCATCGGTGGGAGCTCGAAGAGGGACGACCAAACCCACTGAAGGACACCAAGCTGCAGGAGCTTCCCATTCGCTTGCGGGTGGAACTGTTGCACAGACTGTGCGACTATAGGCTGGATGCAGACGATGTGTTTGATCTTTTAAAGGTACATTTGGTGTGGCCACTTTTTCACGCTTTAGTTTAATGGGGGGGCGGGGGGGAGAGGCTTAGTTTATGGACACAGACTACTGTTTTGTAACAGTAACAGGGTTATTCTGTAATAGTAAACACGGTGCAACACCCAAGCTTGCAACGCAGAACCAGCCTCAGCAAGCGATGCAAAATATACAGACACTCCACGTCACAGTATATCCTGTGAAGCGCTTTGGGATGACTTGTCGAAGTGATAAGTGACAATATCAAATACAAGGATTATTGTTATTACACTTGGATGCTTGCTTGGGACGACCTCCCGACGTGAAAGGTGCTAATACAAATGTAATTTTGATGTTGTTGCTATTGTCTTATTCATTTGAGTTTGGTGGAGGGGGTTGGGAATTAGAGGGAGGGAATTGACTTTTTCCTAGCATTTTAGAGATGGTCTTAACAACTGCTTTTCTTTTCTGTATCTAATAATAATATTAATCCTTGCATTTGATGTAGCACTTTTCATGTTTTCTAGACGTCTCAAAGCGCTTCACAGAATATACCGTAAAGTGAATTGACTGTATATTTGCAGATGAAACGCGGCAGCCAATTGCGCACAGCAATGTCCCACAAACAGTCGTGGATTGAGTGACCAAATTATTATTGTTTTTTTTTGAAGATTTATTATCCTGGATAAAAGATCAGCCAATCGACTAACAACCGGGTTCCTACTTACTGCTAGGCAAACAGGCGTGTGGAGTAAGGAAACTTGCCCAACATTTCGCCTTGCTGGGAATAGAACCAGGGTCTCTCACTTGGGAGGCGAGCGCTCTAACCGCTGACCTACAGGACTCCACAATCTTCAAAGATATCTTAAAAGAACCCACCAAAAAAGGCTTCTGAATTAAGACTTCATTGAACTACAGAGAAGCGGGCGTGCAAATGTTGGAACACTTAATTCAGCCTTAATGTGAAGTCGCTTTCCCATTGTTCTTAAAACCATCAGAAAAGCAGTCCTAAAATTCCATGTTAATTTTGAAAATTATCCAACTGAAAAATGCTAGGGAAAAGGTTTCAACCGGTGTGGGGTTTGTTTCTCTCCCACCCATAGTCACCCATTCCCCCATTCCCCCAATTTAGTGAAAAACACGGCACATTATCCTAAAAGAAGACATTGATGATTTTGGTTTTCTTTGCTTCTCTAAGTCTGCTGTAACTGCTACTCCCTTTTTTCAGCTACTTTGAATGGCCACTTTTATCAGGTGAATCGGAATTGGGCACACCTGTTTGCTGCTTGTTAGCAGGTCCTTGCTGTTTGTGTTTATACCCAACCTCTCTCCAGCGGCTGTCAATACTTTGTATCTATTTATTTGCCCCGTTTACGAACGGACCAGCGGACGATAGGGCATTGATGGGCCTTTGTCTGCGTGGCAGAGCCCTCTGAGCCGTCGAGCATGTCAGGATTAATCATGCTGCATTAGCTCCTCTGTGCTGTCAGTGCCTCTCAGAGCCACAAGCAGAAAGACATTTACTGTGCACATTTGCTGTGAAAGTGACGGAAGTGAGATTCCATAGAAAACGCATGTGTGCAATAGTCAGCCAGATCTTTTTAAAAACCCCAAAAAATGTTTTGAACATAAAATGTTTCAGAAAAATCATTTGAGGACAACTGAGTTTGGTTAACGCTTTGTCCACTTACCTCTGGCACCAGGCTGGGGCTGACTGCGCCCCAGACTGGTGGGATGAAAGCCTGCAATTTAGCACTGACTTGGCAAGCTAGCTCGAGAGGGATAGGCATGACTGGTGCAGGAAAAGTAAACTTTGAATGGATGATTGCAGCGGGAGCTCCTCTGGAGGCTGGAGTTTGAATACGCCAGTGTTGAAAATGTGGTGCTGGCAAACAGAGAGTTGCCGTTGAGCTTTGCAAACAAAATTGCACGATTCGCTACGCAATGTTTTTTTAAATACATAATATAAAATCATGGTGGCGGGGGGGTAGGGGTTGATGGCTGAGGGAGGGGAGTGGATGGATGGGGAGGGGGCGGGAAATGTAATGAATTGTTAGGAAAATACTTCTGAACTACAGTGGGTTCAGAAGTGCCCGCTTGTGCGTTCAGTTGTCACTGGAACCTGTCAGTTCACAGAAACGTCAGTCAGCCCCTGGCCAGGCCTGGCAGACGCTGAGCTGTTTTTGCAGCAGCTTTGTTAACCTGCTGGAATTTGTGGTCTCCCAGAGAGGTCAAGCTGTCACGACCCTGCAACCATATTGTTGCTCGACCTCTGCTATCCATTCTTTGCCTCCGATAGTGGAGGGAGGGGAGTGCCCAGGAAGGATGGTAGAATTTAATTTTGCCTGTAAAACACACGGTCACTTCACAGCAAAATCCTGTGAGGTGCTTTGAGACTTTATGGCGCTGCGCCAAATGCAAGGATTTTATTATTTACTGTGAATTTGGTGATCACTTCTCTCTGTCTTGTCTATTGTCAGGGGCTGGATGCAGATAACTTGCGAGTGGAACCCCTGGGAGAGGACACCTATGGGGCAATCTACTGGTATTTCTACGGCACTCGCTTATACAAGGAGGCACCGTCTTCAATGTGGGAGCGAAGTAAAGCCAGCGAAGCGGAAGAAATGTAATACTTGACTGGCGTTTTGTCAACATTTATTAGGGCAGATGGTTTTATAGGGTTTAAACCTACAATGTTCCCGAGGGCAGATGTGCTGGGTGACGACTGACCCTGGGGGAGGGGGAGAGGAGGGGTGTGGTTCCAGAAGGGAGGCATTAGAGGAGGTCTGAAGCCACTAACCATCAGTGTGTCATGCTGACATGCCGGAACCTAATCTACTTCCAGAGAATTACTCACTACTGGTTTCCAGACAGAGTCATGAGTTGCAATTTCCTTTTAAAGCACACTTTAAATATGTCTTCAGTGGTTGCACAAGAAGGTGTTAGACTGGAGTGAAACTTATTTGTTGAGTGTGGGATTTTTAGTGGCTGGAGGCAGCCCCTATGGTATAGTGGATAGAGCTGCATTTTACAGACCAGGAGCTCATGGGTTCAAATCCTGATCCAGGTCTCAGCTGGGATTGCTTGGAGGAAGCTTAATTGGCCCAGCCTCCCAAGGGTTAGGGAGGAGAAATCAGCCAAACATCCTGTTCCTGGTCCCTCTCTAGCACCCTCTAATGGTGGTATGCCTGCTGTCGAGTGGTGGGGAGAGATTAGGCTGGGTCAGCTGTGACCCTCTTGCATCAGAGTGCTCTGTCTGCCAAGGCTCCCAGATGAATAATAATCTCTTGGTCAGCATACCGGTAGACAACAGGCATCCGTGGAACCACAGCCTAGCAAGAGATGGGAGCAAAGAAGCACAGGAAAATTATGCGAATATTAGAAAAATAATTGGAGGCATCATTTTAAAAAAAAACTACTCAGGAAAGTATTTCAGGTTTAAATGGCCCGACGTGAGTAGAATGGAAGATGAAGAGGGGAGATGAATAACGCTCTCCCATACTTTCACTCCTCACCCACTCCACCCATTCCAGTTGGCGTAAAACAAAAAGGGAACAAGGGAGGAAAAAATACTTCGAAATGAAATGAAGTAGCCTCGGTAGTCCCAAAATGACAATATTTTGTTAAGTCATATGGAAACGAGCAAAATTACATTTGTATAGCGCCTTTCACGTCGGGGGGACATCCCAAGGAGCTGAACAATCTGTGTTTGTAGAAACTACGGCAGATGAAGTTTCTCCACTGGCAGGATTTCAGATAGTGACTGAGAAGCATTCTTTGCCAGCAATATACGTTAATGTTGCACATTGGGGCATTTTCCGTCTACTCACGGGTCAGCCAGGAGAGGAATGAGTGGATTGCATGCGGAGGTGGTAGTTTCGCTGACCAGAGTCAGTGCTGCTAATTTCTCACCTTTTCAATGTTGCAGAGAAAATGGCAAGCTGAGAAATCCCAATTTCCAACTCCCCGAGTTCAAACCGAGGAAGCGAGGCCGACCGTCAAAGAAAAGAAAGCTGGAAGAGGCTTGCATACTGCACATCAGGTGAGCTGCCAGCCTGAGACCGTAAATAGCAACAGTCAGGACTAATTAGGTGCAGTCTGGGAGTCATCTGGCTCAGAAGGACCATTGCCCTTCAGTGACCCACATTCCAATCCAACTAAGGGAGAGGAGAAGGAATCCCTTTATTTCTGGTCACCACTGAGCGTCGCATTGCACCACACTAGATCAAATCACACACCACACCGCCTGCTCTTTGGTCACTGCCAATTAACAAAGTGGAAAATTACCGATACTGTCCAATCTCTTCAGAGGGGTTCGGCACCTGAGATTGTGCACGATTTAAGATGCTCTGGGCTCCACTTCGCCATATTTGCTAAAGGTTTTGTGACGGTCAAATCCTGAATCCAGGCCCCTCTGGAACTCTGCTTGGCCGCTGATCCCAGTTCTGGGAAGTTGCGTTCGTGCAGAATTCCAGCAGGCTGCATGGACATAGCCGGGTACATATCTTTCTGAGTCTCATCACTGCACCACTGGACCCTAAAACTGGGTTCGTGTTTCAGAAATGGACCTTGTTCGCAAGTGGGAGAATCCCTATCTATATAGGGACGAGTGGTGCTATCTATCATCTGGTGAAGGATGGCACCCTGAAACGTTAGCTTATAAGGGTGCACAGGAAAGATCACGTCACTTTTTGCCTTGTTACTCCTAGCCAGTGGAGTAGGGATGGGGGGAGGTGAGGGAGGGCAATATTACTCCTATTTTATGTGCAAATCATTGTCTATGCCATTGATGAACTAAATCAGCAGCATAATGGGTAAGTGTGAGCCCTCCTGCGCTTATTCAGTCATCCTCACACTTGGTTTTCTTTGCAAATTAGCTTTGATACAATTTCTTTCTTATGGAGCTCGTTTCCATCTGCCTCAATCCTTTTGGCTCACATGATCTCCTTCATACTTTTTCTTTCTTTCTCTCTTTCATGCGTACTCAGTCTCTTGCTCTCTCTCTCTCTTGCGTGCTCCAGGAAGGAATTCCTGGTATGACCCTGAGCTAGAATTTTGTTCGAGGGTGACTCAGTTGGTCCCTGAGCAGGAGTGACTGTTTTATGATTCAGGAAAGTGTTGTAACATAAAGTACAACAGTCTGGTCTGTGTACATTTTGTCGTGGTCTCAGTTGGTTTTCAGACTTTTATAGTTTGTGGTTTTCTTGTCTTTTAAAAAAATCAAGCAGATCGATGCGTCACCGAAAGGGTTTTTATTATTTTTATTTGGGTTATCTTTGTTTTTCATAAACTTTTATATTCTATGGCACTGTGCTGCTTGCCAAGTGGTCTGAATCATTCCTCTTGTGAAAAGACTGGGCATGGTGTTGGCTGCAGTTTCTTCTGCTTGCCTTAACATGCAGCATGTGCTAACTGATTGATTCACTGAATCAGTTCAAGCTCCTCTATCTTGAATGAGTTGCCTGATTCATTTGTGAGGTAGCTATTTTTAATGGATATTCAGGAGGAATGGCGGATGAGGGAGAAAAATGACAAATACAAAAAAAGTAGAACTCCAATCACCCACTAGGTTTTGCCCTGCGGTGCTCATCCAGATGGGAAAACAGAAGGGTGGTAAATGAACCAATTCCGAATCCGATCTGTCGGGTGTAAAGGCTTGTGAACTAGAAGCAAATGTCCCTCGCGTTGTACAAGGAGAACAGCCCCGAGAGTCCTCTGTCGCTGCACCTCACAGGGACACTGGAGAATTGAACAGCAAAGGGACAAATGAGGCTCTGAGGCAGAGCAATTATGAGCCCCCCGCCCCACTCTATGCTTTATTTAACCAACAGAACTCTATACAGAGGTAGGACATGTTCAATATTGCGGTGCCTAGAGGTAGGATGCGTATGCTAAACTTGATTATTTTCACTGTAGGTACAGTATAGAGAGGAGAGTACAATACAGTGAGTGGAGGAGTGTTTACACCAGTGGACAGAGTGTACACGCTGTCTCTGTCTCTCTCTCTCACCCAGTGCCTGTGCTCTCTTTGTCAGGGAATGTATGTGCACCAATGTAGAATTGTATTAGGAATTATCTTAACAGGAGGAGATTTTGTACATGGGCTCTACTCTTGATCAGGATTTCAGTTTAATGAATTGTCTTTTACAGGAACTCCACAACTGAAAACCATCAAGTGCCTCCTGGTGACAACTTGCAACAAGAATGCAGAAGCCAAGGTGAGCGAATCTAATGGTGTTTTTCCAGTCTTGTTGGGCATTGATATATTTTACATCACGTGTTCCACAGCAGTTTGTCCAGTCACTGTTGCTGCTGTTGACTTGTAAAACGTGTCCTGATGGGGAGGTGTGGGGCAGACAAGGTGACTGATGCCGTACAAGTCTCAGACCAAGGGGGTACTACAGGCTCTGTGGGATTTGGTGCTCTCTCCACCCATTAGCCCACTGGGGACTGGACTCTGCTGACTGTTTTGGGTCAATTTCACACAGGGTCTTTGCACTGTGAGGGCACCAGATTACACCACAGCTCAACAGCCACTTGCATTCCGTATTTACCAATGTTTCTGGAATCGCATTCCATACTATGTTTGATGTAGCGCATGGTGACGAGTTTCCGCATGTGTCAGACACCTCCAAAAAGAAATAGTGCCTTTCACTTCAAGAGGACGTCTCAAAGAATTTACTGTAAAATAAATTGCACATAGAACAGCATGAAGTGGGAGGAAAAAAGGCAAAAGAACCCCTCGGTGAATTACTCTCAAGTGTAATAGCTGCCTTTATAGGCAAATTTGATTGCCAATTTACACAAAGCAAGGTCCCACACACAGCAATGAAGTGGGGACCAGTTAATCTGGAGCATTGTTGCCCAGTTTTAATCTGGTGAAGAATAAATTGGACCTTAATAAACAAGATACATAAACAAAACTGAAATGCAAGGTACTCCCTAGAATGTTAAGGAATAGTTCTAAAATGTGTGTGTCCCAGTACAGGTAAGACCCCATCCAGTGTGGCCAACAATTTCCCCCACATAAAGTGGTCATTCACCTTGGGGCTGTTTATGGGACATTGCTTGAGGCTGTTTGTCCAAATTGCCTGTGACTTTTGCCGACAAAAATACACAGCCAGAGCACTTGACATCAATTCCCTATCACGTTTGCTAACTTTGGGCACGACGTTAAATGCAGGCATTATTGTTGTATGTAATGGCTTCATCTTTCTTCCGAGTACCTATGACTCCTTTTACTAGTCTGCTAATATGGTGTACAGCCTGGGGAAGATTACAGCCTGCTTGATGACTATTTTCTGAAGGGTTTGCTGCCCAAATCACAAGGGCAAGTCGCTGCTTGTTCCACGTTTTAAGTTCTTCTCGCCCCACAACCTCCACAGATCCACTGAAAACTCCAGGAAGTTCTGGCACCTGGGAACTGGTCTGTCAAACAGAGGAGGAGTGGAGGAAATTGACAGATGGCCTCCAGACAAACCAGTCTGTTAAAGAAAGGCAGCTGCATGCAACGCTGACTGAAGACTTCCTCCCTGAAATTTGCAACATGATTGCTCATAAGGTTAGGCAACATAAGCTGGTAATTTGTTTCAGTGGGTGCCTGGGACAGTGTGCAGTGCATTGCGTTAGACAAGTAGCTTTATTATCTGTTGTAACTCTTCCTCCCATTCCCTGACAAACCATCCCCCATGCACATACACGTGCGCACACACACTCTCTCTCTCAGGACATACTTACTGTGTTCAGCAATGCTTTTCAGGGGGAAATTCCCAGATAAGGCAATAGGAATGATTGAGATTCAATCTAGAGTATATTAACCACAATGACTTGCATTTATATCGAGCTCTATCGCGATCACAGAACGCTTCACAGTGACAGGACTTATGAACGAGCCGAGGAGAGTGGGGGAAGTGAACAGAGGCTCGATCGAAGAGGAAAGGTCTTCAGGTGGGATTTGAAGACAAAGCGGGATTGAGACAGGGAGTTTGGGAGCGTAGTGCCTGAAAGAACAGCCACGGAAGGTGAAACGGAGGGGATGAGGGCCGTGAGGAGGCCGGAACTGGCTTTGGAAATCCATCTTGTGACAGAATGTGCCCGAGCTTTGTGGTTGGGTAAATGTTGCTGTGGAAATCATGTAACTTTGGAAGCACTTATCTCCAGAATGTTTATGATTTTTTTTTTATCCTGGAGTTGCCTGCATGGGCAGCTTCCTGTGGTGAAACCTAAGCGCTTAAATAGACTATTAGGAGTGACCTCCTGCTCTCCTGGTGATTGGCTATATCCTGCTTTGTGACTGTAGGTCAGCCTCTCGGCATTGCACTAGTTTTATAAATTAATGCCAATACAAAGCCAGCTTCCAGAAGAAAGTAATTGTCTCATTCTGGCTGCTGCCAGATCGTGTGCGAGGTTTTCAGCAGCTGGAAGGATGAGGAGTCCTGTTGGCCCCCAGTCACTTAAGTGTCATGTTGCTGGGTTCCCTATTTGTGTGACTTGAGATTCCTCGAGGAAAAATCCCATTAATGAATCCCGCAACTTGGACCCTTATTCCTCCATTCCAATAAAACAAGCAAGCTTTCATCAACAGCGCATTTGTGTAGCACCTTTAAGAGGAGGATCTTCAAGTACCAAACGAGATTCGCTCCACAGACTGTGCACAAGGAAGTGGGGCGGGGGCTGCTTTATATGAAGACATCGAGGGGTGGGGGGGGGTGGAGAGTGGGGTGGAGTTAGTGGTTGCTGCTTATTGTCGAGTTGTATGATCCCTTCGTTCAAGGTTAAAGAGATGAGGCTGAGAAATTATAGAGGGTGGAATTTCTTGCACTTGGCTTGCTGTTGCCAGGCAGGTGCAAATCTCAGCTTCCCTGGCCTGAGTTCTTATTGCCACTGCAATAATTTTTCCTACCAATTGAATCTTGTTTTTATTTAAATAACATCTACTGTACGGTCGCTTTAAGAAGCAACATTATTTCTTATTTGGAGGATCTCTGGTTTACTCCCAGGAAGAGAACTGCATATCTGATCACCAGGAGATTTATACAGTGTTTAACCGAGCTTCCTCTTAAGTTTGTTTACTACATTCACAGTTTTACATTGATCTTTCTTCTCTCTCTTACCCCCATCTCCCCACCACACACATAACGCACACACAATTCAGTTGCATTCATTTCAATGTTGTGGCTATGGTTTCCATCCCCCACCCCCACTTTATTTGAAGACATTCTGACTAGCATTCCCTTAATAATAATAATAATCCTTGCATTTGATATAGCGCTTTTCATGTCTTTTCAACGTCTCAAAGCGCCTCACAGAATAGACTGTAAAGTGAACTGACCGTATATTTGTGGGCGAAACTTTCCACCGGGGGTGGCCTTCTTGGGTGTTAGTTCCCCACAATTACTTGTGGTCATTATTTCACGTGTGAGTGTGTGAGTCATGGCTGTGAGCATTGGCAGCCTGCTGTGGATGGGATGGGGAGGGGCGGAGACAATATCAAAAGCCAAACCAAATCCTTGGCCAACATTAAGCCACTGGAGTATTCCACCTAATCTTGTTCAACCAGGGGGAGGGCGGGTGAAATGCTGAGCGACATTCATTGGAGAACAAATTGACAAGGACCTTGTCTGATTTTCCATTCGTTAATCCAGGGGTACTTACGAGGGGTAACCAATGTGAGCATCTCTGTTGCCATAGGGTCCCTGCTGCCACCCTAGCTAACTCCACACAGCCTCAGTTATATTGGTGTGGGAGTCTCAACACAGGTGAGCCAGACAAGGTGTAGTGAAAAAGCTAATTGAGTCAGGTGGACACCCAAGATTCCACCGTACTCCTCCCAGCAAATAGCTGTTGAACAGCATTCATGGCCAGTTGGTGTGGGAGGAGGAAGGTTGTGGCACAGACAGACCTGACTACGGAGTCCAAAGTACGAGCACAGCACCTTCCAAGAATCATGAGACAGCGATCAGGAGTAGAGTAACTTGGCTGATTTTCTTTAAAATCCCTTCTTAGTCAGGGATCCAGAGGCTAATTGTAGCATTAGAGCTGCCACCCTGGCTGAGAACAAGCAGCTCAGCTTAGCCAGAGCAGTGCATCTCGGAGCTTGCCAGTCTGTGTAATTCAGTGGGTGGGTTAACAACTGAGCCACTGGGTGAGCTGTAAAGAACCATTTATCTCCTTCCCCTTATGTCAGCTCAGGAGGTGGCAGAGCAGAGACTTCACAGACCATTCCATTGCTGCACACCACCTGCCCACTGTTGTCCTCACTTGGATTATTCATAGAGAGAAACACTTGGGAAGAAACTTGGGAAGGTTTAGAGAGGCAGGAAAATGGGATTGTAGGATCTACCATGACCTAATCAACTGGTGGAGCAGACTTGATGGGCTGAATGGCCTCCCTGTGTTTCTGTATTACTCAGCAGGAGATGAGAGGCTTAACGTTTAGGGGAAGGATATAAGAGAAGGGGTGGGCGTGAATAGAGCAGCAAAAGCGCTTCATGCAGAAACTAAATTGGGAAGAATTGACGTGGTGGAGAGAAAGCAAAGGCTTGTAGCAATTAATTTTCAGGGATTGACGAGGATTTGAATGTGGTGTGTGACTGATCTCTCAGGCCTGTATCCAAAAAGGGTTTTCTCGTATAGTGCCAAGCATGGTCATTAACAGGCTCTCTGGAATAGCTGTGTGTTAGACCTCTGACCCTCCCTGGCTTTCATTTCCAGGAGAAGCAGCTGCAGAAGAAGCTGTCTGAAATGGCTCCCCGGAGAATCTCTGACCGCCTGACCCTGAAACGGTTGCAGCAGGAAGAAGAGGTAAAACAGATCAAGTTTCACAATATCACTTTGTTGCTGAACTTGGTCATTCTGTTAACCCTCCTCATGCTGTGCGGGTCTGACGTTCCTCTTCACAAACAGCGCTCAGTCACAGACTCTGCCTCTGAATACTGAATGAATGACACCTCGCGGCCCCAGTTAAAAGTTTAAAAAGAAACAGGGTTTTAACGTGCGCTGCACCTTTTTGAGACGTTTTGAACTCATGATTTACCCAGCTTTAAAGGGGCCTGTTGTTTTAGGAACGCTTGCAGCTCGTGAACACAGAGAGTAACGTGTTCACAGAGTGACCCTGTTCGTGTCAGGAGGTTGGGAACTAAACTGCAGCATTTCTCGGAGGGATTCTTTAATAGGGAATCCGAGTCGTGCCGATAAGTCACCTCCCCCCACCCCAGCCTGGTCTTGCCCTGCCCCACGGGGACATCCCTCTGACACAAACTCCTTCCAGAGCGGAGCCTCCACGGATCAACGGGAATTCTAACAGAATTCCTTCCCATAAAGAAATGCCACAACTTAGACCCCAATAAATTCCACACATGATTTGGTGTAAAACTATTAAAACTGAGCAACTTCAAAGATGCTTTATCTGACTTAACAGACATCTACAGCGTTTTCAATGAGCATGCGCACACATTCAGAAACACGCGGGAGATTTTAAGTAAAGAACAGAGTTGTTCATGCTCATTACAGGAAAAAATGTCAGCTATTGAGAAAGTGGAGGAGCAGAAACGTCGGGATGAGGAGGCTGAGCGGCAGCTGCTGTTGGCTGTTCAAAAGAAGGAGCAGGAGCAGCTCATGGAGGAGGAGAGGAGGAGGGAGTTTGAGGAAAAGGTCAAGGCCGTGGAAGGTACCATCTCACTTGAGAAAGTCTCCGTTATCAGGGAGCGCGTCTGCACTGCAGCAGCCAGCGTGCTGTGCCTGTGGCTGCAGGAGCTTGGCTCTATGCCAAGCGGTCAGGGGGAACACTGCTGAAAGGGAGTGAAGATCAGAGCATGGTTCAGTCCTACATCTGCTGCCTCTCACTGGTGCTTGCAGCTGGTTATGAACCTGCATTGGGGGAGGGTGGGAGAGCAAGAGCAGATTACCTGACGTCCTGGCTGGTGCACTGGAGTACAAGGCAGGGGGCTTGGCAAAGGACTCCACTTGGTTTCATTCATGTGCGAAGGACATTGTCCTGGAATGCATTGCTTTCAGAAAAATGGGCTGATTGATTTTTTTTCATCAATGCTGTTCAACTGTCCTGCTTTGCTGCTGGTGATAGAAACACTAAGGATTTCGAGTGTAGATGCTGTGATTATCATTTTATCTGCACGCTGTTGTGATCGTATCCCACAAATATATCCCTCTGTTGATATATTTGTTGTTTTATTTTAAGTCTATAGTAATAATAATTAACCTTTGCATTTGGTATCGTGCATTTCATGTCAGGAGGGCATCTCAAAGGGCTTCATAAGATATACTGCAAAGTGTAGTGACTCTGTTACTGTGTATATGTAGGCAAATGTGGCAGCCCATTTATGCAAGCAGTGTCCTACAAATAGCTATGAAGTCCAATTTTGATTTGGGGGATTGTTGGCCAAGATGCAATAGAAACTCCCTTCTATTTTCGAATCCTGCCTTAACACCTTTAATATCTACTTGAACAGACAGACGGGCCTTGGTTTAACGTCTTATCTGACGATCGGCACCTCCAATAATGCAACACACTCGAGGCGCTGCACTGGAGTGACACCAAGGATTACTTACTTGTTTGCTTCCTTATCATTTTGCCCACAAAATATACAGTCAATTCACTTTACAGTATATTCTACGAAACTTTGAGACATCTCAAAGACGTGATAAGGCACTTTATCAAATGCAAGGATTATTATTATTTCTTAAGCAGTCTTGGAGTCTGTTTAACCTGCACATGTACTCTTTCACTCAGGGCGTGCTAAAAGGAGGCAGATGAGAGAAGAACGAGCCTGGTTGCTTTCTCAGGGAAAAGAGCTGCCTCCTGAACTTATGAACCTAGAGCCACTCTCCCCCATAAAGAACGATATGAAGACAAAAGACATGTACGTAGCTTGTTAATATTGGGGAGGGGGTCGAGGTTGAGTCCTGTCCTGCCCTATCCTGCGGGCAATGACAAATTGGTTCAAAAACTGTAGGAAAAAATGGTAAATAAATGTGAAACCTCAAAGTGCAAGAAGTTACTTGACGGCCTAATGGAATCAAGCTGAGAATGTCCCATCTGGATGATATTTATGAGCTGGGTAATTAAATAAGAGGTAGAATTGCATGGTATTTTAGATTGAATTAAAGGAATTCATTATGCACCTGAGGGTGGAAACCATATGGTAGCAATGGTTTTCCAGCACCAAGGATTTAGCTTCAGTTAAACGTGTCATTTTTTTTGTGGCACTAAAACCAAACAGTATGCTGCTCCGAGCAGCAGGTTCTCTTTGTGTTAACAATCCTCGCCCCGGAACACAATGCAACGTTGACAGATTTTAAAATAAAAATTCCATAAATGTGAAAGCATGCACCATAAATTTGCATATTGAGAGGGTTTTTTTTACACACCGAGTCTGAGGCGCCAAGAAAAGCATTGTACAGGATTTTCCCACACAGAAACAGCATTTATTCAATGATCAGTGCACTCTCCAAAGCTAGCATGCAGTGTTCATCGACAAAAACACAGACGCTCCACTTTACCGTAAATCCTGCAAATCGGTTTGAGACGTACTCCCAAAGTGAAAGGCGCTATACCAAATGCAAGCCTTTACATTATCTTATACGGAACCTCTGCACGTCTCTCAGTAGCTGGAGGTACAGTTTTACTGGTTAAACTTCAAAAGTACTTCAATGCACAATCTGGAGTCCGTAAGCTTTGATTTTTGTCATCCTGCCCCAAACACTGTGATTTAGATAAGCAGGATGCATCCTTTCATGGTGGGGCGGTGGGGGGAGAAAGAGCACACACTCCATACCTCATATCAGACAAATAGAAACCATATATATGTGGAACTCTCAGTGGTTTGGATACTCATCTTGTGGCGATGGGTTTCAGTGAATGTCAGAACCTGAAAAACACACCCAATGTTCTTAAAGTGTAAGGTGCTTTGTGCTTGTCAGAATCTTCCAATGGACAAGAAAAAAATCTTTTCTCCCCTATGCTCTCCACTAATGTATTTGCTACACCCAGCGATGTCCAACTTAAGGCAATCTTCTTGACTGTGTGTGCCAACCCATTGTGCAGTGTTAGCAATGTTATTTCCAGATTCAAAACTGCTTAGATACACTGGGAGTTTGCTGATGACTGGTGTTCAAGAGGCATGATATAGAGAGAGTCAAATAACACGAGAGACCCTGCTTGAGCAAGGAGTCACAATTGCTAAAGCATCTCAACACAGCATAAACCCACCACCAGAAATGTAGCAACAGTGGCAAATAAATGTGAAACCTCTGAGCGTAAAAAGTTACTTAATGCCCTAATGGAATCATGCTGACCAGAAAAAGATCCCAATCTGGAAAGGATTGATGTGTGGCTGAATTCTGTATGATTCTTCAGTTTTATTTATTTTGCACATCTTGTTCCCCCTAGATTTGAATTGGATGAGGATTACATTGCCATGTATAAAGGTAAGCAAATTTAAATTGGAAAAGATTTGTTCTGGAATGCGTGTATTTCTCAGTTTGTTTCTGTGCATGAATTTCAAATTTGTTCAACTCCAATTTCATTGTTTGCTTCCTTCAGTCCTCGATGCTGTGAAAGCCCACAAGGATTCTTGGCCCTTCCTTGAACCTGTTGATGAATCGTATGCCCCAAATTACTACGAGATAATTGAAGTAAGAATTGCACTGTTTTTTGTTGAATAGAATTGCTGTTACCTTTGCTGTAGCCGAATGTCCTGTACTAACTTAGCTGATGTCCCATCCCTGTGCTGCACTATCTGAAGCCCTGTGCTCTGTGCTATCTACGTTTGAGCCCAATTTTCGATGTTATCTTAGTTGCAGCCATGTTTACTGTATAATTGGCTGGAATCCTGTGCAATCTTAGCTGGAGTTCAGTGTCCTGTGCAATCCTAGGTGGTACCCCATGTCCTGTGCAATTTTAGCTGGTGTCCCAGTTCCCTGTGTTATCCTAGCTGGAGTCATGTCCTTGCAGAAAGCTTTATTGATCACTGACATTTTCTCCAGCAGCAACTTGGTACAACTGTGGCTGGTTAAACTGATGGATTTACAATGGGCTGCAGATGGGGTTTGATAGACAGCTTCAAAGATCATTAGGCAAAGTGAACCTTTTAAATGAGGCTGGAGAGGAAAGAATTTGCAACCACAGCCGTTGTGGTTTGATGTCAACTGCAATGCTTCTTGCTTCCTCTGCTTCGCTCCTCAGCAAAGGGTGGGAGACAAGTTGCACCCAACTTGGTTTCTTGCCATGAAATGTGGTTTCACTTTTGCATTGTCTGGTGCCCAAGTGCAGGTCCTGTGATGAATCGTGCGGGGCTGTCCCGATGGCAATAAATCTCAGTCGTGCTCTGGTTCATAGCCGCTGATCATTTTTCTATGAAGACACAGAGGAAGGCAGCAGGGCTCACATTAGTCAACTTGGTTAGATCAAGTGCTAACATCAGTGAGATTCAAGCCAACTTCTGGAGGATTGATGTCGGGCAGACTGCAGTATGGTGTATAATTTGCAAGATTCACAAAAGGATTTGCAAGTATTACTTCCTTGCATCCATCAATTTTCCTCATCCTATTTTTATCGCTCTTTAATCCCTAATTTAAGATTTACCTCTTCGACCATGCCTGTGGTCACCTCCCTCTCTCCTTTGCTTGGCGTCCAACCCCCACCACTATGCAGTGCTCCGAGATACTATGCTGTTTGAAGGGTGCGAAACAAAATGCAAGTTGTTGTAGTAGCTCTGCAGATACCTGGATATGTCTCAGGCGGGACACAAGATCTCTGCTTGGATGCTGATCACCAGGAAGCCTCCTTCCTTAACAACCCTGCTTCAAGGTCAAGATGGTTGTTGCAGCATTGCGCTGGAGGATGGATAGCATTAGGAAACTGATTCAAAAAAGCTCCAATAAAGAGTGGGCTGATTGCTATCTTGTGCCTGTCTGTACAAAGAATAGGGATAGATATTCCATCTGGGTCTAGATTAACTCTGTTTTCTTAGCATGTGGTAGCATCCAAAATTTGACAAGATCAGTCTTAATTTTGGAGACAGTTTTCTTTAAGTTCTTTTAAGAACGACTTAAAAACAGCTTCAAAACTTATTCTGAATTTCGGAATGGGACAAATTCTGGACTCTCTGAAATGCTCAGAAAATAAAGTAAACCTAGAAAGATAACATTTCTATCCCCTGGGTCTATTCTATTGCACTATTACCACCTTCAATGATAAAACCTTCTGGTTTAGTTTCTGCTAGCTTGCTGCTAGAAATGCTTCCTTGGTTCCCTTCTCAAGGCATTATTTTGTTTGTTTTTCATTTTCAGACGCCTATGGATCTATCAACCATTGATAAAAAGCTCAACGAAAAAAATTACACTGTCAAAGAAGAATTTGTAGCTGATATGAAAGTCATGTTTGAAAACTGTCTGGAATACAATGGTGAAGGAAACGGTGAGTTGAAAGTGGTGATTTCTTGCTGTTATCTTTGGGGGGTGCTGTGGTCAAGAAATAATCATTGGTATCAGAGCTGCATTGGAATTTGAATTTTCTCCAACATTCCATCTAAGGCTGTAGGGGTAGAAGAATAACTTTATATAGTGTCCTTTACGCAGAGCAGCGTCTTGGAGCACTTAACAGAGGCGGAGCCTGACCCCGAGCCGGGGAGAGGGGGGAAGTTGAACATAGGCATGGTCAAAGAGGAAGTTCTACAGTCGTAATCTAAAAGAGGGGAAGGAGGGGGCAAGGTGGAGGATTTGGGGGAGAGAGTTCCAAAGCTTCAGGGCGTAGTGACTGAAAGCACGGACGGCGATGGTGGAAAGGAGGATTGTTAGAATAGAAGCAGATTGTTGGAGAGGGATTTGCGGGTACACAATGTCACATTGTGCTATGAGCCTCTTGCTGGTTATTGACTTGGGAGGACAATGCTGTTAATCTCTATTGCTTTCAACTCAGCGAATGGTATCTTTGTTTTCAAAAAAAAGCCACCCGCACCAATTACAGCAGAGTTTCCTACAACATGGAAGATGATGGGTGAGCACCCATTGAAGCCAGTTCTTTTCCTTTCTTGTCCCTTGGGTGTCCTCGCCTCGACTTTGTCCTTCCTTCCTGCGTGAGAGGATCGGGACGAAAGGGAGGTTCAGGATAAGACAAAAGGAGCAGTGATCTAAATGGGTTTCAGTGCTACCTGATACTGTGAAACATTCCTTTCTAAAATTTGTTAGATGGAAATCTGGGGTTGTTTCTGTTATATTGGATCAACAGTGTTAATTTAAGGCACTATCCTCCAAACTAGCAGGCAGACCAATGCACTGAATGGCTGGTGTTGAGCACATCCATTGTGATGGGAGTCAGGTCATGGCCGACAACTTATCAGTGTCTTCAACAATTGCCTGGCAGCACTTTTCAGCAACACACTGCAGTTTGTCATTCATCTTGTGATTTCCTCTATATAATATTTATACTTGTTGTAAGTGCCACATGATATTGCTATGTTTACCACCCCCCTCCACACTAAAAGCAACTATTCAGTAAAGGTTGTCCTGCAGAGCTTCATCAAACTGGATCACCAAACTCATTTCTGATGCCACTCTGGTGCCTCCATACCAAGATTCATGGCTGGTGAAGCTGAATCTGCAACAACACTGAAAAGAGAACTGGGACAAGTACTTGAAAAAATAGCAGCCTAGGGTATGAAGAAAGGACAGAGCCATGAGATTGGGGTAGATTGCTCCACTGGAGGGGCTGGCACCAGTAAGGCAGACATTTTCTTTTAAAACAATGACCTTCAAAAGTTCACAATGACGGGAATTTACCTATAATAATCCTTGCATTTGATATAGCGCTTTTCACGTCGGGAGGACGTCCCAAAGCGCTTCACAGAACACACTGTAAAGTGAATTGACTGTATATTTGTGGGCGAACGCGGCAGCCAATTGCGCACAGCAATGTCCCACAAACAGTCGTAGATTGAAAGTGACCAATTTATTATTGTTTTTGTTTTTTTGGAGGGATTATTATGTTGGGTAGTAGAGGTATGATGAAAAAGCAGGACATTGGGATTAAAAGATTGGCCACGTTCCAATTGTGCCGGTGGAACAGGCTTGATGAGCTGAATGGACACTCCGTTCCTTTTTCCCTAGGTTCTTACTTTTGTGTTCCAGTATAAAGCCTAGAAAGCTCAATGGTATACATGAAAATGAGATCAAATACGCAGGATTTATTTAATAACTGCCAATTTTAGGGGAACAAATGAGCCCTACATAATATACTGCATAATGTGCTCCTTCTGTGCTGTAAAGTTTCCAGTGATTCTGTTGAGATCTGCTCCTGTAAAGCTTCACATGTGCTTTTGATACTTCACAGACTGACACTGTTAAATGGTATAAAATGTGCAACTGTGTTGACAGGCAATTGGGGGAAACAGAAAGTTTATAAAAGAAGGAAATCATTTGTCCCATTGCATCATTGTTAGCACTACTTTTTTTAAAAAGAAGTCATCCTTTATATAATCTCTTTTTCCAGCTCGTTCCCCACATTCCTCAGTATTTTCACTTTTCAGGTGCTTATCTAGTTGCCCTTTGAATGATTTTATTGATCCAGCTTCAACAACACACACTGACAACACTCTTGAGTGACGAAATGTAGTATATCTTGTGTTGTCTTTGCTAATGATAATACAATAATAATTGATAATCCTTGCATTTTACCTTTCATGTCGAAAGAATGTCTCCACACACTTCACAGAATTTACTATAAAGAACCGTGATTATATTTTATAGGCAAACGAGGCAGCTAATTGCACACAGCAATGTCCCGCCCACATCCATGAACTGACAGACCAGTTTTGTCTGGGGAATTGTTGGCCAGGCCTTCTCTTTTCAAATCATGCCATGGGATATTTAATGTCTACCTAAACAGGTGGGCGGGATCTCTGTTTAACATTGCATCCAAACCATGTCAGCGTACCCCCAACACTGCACTGAAGTGTCAGCTTAGACTGAGTTCAAAGTCCTAATGTGGGGCATGAATCCTCAACGTTCTAACAAAAGTGCTCTGAACTGAGCCAGGCTGACACCTAATTCTGGCCTGGTCTGAAAGTAGTACTGATGCACTCTCAGGACATCCCAGTGATTCTCAGTGTATGGCCACCAAATCTAGACCATGGTACTAGTTTTTCCTAAAAATACTTAATCATGTGAAAAATGAAGTATAGGCATATGACATCTCAAATGGTTTTCATTTATTTGTGTACATTTGAGAAAACACCTTGTGCACAAAACCTTGCACAGACAGCACAATAAATGAAAACAATTTTGAGGTATTATTATTAGGGACCAGAATTGTCGGTACAGTTGTAATCAGCTTAGAGTGATTATGTTTTGCACAATCAGCAATGTATTGACACTAAAAGTAGCTAATAGCGCCTGCATGCTGTGCGCGTGTGTGGGAGTGAGGATCATGCGGCTGCACAAATCACAACCTGCAGCCACGGTGACCCGATTTTCAAAACACTGTTCTATACATTTTCTTGCTCTAACAGAGTACACAAAGATGGCTGAAGCTCTTGACAGGTGCTTTAACAAGGCGATGTTGAAACACTTCCCAGCAGAGGATGCTGACAGCGAGGAAGAATTTAATCTGCGTTGGGATGATCGGGAAAAGAAAGACCGGAGAAGAAGCAAGTCTAATCGATTCGGAAAAGACGGGCTCGAGACCTTTACCAAACCTAGCGATGAGTCTTTGAGACGGCGACCGGAGCCGTTTAATGGTAATATGCACAGTTCTCAGTCTGACCCCAACTGTGACCAGGTGCTTCCTTTACGGACACTAGGACTAGTGAATGGGCAGGGCTTCCCCCCTACACCATCTTACAAGGAAATGGCACCTTCTGAAACTCCTCACCAGATGTACCATCTCCAAGGTCAACAAGTAAGCTCATCTTTTTCCATCAATGCGCAGTGCTGTGTGTGTGTATTATATTTAAGATGTATATAAAATCTGTCCTTCTTGGTGGGTATGTAAGCTGGGTCTCCTTGGATCTTAACTGTCTCCACGGTGACATGCTGTGCTTGGCAACAGAATGTCGGAATCATAGTCAGGGGCAGAGATTCTTGCCACTCAGCTCCTGTTAACCCTGCAAGCTAAAGCCCTAACAGGTAGGATGGTCTGAGATGAATAAGCAAGAAGCTTGGAAGACAACGCTTTCAATGGCAAGCTATTCGGTTTTAGTTTGTTAAACTCCTGCAGTACCTCAACAGACACTCTGGGGACCCCAAGCCTTGCTTTTTGCTAACCTGAGCTTAATACTCTGGAATTATATAAGCAGGATGAGTTCCTTTGGGGAGAGAGTGCGTATTCCATTCCAGACCAGGAAATTTCCATGTGTGGATGGCACGTGTGGAAATCTGTTTTGGAAACTGTTAAGCATGGTTTCCCCATAGGAGGTGTGTATGTGTGTGTGTGTGTGTGTATATATATATATATATATATACACACACAGAGTCTATAGTGTGTGTCTGGCTATCTGTATATTTATGTATTAGTAAGGTTACATGTTGTGGAGACCTGAAATTATTCTTGGTAACAATTACTCAAGGGTTTGTTTTAAGATGTAAAGGTCTAACACTGCACTTGGGAGTTCAAAATCTCAGCATTCTGAGTAACACATTAGCAGAAACCTTGTGTGGAAGAAGTTTTAAATCAACAGACAATAATGGCCTGGATAACAACTCGCATTGCTGTTCATTCATTCTCTCAGCTGAAGATCTGTTGTTGACTAGGCAAGTTAGTGCAGTGGCTTTGCTGTTCACTGCACAACGGAGCAGTAGGAAGCAACTTCACAACCTCAAGCTCTGTGAACCTATCTTTAGCTGTACTGTACGTCCTCCTGATGTGAAAGGAAACACATGTAATTTTCTTGATGTACTGCTCTAGTCAGGCATCAAAGCAGTGGACGAACTAGTTGATATCTGATGCTTGCAACCAGAGCTCCATCCTTGGTCTTGGGTAAAGTTACAATAAGGTTGATCTGATCAAGTAGTTTATTAAAGTGGTGTAGAACTAGAGACTGAGACTCCGGTTGAACATCAATTTAGTTTTATCCGAAGCTAGAGTAGACTGTAGTCAATGGGGTAGAGCTTCATTGAGTCCAAGAACACTTGAGTGGAGCATCTCCAATGTTTTGGAAAGTGGATTGTTCACCAGAATCTACAAAGAAATGGTTAAATCATCACCCTGGTGAATGGAGGGACACAAAGGATTTTGGAGAGAGGGAGAAATGCATGTGGCGATGTCAGGACTGATGACTAGTAACTAGTATTTCTCTTGATCTAGAGACCACCGATTCCCTGTATGTTTGGATCACGACCCGGTTTGGAGACCCAATATCACTACAGCTCCTCACGAGAGCCACGGCTGGCAGATCAAGTGCGGCAGCAGTTACATCAACAGTTTATAATGCAGGTAACCCTCGGTTGTGTAGAGCTTTTTCAAAGTCCCCCCCCCAAGCTGGATCAGCTTTATATTTAGAGCCTGAAATCCTCATGTTAGACGTCTGACCACTGTTTTAGGGTTGTGCACAATTTCTCGAAACAGTCTTGAATTTATTCTCAATTTGGTAGCCAGTTCCTCACAGTGCCCACAACAAACTGCGGAAAATTAACTTTCAAATTGAGACTCAATTCAGGGCTGATGTTTATTTAAACAATAATAATGAAGGAATGTTAATAAAGTGGTCACAGGCTAACTGCATGTCCACCGACTCCTCCACTCCCACCATTGATGCCTGTGTCCTTAGCCTCTACACCCTTAAGCTCTGGAACTCACTGCCTCAATCCCTGAGGCTCCTAGGCTCTGTGCTGTGTGTGAAGGGCGCTGTATAAGTGCAAGTTGGCAAATAGGTGGTTTTGCTCTGATACGGAGAAGCTGTTCCTAAGTATTTAATAAAATACATTTTTGTGTTTTTTTCTCAAAAAGTTGAATGTTTACAAGTTATAGAACAACAACAACAAGATTCCATTTATTGAGCGCCTTTCACATCGGGAGGACGTCCCAAGGCGCAGTACAGTTGGGTCAGGACCCGAGCAAGGGGGAAATGGTCAGGGTGAGGGGAGGGAAGGGAGGGAGCGAGGAGGGGGTAGAGAGTCGAGAGGGGAACTGAAGGCACGGTCAAAGAAGCTTGTGTTGATCTGTCTTTCTCTCTCTTTCTTTCTTTCTCTCTCGTTTTATTCCAGCACCAGGTCTCTGTGAACGAGCACCCAGGGCCACGCATGATGGGACCGGAAAATAAGCCGACATATGCCGGGCCGGTGCACGGACCTTCCTTGGGCCCCAGGCCTCCGTCCATGCCCCCTGGGACCCTGAGCGCCCCACCTCAGGAGGGAAGCATGTACCCCAGCCAACCTTTCCAGCCGGGGTATACGCCACACAGACTGGAGGGACTGGCCCACCGCTCCCCCTCCGACTTCCAGGCGAGGCACATCTACAACCCCTATGGGCCCCGCCACGGCCCTCGCCACATGTGGAACGGAGGCAACGCTGGGCCGACCGAGCGGCCCCTGGGGCCTGGGGACAAAGCTCCGCTCATGGGTCCCGGGCACTCGGCCCAGTCGCAGCATCACCCGTTCTCTCAAATGGTGGACCCCAACTTAATGAGACCATCCGCGCCACTCAACCACTGGTCAGATCAGCCAGGTCTTCTACCTCATAACAGGCCTCCCGGCTACCCCAGACTGCCAAGTGTTCCTCAAGCACCCAATATGCAGAGAATGCCTCCTCCTTTCCTTAGACCTCAGCATCAAGGTCTTCAAATCGATTCCATGATGTCCAGCCCAGAGATGATCGCAATGCAGCAACTTTCTGCCCCTGTCTGTCCACCAGGGCCCGCTTCACAATATTTGTCCGGCCCACGTGCTCCCCCTCCCCCTCCGCAGCCGCACAGCGGAGCCCAGCAGCAAATGCCTGGCGTGCAACCTCACAAAGCAGCCGTGGAGCATAGCGTCAATCTGTTGGGAGCACCACAGGCTGCTGAGGTGCCAGAAATTATTGGAGATACTCGAGGTAAGTGCGTGTTGTAAATGCGAAAGCATCAGCAAATACGTGCATGGTGTGCAGAAAGGTTATAAACTGCATAGATTGTTGACCATTGAAGGCGGGAGTTATTTCTTCACCAAAGTCCAAAAGAGAACTGGATTTCAATTTATCTGTCCTGAAAGAAACTTTGAATCAATGAATGTGATGGAAGATGGGATTGCCTTAGGATGTCCTCCCCAATGTGAAAGCCGCTATACAAATCTTATTTGTTGTTTCCAGCCCCAGTTGGCCACCCTGTTCAATGTGTTGATTATTTAATAATCATATTATAATGATGATAATTTATTTTTTTACTTCAAAGTAACCGTGTTAGAAGCTTTCAAATAACCCTAACATGGAGACACAATATCAATATGCAATGCTGTTTGCATTCAAGACGGGTAATTTATTAAGGGGTGAATATTTGCCATTGGGTGCAATTTCAATTAACCATCGAAGCGCTGAAATATATATATATCAAACCGTCGAAATGCTAGGTCCATCCTGGAGACTTTTCATAATCACATTTAAGGTCTAGAGCAAAGACTGAGAAATGGGATTATAAAATTTGCCATGATCTAATAAACTGATTGATCAGCTGAATGACCTGTTTCTATATTCTCCCTCCCTCACTCCCCACACAAAAATCAAATCTGTCCCCACCTCTCCCTCAGCTTTCAACGCCAGTTTGGGTCCCCAGTCAACAGTGTCCACCTGACGTGAAAGGTGTATATGAATTGTATTGTATGTATTACCAAGAGGCCAGCTCTCAAGTATTGAGCATTACTCTCAAGTCAACTGATGTACCAGTTACCTTGCTAACACTGAGCATCCCCCTGTGGTGATGTGTGGTGTTGTTGTCACTAAAGATGAGCAATGATGTACAATATTACATTCTTTTTATCTCACTTTCTTTCCTTTGCTTATCTTTTACTCATCAAGTTAGCTTATTTACAATTTGTTGTGCTGTGTTGGTTTGACTTGACATTAAGCCTTACTGCATAGCATCAGGCTTGAAATAATTGAAAGGAAATCCCTGTTGTATTTCCTTTTCTCAGGCAGAAAAAAATGGGTTGCAACGGGCAAAAAAGTAAATACGAACCTTAGTTCGTTCAGAAAATTTCTGTTGTTTTGTCCCCTGCTTGTGTTTTCAACCCTCATGAGAGATCACAGGTGCAAGTCCATTGTAATTTAGTTACACCCTAATCCAAAGCTTGTTATTGCCATACGGTTTACTGCTTTCATTTTTAATGCCTCTGAACATGCAATGATGGCCAGTATCCAAAACTCATGCACAGCATCTTGTATTTATATAGCACCCTTCATGTAGCATAGTGTCTCGGAGTGCTTTAAAAAGACTGGGTTAAACGCCGAGTGGGGGAAGGGGGAAGTGGGGGAAATAGCCATAGGGGTGGTTGAAGAGTTAAGTTTTATGGTAGGATTTCAGAGATAGAGAGGGAGGAAGGACAAGGCGTGTGTGTGTGTGTGTGTGTGTGTCAGAGGGAGAGAGAGTGTGAGCTGTGGGGTTGTGTGTATGTGCTGTGTGTGTGTGTGTGTGTGTGTGTGGATGTTTACTAAGGAAAAAGTGTTGTGTGTATTTGCGTGCTCGTAGATGTGGATGTTTAGTCTGTAGCTCCAAGAGTCTGCCAGAAAGGAGCTGCAACCCATCATGAGTTGATGACTCTAGTAGGTAGGGGCGGGTGAATTGAGGAAAGAGCCTTAAGCAGAAAATAGTAGCTCAATGAAATATTTTTTCCCTGACAGAAACAGTGTCAATCAAACACACTTCAGCTGCGGGGGAGCAGAGGCAGCCATGCACAGATTGTGGGATTTCTTCCCCGGGGGCTGAGCAGAATCCAATGCCACCATCTGAAAGCGACAGCAGACCCAATCTGGTCGCGTCCACTGAACCAGGGACCAGCGAGGCCCAGAGTAATGGGACTCGAGCCATCAAGACCGAAAAGGATGAGAAGCTGAACATTTGGCTGAAGGACGGCAACAGTCCGGTTGCCAGGTCGCAGGTGGAACAGGACAAGACTTCTCAAGATGCCAGGAAGACTCCGGCAAAGGGCAAGGTGAAGAACAGCAGGAGAAACGGCAGCAAAGCAGTAAAAGGCAAGAAAGCTAAGAACGAAACTGAGGTGAAGGCCCAGAATGAACGGGTCAACCAAGGAGCCTCCAACTCCATCCAGTACAGTGAGGGTTCTGAGCAAACTGCTGCCGGTACTGTACTCAGTGGCTCTGGCCAAAGCAGCAATGCTCTAGCCCAGCAGGGCAAAGCGGGAATGAACAGTGTGCCCAACGCCGGGATGATGGGCATGATGGGGCCGCGGCCACAATACAGCCAGAACCCCGACTACCCCGTCCCGGCCCAGTACGATATGGCTCAAGGGCCGAGGCAGTTTGTGAGAGGCATGAGTGGGCCTCAGGCCTATGCAAATCGCCAGACTTTTCCCACTCCAGGTTTTCCTCCCCAGCCACCTCCAGGGGTTTACCCCGCTTACCGCCACCAGGTCCAGTGCTACCCGTATCATCCCTCACAGCAGCAGATTCCACCCCCCTACCACCAGTACCAGCACCCGCATTACTACCCTTACCCTCAGGGTCAAGGCTATTCCACCGAGGACTGGTCCCAGGGACCCCCACCTCTGCCTCCAGCACCGCCCCCCTCAGCAGTCCATCACCTCCAGCAGTCAGGCCATTTGTCTGCCCAGAACGGGACCGGGAAAGCTGGAGGGCCCGGTGGCGCCTTGCAGGGTTCGGAAGGGTCATCTGACAGTCACGGATCAGCAAATGCTATGCAGGAAGGGATGAATGGAAACTGTAAAGAAAACAAAGGCACGAGCCAGGGGAGCGGCAATATGTCAAACCCCATAAAAGATGAAAAATTGGATAAAGAACAGGAAAGGCCTGAAAGCCCAAAGGAAATCCTCGATTTAGACAGTCACAACGCTGCTGCCAAAAGGCACGCCGCGCAGCCTGTAAGTGGGCTAATGTACAGGGCTCCTGGAATGCATCCAGGGATGCACGGACCCCACGGGATTGTGTCCCATTCGTCTGCCTATGCGTCCCAGGCTCCGGGGCTTTTCAATACCGGCCCTCATGCAACTCAACGACCTTCTCACCCCATGATGGCCGCTACGTGTCACCGTGCACCACCTCACCAGATGAATGGGCAGCCACAGGGCAGAATGCCTTTGTACAGCCAGCACAATGAAAGGATGGGTCAATACCAGAGTATGATGATGCAGCACCAGGGGATCAGACCACCGGAGGATCCGTATCATCTACCAGGGTAAGTGAGGCAGGGGCAACCCAAAGCCACTCGCCACCTTTCTTTCTCTGTTGTTGTGTGAGGTTTCTTTTTCTCTTACTTAAAAGAACTAGAGTTTTGTTTTACGAGATTGTTGCGTTCCGAACCGGGGTGGGGGTGGGGAAATGCGGCTTTCAATTTATCTTTTTAAAATGTTCCAAAGCTGCGACAAAATTGATGTGGGGGTTTTGAACACGCTTTGTTTTTTAACAAAGATTTTGAAGAAACAGCAGAGGGGATGGGGGTATTTGTGGTATTTTGTTTAAAGTTGCAAAACTCTATGACTTTTATATAATAAAAACAAATGCAGTGGGGAGTGGGCTCCGCGCTGTGACACGCAGGCTCTGCTCCACGCTTTACGGAAAGTGAAGCGTATAAAAATGCAGAGGCTTAGCTCGCGGCTGGAACTTCACAGTGGCTGTTTGACCTGTGTGAGGCATTGTGTCCAGATGTCATCACACTTCACCTAGCCTTGCATGGTCAGCTGCAGCTTCGCAGTGGGTTTGCGACGCCCTAAACCCCTTTGCTCTTGTGAAGAGATTTAAGATGCAGGAGGGAAAGATAGTGAGTTCAAATAACACAAAGCGCTTCATAGGATTTACTGTGAAATAAATAGAGTGACTCTATATTTGTAGTCGGAAGCATTAGCACATCTCCCACAAACAGCCCGAAATGATTGAGCAATTTTATTTTGGAGGATTGTTAACCAGAAACGTTCTGCCCTGAAAGTAACCAATGCTATGGGTGAAATGTGATCTCCGACGTGATGAGGCGTTACACCAAATGTAAATGTAAGCAATATTATTATCATGGGAACTAACATCATCACCTTTTAACTGTGGCATTACCCCAGTCACCTGGAGAGAGCTGAGCGATATTCAGACTCTTAACTCAGAAATGCTGTGAACAGCTTCATAATTTGCAGTGCTGTGCAGTTAGGTGAGGTTTGTATTAAGGCTGACTAACACTATTGTGCCCGTCAGTCTGAGCAGGTGATGGGAGGGTACGAGATGAGACGGAGAATCCCATTGTCACACATTTAGAGCATACTGTCTAGGAAGAGACATCGCTATGTGCAAATTGGCCGCTGCGTTCACCTACAGAATACACTTGACAGTAATTCCTCTGAAGCACTTTGAAACGTCTCAGTGATGTGAAATGGCACTATATCGAATGCAACGATTACTAAGTAGGATACTGGTGTTTTCTGAGTTATCTGAACTCAGCCGGCGCAGTATTTGAGGCACCCGGGTTAGGGGAAGGGAATCGCCAAAGTTTGCAACCCCTGAGCCACCCAGTGATTCCTGCTGGAGTGTTTGAGCAACGGTTCAGGCTGGGTTGCAGTGTTTACTTTCTTCAGCCTCCCCCAGCTGCACACAGCATGCCAACCCTCACTGCCTGCCTCAGCTCGTCACGAGAGTGGCCACATGAGTGAGAACACCGGACTGCAGGACCATGCTTCAACGTGAATCGCCAGACTCAGCAGAGAGGTGGGGAAGTGGTGGGGGTCTTTTGAGAGGGTGATTCCCTCCTTGAGAAGGCAGCAGTGTACCTGTGTCTATAATGTGACTTAAATCTCCAAGCCCAGACTGTGGCAATGCAGAACATGGCGAGTCAGAAGCTGTTTTTTTTAAAAAATCTTGTTCCTTTGCCCAGTTAAAAGCAATGCTGCACTCTGCTCAAGCTGCCAGTGAGTGCTCCTTGTGAGTGCTCAGGACAAAAGGAGGCAGAAAGCTGGAGGGAGTTGGGGGTGGGAGGGCGGAAGAGAGAAGGTCAATACATTTGATCTGTTTTTTTAAAAAAAATCTTTTCCTTTATGTCCTCGAGTTAAACATTTAATTTAGCGATAATAGTGCTAAATGAATGGCCGCTTAGAAAGAAACACAATTTTACAAGCTAATAAATTAGGAAACACCCCAAAAAAGAAGCACTGATGTTTTGAATTGCAGCCTCTTTAACAGCAGAATTCCTCTTGGTCAACAGGAACTTTCTGCCCTGCAAGTAACCAATGCTTTGGGTGAAATGTGATCTCCGAGACCAATTACAGGCTCCTCCCTTGAATAGCACGATAAAGAAAGGCTCCCCTTTCCTTTTTTGCCCATTTGTCAGCCTTTTTTTTCCTTTCGCCCCACTTCTAAAGGCTGTATTCAAATTAAAATGCCTTTTGGTTTCCTGATCTATCACTTCCCGTCAGAGAAGCTCCGTTTTAGTTGGGGGGTGGGGGTTGTTTCCCCTCCAGGTTTCCTAACTGTCGAGTAAAGTAAAAAGGTCACCTCAGGCAAAGTCCTTTTTACAAACTGGAGACGGTTAAAATTGGAGGGGTTTCAGAATGAGCGAGTGGTGACATTGGCTCACTCGCCTTTCAGCTTTTGGATCAGAGTTTAAAGTCAGAAGGATGAATGGAAGGATGTGGATCAAATTTGGCTGGGAGTACGTGCATGTGTGTGTGTCGGGTGCGTGGGTGTGCAGAGGGACACTGCCCGGGGAGGGGGCAGCTGTGGTGATTCCACATTGATGCTTGCTGCTCCAGTTTGGAAGGAGCGCCACCTTTGGGCTGGAAACTGTTCGAGCTTTTCTTTCAACACGCACTCTGAATTATATCTTGCTGAATTACGGGCTGGATTTGTGCTCTCGATGTTGCTCACGGCCTGCGATTGAAGGGGTGGGGGTGGTAACTGCAAAACAAATCTGCGGAAACACTATTTCAGTGAGCGAATAGTAAATGCACGGAACAGGCTCTCTAGGGAGACGGTGGAAGCAGAAAGTGTTGATTCTTTCCAAAGAAAATTAGATGGATTTATTTTAGGAAATAATATCTTGGGATACTGTATATGGTTTGGGACATGATGTGTGAATGCGACTGCTAGGATGGTGGAAGGCAAACTGGATGAATCTTGGCCTTCTTTCGTCTAGCAATTCTTCTGTTCTTAAACTGGAGGTGAAATAAAGCCTGTTTCTTTTCTTGTCTGCTCTTAATAGAATCCCAGTACAGGAGCATCCCTACCAGAAACCACAGTCGGGAACAGAATCGGGGAAAGAGGGTGATCAGAAGATATCTGCTCCGTTTGCTGATCAGGTGGGTTCTTGCTCCTCTGCAGCCTGTGGAAATCCATCTGAGGCATTGATGATTGTTAAAGTAGTTACAGTAGTTTCCACACTTAGTATAGTGCAGCGCTGGTATAACACGCAGCACTGCACTGCAGCGTGACTATGCTTATAACACTGGTGCTATGTGGACCCCAATCATTGGACATGTGCACAGCCATCTCACTCGCTTCCCGCCAGCTGGGTGCCATTTTGTACTGAAATAATCATTGGGTCCAATGTCACTTGCTTCCTGCTTTGCTGTGCTCCCTGGAAGGTCGCACCCTGCTTACCAAATTCCGGAGAGTATTAGGTGCAAGTTGGTGAGAGCCAAGACTTGGGATCCCCAGTGTGTGCGTGGGGGTAACTGCTCGAGTTTAACCAGCAAAAACCTCATAACTTACCATCAGGAACACTGTCTGTCAAGCTTCCCATTACTTGCCAAAGTTAGGACCATCCCACTATAATTAATTGTGTTTTATACATTTCTTCTTTTTGGAGACTTTGTTTTTCTCAAAACTGATAGGACATGTTGAGCATTGTTGGGTGGGTGTGTTGTGGGTGAGAGTGTGTGCGATAAGGGAGAGAGAGAGAGAGAGGTGGAGAGATATTTTGAGCAATGGTTGAGTTAAATTCAGTCTTAATTCAGAAGTCAGTTTCTTTTTTTTAAAAATACGTGATTTGCGTCCGGCTAGAATTGTTGCAACCGAGAGTTCAATGATGACGTCTCCTTTTATGTCTTACAGAAGTGAACAAGATAGCCGAGCGCAGACGGATGCCAGCATCTGAAAAGGACATTGTAATGACAGCATATCAGTGTTCCTAGTTCGATGGGTAGATGCAATTTTTTTTATTTTAAAAAAAATTAATAGGTATTATGAGAAACTCAGGTGTAAAACATGTACTTTAAATTGTAGCAATTTCTATCTGTGTAGGTAGGGTTTTGTTTAAAACTGGTTTACAAGAATAATGATGCCTTTTCCTCTAGTCTGTTGAATGTATCTGTAAACAGGTAGCTGCCAGGTAAGCAATACCTCATGGAAGTAGCACTGCAATAAGATACCTAGGCATTCTTTTCACAAAAGAGAATCAATTCGGACAATTTCTGTGGATATTGATTCTTGTACCGATATTTTAAAGCCACAGGTTTTTGTGATGCAGTAGTTTAGTTGAAGGGGTTGCAAACTTTTTTTTAAAGAAGGGGGAGGAGGGGGGAAGGGGAGGGCTGTATATTTCTTTCCCCTGTTTTATTCTATAATGTTGCATTTGATACACTAAATTGTTAACATTGAAACCCATTCTGCACTGATGCACAGAATGTTTGTTACTCTGCATTTCTTTGTTTAAAATTGTCTTGCTGTTTTTTTTGTAACATTTGATGAAGTGTTCTCTGCTGTTGAAATTGTAATATTTAATTGCCAGTCTCAGGTTTACAAGCAGTGACGTTTACCATGAATGATAAATCCCGCTTAAGACACCCGCAAGAACACTAAAATAAACTTTATTTTTATTTAAAAAAAACACATTTTGATTCAGGTTCACCAGCAAAGCATTTTTGTTTCCGTTCTCTGTATAATTAAACAGAGATGAGCGGGAAGGGTTAATCCTACAGGTAATTTATGTTGCTGGACACTGCCAGCAGTTGTGTGGCATTGCAAGGCTTATCAATCCCTTAGTCATCATCCATCCCAGCTTTGGTTTGTATGTGTGCATGTGTGTGAATCGACCAGTTATGTTGATGGTCTTGGAACTCGACATTCATGAAAGGACTGGATTGCTCTCATTTAGGCTCCCTTTTGGGGATTTTCTTTTAAACCACCCCAATGGTTCAGAATCCTCTGCTGCAGAGAAACCTATTGGCCTGCGGAAGTGCCTGAAATTCCACCTAATCTCAGCCCGGAAGACTTTTTTTTCCCCCTTCTGATTTGCGAACAAATTGTGGAAACGATTTTAAATTCGGTTTTCATTTGGGAGTGGATTTTCCGTTCTTTTTTGAGAAAAGAAACTGACTTCCGAATTAAGACTGAATTTGAGAATTGTCTGCAAATTTGCACAATCTTATATTTTAAGAAGCTTTAGTCTTACAACAACAAGCATTATATAGAGTCTTTCACTTCAGGAGGATATCCCAAGGCATTGGCATTTACAGGTGTAGACTAGATGGAATTGAGGGCCTCTGCTGTCTTTTTAAACTTTTTAAAAAAGAAAATAACTACAGCTAGAGTCTTCCCTTTGTGTACTTTTGTTTATCAGCATGATTCCTAACCACTAATCCCCGACAAGAGGCCCTGCCTTCACCTCTTTAAATCCGCCTAAAAATCTGTAAACTACAAGATGCATTTGATTTTATTAAGAAAAAAGCAAAGCCTGGTTTATATGCAATAATTCTAGTTTTATCTGCCATGTACTGGGGACCAGATGAACACCACTTGCCTGAGTGTGCCTTTAATGTACACGTGGTGATGCCATGCACTCCCAACAAGCGGAATGAGGGAAGCAGCAGTGAAGGGGGAGAGGGCTGTTGCTTTTTCCTGAATCCCTGGAGTAGAGAAGTGGGAGGGGGAGAGAGACGGACAGAATTGGTCAGTGATCCTGTGTGTGTGTGGGGAGGGCATCGTTGGTTGGTAAACTGAGGATTAGGCTTCCCATTGATACCCACTGTGGTAAATCAGTCCACGGAGACTAACTGCATGACCTTGCGCCCGCGTACGAAGAATGGTCGGGTGCTGGAGCCCGTGGAACCGTAACCTCTGCGTGACTCAATGTCTTCATCAGAGGAGGGCTGTTAGTCTCGCCGGTCGGTACATCTGGGGGACGCGAAGGCAGATTGTAAGTCGTGCATGCTGTAAGTATTCTTGTGGCAAGTTTCTTCCATGATCTCTACAAAATCTATGCAGCGATAACTACATCTAACCACTCACAGTCTTTAGGGCGTTGCAAACGACATTCAAGTGTAGGAAGGACGCATTTCTGCCTGGAGGCAGGTATGTTGGCGACCACTCACAGCAAACTATCAACTATTGCTCTATGATCAGACCACTTTTTTTCTCTTTTTTCTGGCCATTTTTGTCAAATAAAAGCCAATGACATACCTCAGACTGTCATTCCTGCAGTCCTCCACTGAGCCTGCACTAGCTACAGCCAGTATTTTACTCTTGTCCGAGGCACTCGATGCTGCGAAACATAAAAACCTATTTATTTGTACTTTATATTTTGTATATGTTGAAATTTTTTAAAGAAATGCAATGTCAAGTCACTTTGGTTACAGTTGTGACACATACCTCAGTTGTTCTGTACTAGGGCCCTTGTTATGTAAGAGAACATTTTTATTGTTGCTTGACTGACATAGATTATTTTCCATATGAATTTACTATTTTCTATATTGTACATACTTAGAATAAATGTTTGAAAAACCTGCATCTTGTGGAGTGTTTCTGTGTGGAAAATGACCTTAGTTCATGTCAATGAACACTGGCGCAAAAGTTGATGCACAAATCTGCTTTTCTGACGTCTCTGGGAAGAAATTCTGTTTATGTGGCATTTCAGAGTGTCCAGATTCAATACAGCCTTGAACTATGTCATCCATAAAACACAGTTAATACACTTTACAGGATATCTTGTGAAGTGCTTTGGGATGCACTCCTGACATGAATGGCACTGTACCAAATAGGAACAGGAGGAGGCTATTCAGCCCATCCAGCCTGTGCTAGTAAATTTCAAGATTGTGTTCAATCCAGAACTCGGTTTCCCCCACCTACCCTCTCTCCATATCCCCTGATACCCTTGACTATCAAGTTTTATCTTTTTGCCTTTTGAATTCTTCAATTGACCTCTGTTGCCATCTAGAGGAGTGAATTCCTCATTCCACACCACACACTGCATGTAATATAAGGATTACTATCATTGTTTATAATTTTTAAGTTGGTTTTCTGGAAGTTATTTTTTTCAAAAACTATAGAAATCAACTTCAAAGTTTAGACTGAATTCAACATTTCGCCAAATTCTGGATAGTCTGAAATAAAATAATAATTCTTGTTTGATGTAATGCCTTATCCCTGTTAAGACATCGCAAAACACTTTACAGGATTTACTGTAAAGTGTAGTTTTGTGTAGAGAATGTGGCAGTTGTGTTGCACATGCCAATATTTCACAAGCAGCCATGAAGTGAATAACCAATTTTATTTGGAGGGATTGTTGGGGAGAAATTAGGATAGCACCTCTTTCCAATGCAGCACTCCACAAACAGCAACTTGCATTTATATAACGCCCACCCTTTACCAGGGTAGCATCTCGGAGAGCTTAGAAGGCACAGCAGCACTCTCAGGGACTGCAGTGGATTATGTCAGCCTTGGACTGTGCGTTCAAAGTCCAAAAAATTCTACATTATTGGAGTAAGATCGTAAGGTCCTACTCTCACAAGGTCTGTTCATTCTGAAAATGGAGCGTTTTGCTCTTCTCTATCCTGTTCAAAAGTTTTGAGTAAAAGTACAACTGCAGAGAGATCCTCCAAACTAGTTCATTATTTTCTATTGTTGAAATGGTGAGGCCACATAAGAGCATAAGGTAAAGATGTGCAAAGGTTATTCAAGCCTTCAGTACCCCCTGCTATTTTACAATTCATGGGCAGGATGTGGATGAGCTATTTTTATCTACCTCCTCCTTTGTTCACTCTGCTGTGTTCCAGCTCTTTCTCTTTCATGTGTTGGAGCCAGTTCCTCAGCTGGTTCTGTGGGACACTCTTCATCTGTGTTAAGTTGTTTCTTCTCAAAGTTATGCTCTGTGCATTTTTCTGAGCTCATTGTAACAAAAAAGCCTTCTTCGCAACTGCCTTGTGTTCTGCAAGTGATGTGGGGGGAGAGATCCAGGCACTGTAATGCACTGGACATCTAGGAAGAGAAAACATCTCTTCCCTTCCCCCCACTCCTTTGCTCAGTGTCTGACCCGGTCTTTGTGAACCACAGCAACAACAACTACTGGCATTTATATAGCACCCATCCCACATGTAGCGTATCCGAGCGCTTAACAGTGGTGTAGTTTGAAGCCCTTACGCAGTGAGTGCAATAAAAATGCAAGTTGGTGTAGAAATAACACTGGGGAATTACAAAATCCAATGTATTCAATTTGCACTGGCCTGGTCTACTGTGGAATAGTGAATGACTAAATTCACTCAAGTTGCTTTGCCCCTTATTCTGAAAAAAAGGGAGTTTCTCCTGGTGCCCCATCAAACAATTCACCAAATAATATTGGTCATTGACTTCATGGCTCTTTGTGGGATACTGCTGTGTGAACATTTGACAGCTGCGCTAATCCTACAAAGTGCTTTGAGACCTCTCGACAACGTGATAAGGCACAATATCAAATGCAAGGATTATTATTTTAATAGCCATGTAAACATTTTTTTGAAAATATTCCTAATGTTTAGTATTTTCTGTGATATACTAAAAACAAACGGATGGGTTTACCCTGGATTGTGTCTCACAAGTGTAAAGTGGAGTGACTGTATTTAGAGGAGATGAAATGGAAAACCTGAGACTGGAAATGGTTAATATGACAAAATGTTATACCCCGCCTCCGACCCCCTCCCCCTCCCCCCCAAAAAAAAATCATATGTCAGGATCAACTTACATTTAATGGCACGTTAGAATTTCCTTCTGAAGATAATTTTTGCTATTTGATCCTCGACTAAATTTAGTTGTGTCCTGGAGTCATCAAGTGCATTGCTTCTCAACGACTAGTCCCATCCCCTTTAGCTAAGTTGCCCGTCTCCAAACCCTCCTCGCCACCATTGGTGACTGTGCCTTCAGCTGCCATGCCCCTAAACATCTGGAACTCCCTGTCTCAATCTCTCCACCTGCTCCTTCGATGTCTACCTTTAAGTCTCACCTTAAGACCTACCTCTCCAAATGCACCTTTGGTCACCTCCCTTTTCCATTTCCCCCTTGCTCGGCATTCAACCCCACCACTGTACTGTGCTCCGAGACACCACCTTGCACAAAGTGCTCAATATAAATGCAAGTTGTTGTTGACCTAAGGGCCACACTGGTCTGTCATAATCTCATGGCCAGTCCATGCAAGAGATCACTCTTCGGATTGAGTGACCTGATTTACTAAACTAATTTACTGATTTCTTATTTATTGTGATGTTTTTTTCAAAAAACGTCTTGAAGTGTTATTAGTACTGTTGTTATTTATTCCTCCAGAGTGAAGACCAAATTCAAGTTTGCCAAAGTCTGGACTCTGAAATGCTAAGAAAACAGCTTGAATCTCGACCACTGTGGAATTGCTCCCTCAACAAGCTATGTGTAATATTACAATGTTGCTTTTCCTCTGTACTGTCTCTCACATAAATTGATTCCGGTCTCAGCAAATGGTACATTTTATTAAATACTTTCAATTAAGTGCTCTTGAAGACCTCACTCTTACAATACTGTATAGCAATAATCGTTGCATTTGGTATAGCACCCCATCACATTGTCAAAACCTCTCAAAGAGTGCTTCGCAGGATTTTATGGTGAAGTGTAGTGACCGTCTTCATGCTGTTAACATAACTCAAATTCTGCCCTAATGAGCAAGCCTGTCCCAGGGACCCTTGTATTTGCAGAGTGTCTTTTGCCTTAACCACACCTTCAGTGCTGGCTTTTCCAGACAAGATGAATAAAAGTGACTTGTACTTTTACAGCCGGTTTCTGCTGCAATGGAACGGAGCTGCCTCGGCCAGATAACAAAAGGGAGAAGCAGTCTTTAAAAACTCCACCTCTCCTGCAAGCGGAGATGAGGCTTCAGAGGAAGCCCCCGCCCAAAGTCCTATTACCCCCATGTTTTTTTCTACAGTGCACTGACCAACAACTGAAACGTGGAAGAATGATGATAATTGCATTTCAAAGTATTTCATTGTATTCAGTACAAGTGTTTAACTGTATTTAGATGTCCAGATAATGATCCATCTCCATGTCCGGTTCGACATCTTCCGTAACATGGATGGAGTGACGAGGAAGTTACTGGTATCAGACATTGTTCAATCTTGCTGCCTCCACCCTCAACTCCAGGTCCACTGCTGTCCTGACAGACTGCCTGTCGGATATCAAATCCTGGATGAGGGTAAACTTCTTATAGTTGAATGTGAACAAGACTGAGGCCCTCCACCAGCGCCTCTGCACCTCAGGCTCTGGCAGCATCAACCTCCATGGTTGCACATTTCAACTCACCAAGCCAGTCAGGAATCTAGGTGTCTTGTTCGACCCTCAACTGTCTTCTTCCCCACATCCAAGCCATGATCCGCTCTGCCTTCCCTCACCTCCGTAACATCCACCGACTCCACCACTACCTCACCCCTCAGGCGGCTGAAACTCTTGTTCATGCCTTCATCACCTCCAGGCTCGACTATGCAAATGCCCTGCTTGACGGCCTTCCCAATTCCTCCCTCCACAGGCTGCAGATAATCCAGAACTCTGCCGCCCGTGTCCTCTCCCGCACCAAACTCCGTGACCCCATCTCCCCCATTCTCGCCCGACTCCATTGGCTCCCTATCCTTCAGAGGATCCAATTCAAAATCCTGGTCCTCACCTACAAAGCCCAATGGTCTCGCCTCACCCTATCTCTGTGACCTAACCCCCTACCAACCCGCCCACTCCCTCCACTCAGCTGGCTCCGGCCTGCTCCATGTCCCCCGGCCCACCCTTGGCGGGAGAGCCTTCAGCCACTCGGCCCCCAACCTCTGGAACTCCATCCCCCAATCACTCCTCCTCACCCCCTCCTTAGCCTCCTTCAAGTCCCGCCTCAAAACCCTCCTCTTCGACTACGCCATTGGTCAACCCCTTCCCCTTCCCTCTCCCCCCTGATCCCAGCTCAGGTCTGAAATGCTGTACACTGTCCAGCGCCTTGGGACGTCCTCCCGACATGAAAGGCGCTATACAATTGTAATCTTGTTGTTACACATGATTCATCTGCAATAGAAAATAATAATAATAATCCTTGCATTTGATATAGCGCTTTTCACGTCGGGAGGACGTCCCAAAGCGCTTCACAGAACACACTGTAAAGTGAATTGACTGTATATTTGTGGGCGAACTACTGTATATTTGTAATTACGCACAGCAATGTCCCACAAACAGTTGTAGATAGAAAATGACCAATTTATTATTGTTTTTGGTTTTGGAGGGATTATTATTAGGCGTGTAGAGTAAGGAAACTTGCCCAAGGTTTCGCCCTGACCAGCCTGGGATTGAACTCAGGTCTCTCGCTTGCAAAGCGAGTGCTCTAACCATTGAGCTACAGGACTCCATAATAATTAATTGTCAGAAAAAAACAGGGGGTAACACCCTATAATTCTCCGTGCCTATGGTCACTTCCCCCCCACCCCATTGCTGAGTTTCCAACCCCATCAATGTCCAGCTCTCCGAGACACGATCCCGCTTGAAGGGTGCCACATAAATGCAAGTTGTTGTTGAAGCGCTTTGAGACATTTCTGTGTTATAGGCTCTAAATCAAATGCTATTTTTATTGTTATTCTAATTGCTAACCCCAGTGAGTGGTCAGCACCCACATCAGTTATTCTGAGCCCACCGTGGACTGTATTGCATTGCTGAAGCCACAGTGGGAGGGAGGGCAATGTTCAACATCATTGCATTTATAAGCCTCACCGGACCACTTTCTCCCCTCAGCATACACCGGCCCTTCCTCTCCCCTCCCTCACCACCTTTAAAGCCTGCCTTAAATCCTTTCTTTACCATTGTGCTTTTGATCACCTCGCACCCACCTCTCTGACTTTCTTAACTCCTCCTACCTCCAGCTCAGGCTCCAAGTCAACTCTAGGAAGTGCATTGAGACGTCCTCCCGATATGAACGGTGCTGTAAAAATGTGAAATTGCTCCTGTTATAGTTGAGTTACCTGTCTTCCTTTCTTACCAGTGTTTTGTCCTCTGATGATTGGTTGGGTGTAATACCTGGTGTGGGCCTAAGCTTTACAAGGTCCCAGGCTCAATGTCTGGCCCTGGCTGAGTTAACCTCAGCTGCAGTGAAGTGTGAGCCACCACTGGCCTCAGTCACCCCTGGCTAAGAACATGCAAAAGAAGCCGATATCTCCAACCTCTTTGGTACACAGGGACTCCTCCTGGATGAACTGTACAGAGCCAGATCAGACTCTGCTGCGATGGTCTGAAAGCTGTTGTCCCTCAGTTCCCCAGCTCAGAGTGTAACTGAGGATTATCTCAAGGTTTCGTTCTGAACTGCTGCAACAACAAAGAAATGTAACTTGAGGCATAACAGCACTGCCAAGAGGCTGGGTTCTGGCTCAGTGGCTCAAGGTTACTATATATAAGAAGGAATCTGCCAGTGGAGCAGCTCTACATGTTAGTCGGATAATGCTGCTGAGCTGTTGGCTGGTGAATAAGTATCGATGACCTGAGCTAAGCAGGATAAGTAAGATAAGACTTTGGGAATATTTCAATGGAAGAACGGCTAAACTGAAATCTGAACTGTCATTCCAGGGCTTAGAAAGTAACGGCCTTTGTGACAATACAGTCCAAGGTAAGTGAGGAACACAGAATGTGCAGCCCAGCTCTACCTGGGCTGAGGCTCAGTATATTTATTGTTGGGTAAAGCAGGCTGAGACTTGTGAAAAAAAGAGAGTTTATTAATCTGATCCAGGGCTAGGTGAAATTTCACAATGCATTTGATGTGATCACATTAAAAGCATTGTGAAACGCAGCAGGTTTATCCCCCTAGTTTGCAGTAAGGATGTTTAAAGTGGGAGAGGGGCAAGACCATATCTGAGGGCTGAGCATAAGCAGATATGAGCGACCTTTCTCGACTTTGCAAATGTTCAGCATGCAGGAGAACCTGACAGTAAAAGTCACTGTGGTGTTGGAACAGTCTGGAAGCCAAGATGTAGAGGATTTAGAGTCTTGATCTCCTGAATTCAGATTAGTTTTATCTCCCAAGTTTTATCTCTCCTTGAAGCAGAGGTAATAATAATAATTCTTACACCTGATATAGCACCTTTCACATCAGGAGGACGTCACTGACCTTATACCTTAAAGTGCGTTGTTTGTGTGTTTCGTGGGCAAACCCGGCAGCCAATCTTGTGCACAGCAATGTCCCACAAACAGCCATGAAGTGAGTGAGCAATTTTATTTGGGGGATAATAGGATGCCAGGATACTGAGAGAAACTCCCTTCTCTTTTCAAATTGAGCCATGGTAACTTATGATTGGAGTCCTGTAGCTCAGTGGTTAGGTCACTCACCTTGCAAGCGAGACACCTGGGTTCAATTTGAGGCAGGGCGAAACTTTGGGCAAGTTTCCTTACTCCACACGCCTAATAATAATCCCTCCAAAACAAAAAAAACAATAATAAATTGGTCATTTTCAATCCACGACTGTTTGTGGGACACTGCTGTGCGCAATTGGCTGCCGCGTTTTGTCCACAAATATACAGTCAATTCACTTTACAGACTATTCTGTGAAGCGCTTTGAGACTTCGAGAAGACGTGAAAAGCGCTGTATCAAATGCAAGGATTATTATTATTATTGTCTACCTGAACAGGCTTAAATGGCTTAAATGTATCATCAGCATGCATTGGAGTGTCAGCATTGACTATATGAGTTCCAAGTAACTATAACAATGGCAAAGATTAGAAAATGGGCGTTTCTACCAGCTGGTTGTCACTATTATCCGTCTCTCAGACACCAAGGCAGACAGATGTTTATCTGTTACAGTGAAGGCTTGCCTTGTTTGGGAGGGAGGCGGGTAGACCGTAACATGATAAGCATTTGGTAAATGAGCGGGCCCTTCCACTCTCAGGCATGCAAAAAGCCATAAGAGGGAAGCAAACTCGCTGGAGGAGGAAGGACAACTTGGGTGGTCAAGGTAATGCAGAATCTTATCTTATGCGCATTTTGGTGCACTATCACCAGAAGATAAAAAGGGAAGTAAGGAGAGGACTGTTAGAATGGGGAATGCTTTGCCACAAATGACTGTCAAAGCTGAGTCAGTAGAACATTTGAAAGGGAATTGGAAAATACTTGGGAGAATATAATAAGGATAAAAGAAAAAAGAGGGGTGCGATTAGAGCAGATAATAATAATAAAAATAATATAGTGCCTTGATATAATGCTTTTTACATTGAGAGGGATTTTACTGTAGTAACTGTATTTTGCGGGCAAGCGGGGCTGCCAATTCACACACAGTAAATTGAGCTATTAGGGTTTAAGTATCTGCTCTCTGGGCCTGACAGAGATACGGAACCTGGTTTATCCGTCAGCAAGAATGGAATATTTGGGCTGTCTTATATGTTACAATCTGGAGCCCCATTCCAGTGACCCTCCGTCTCACCTCACCCCCTCCCTCTCTTAATTCTTCAAATCCCGCCTTTCGACCTATCTCTGACTACACTGTCAGCCACCTTTCCCCTTCCCCGCAACCCCCTCCCCCCACAGCTCAGGTTCCCTATTCAGTTGTGTGAAGCACTTTGAGACGTCCTCCTGAAAATGAAAGGTGCCCTATAAATGTAAATTGTTGTCGTTGTAGAGGACGGTGTAATCACCAGTGAAAAGCTGCTCTTGCCAATCGTCCACTTAAGAAAATGGATCCAATGTGAACACTTATTTCCTTGTTGAGCAAGTGAGGAATCCCATTGTGAACAAGAGGCTGCAGCTCATCTCCACTCGAGGTACCTGCCAGTGAGTGACCGCGTGGACACGTGCTCTGCCTTGTGCAACGCACACTCTGGGGTCCCCAAGCCTTGGCTCTTGCCAATCTGCGCCTAATACTTCCCGGAATTAGCGAAGTAGGATGCGTCCCTCCAGGGAGAGAGTGCGCATTCCATTCCAACAATCTGTCTCTGGGATCTCCATGTGTAGGTGGGATGCATGGAATTCTCAGCTTGGTTTGGATACTAACGCTTAAGTACGGTGACAGGTTTCCGCATGTGTGAAATACCCGACTGACCAATTTTTTTCTATTTGTTCCATCGATCAGAGCTGCAAATTTTGTGCGTATAGATCAACCCATTCCCTCACCTTCAATGATACGTTGGCACATTGTAATTCTGTCACGCAGACAAGCTTCCTTTATCAATGGGTCTTTGCTGCTTGTTTCTAGGCTGCCTCCAGGTTTCCTGCGGATCCCGTTCGTTGGATGGAAACGTGGTCCAGGAGCTGTACACAAGCAGCCAGTTAAAAGCTTGGCATTTTTCTGAAAGAAGCCACCATGGCCAGGAAGGAAACCAGGTTATTTTGTTGTGTGTGTGCATTGGCAGGCATGCGTGTTCATATATGGTCTATATAGGTGCCTGTATGTGTGTGTGTTTGTGTGTATACAATGAGTACATTTTAACAGTAAAAACTGAAAACTCAAGAAAGTAATGGTGTCCCTGAGTAAGATCCCCGCTTCCAATGCTGCGACTGGGAGCCACACTGTAATACCCTTTTGAAGGGAGCTTCCCCCCCCCCCCCCCCCAAGAGGAATAACTTCGGGTGTCGGCTGTTGACTGAAGTCTGCTGTGTTGCAGTTTGCTTCCTAAGCTGGTGAATGGGGGGATTGCTGGCCTGGTAGGCGTGAGCTGTGTGTTCCCCATTGACCTGGTGAAGACTCGTCTCCAGAACCAGCAGAAAGGGCATCATCTCTACACCAGCATGTAGGTGCTTCATATTCTTCACTCTTCTTAACCTAACCTCCGAAACTCCCTCCTTAACCCCTGACACGCTCCACCTTATCTGTCTTCATGCCCCTTCTTAAAACCTACCTCTTTGACCACACCTATCGTAACCTTCCCCTTTCCCCCTCTCTCCTTCCCTGCCCTCTGGCTCGGTGTCCGTCTCCACCACTGTTAAGCACTACAAAATCCACGACTGTTTGTGGGACACCGCTGATAACACTGCAAGTGGCTACCGTGTTTCGGCTACAAAATACACAATCAATTCACTTTGCAATATATTCTGTGAAGTGCTTTGAGACATCTAAACATGATAATGTGGTATATCAACTGCAAGGATTATTGTTATTTTATAAATTATATAAATGCAAGCCACCTAGACTAAGCCCAGTCTCCTGCTCACTGCCAGAGAGTGATTTGTACTCAACCCAAAGCCCCTTTGAATCTATGCCATCTGCTCCAGTCCTCTTCTCCCTCCACTCTCCTGACTCCTTTCTTCCCTCCATCCTGCCATCAAAGCTTTCAGCCACTACGCCACTGCTTCCTGGAACCCTCTCCCAAACTCCCTCTACCTGCCTCTCCCTCCGCCTCCCTTAAAATCCAATCTCAATGCATTTGGTCAGCAGCCTTAAATTCTCCCTCTCCTCCTTCCTCAGCGCTTCCTGTTATCTATGTAGAAGTTGTTTTGTTTTGTATCAATTTGGCCCCTGAGAAAGGTCTTTCAATTCATGCCGTAGGTAAATGAGCATTTCACCTTTCAGGTTGGACTGTATGGTAAAAACAGTTAGAGCGGAGGGCTTCCTTGGCATGTATCAAGGTGAGCGATTTTACTGTAAGCTTATTTGGCATTCCAAGTTTACTTTTACTCTGTCCAGGTCCACCTGGACACTCTCAGTTTGAAGCTTCAGGATCACTGGAGAAGTGAAGACTCAGGGGATCAGTGGTCCTGAACCGCATGACCATCTTACAAGGTCACCTATGACCCAGTTCCATTGATGCTCTAGTTATGGTGATGCCAGGCACCCATGTGCAGTGAGAAAGCAACTCAAGCACCTAGGTGTAAAGTCACATCCCACCCACAATACTCTTGCAGAGCCTTAGCACCAAGGTGTTAAAAGGCTGGTGAATTTCAGCTGCATTTTCACTTGGTGAAGTTGAAACATTATGTCAAACATAATTCAACTTTCGTCCAGAAATGTGCTGTGATTAAGGTCGAGTTAAACAGGTTTAGGGTCACACAGTGTCCAAATATGTGTGCAGTTGTTTTAGCAATCTCCCCCTATTTTCCTGCATGAAAATCCTTCTAACAAACCCATCTTCCCAGGCTGGCAGGAATGTGAACACAGAGCATGTGGTATAATCAGGAGAGCCTGTTCTGGCTGTTCCTGTCGATGCAGTTGGAAGATATAGTTCAAGGAACAGTCGTGGGTTTTGATGTGTGACTGTGATCCTTGCCCTATTTGCTGCACTGTTGTCAACTCCATTGCATCAAGTGGTTTGTGGTCAAACCTTCTAACTGGCTCTAGCATCTGGGGAATGGCATGAGGAAAAGAACACATGCTTATCCGGTAAATGAATCAGTGTCTTTGTGCATGTCGCAGCTACACTGCAATAAAGGAGCAAACACTGGCTTGCTTTGAGAGCTATGGCCTCTCTGTCACAATCAGCACAAGACGTTTGTATTCATTTCTATTAGTGGGACCTTGTTGTGGGCATATTGGCTGCTTTGTTTGCCTTCAAAGTGCACGAGTACTACACTTGGCTCTAGACACGTTTAACAAAAACATTTGTTTGTATCGTCTTTGGTCTGATTTTATAAGAACGGTTTTAGGTCTATGCAGAAATGCAAAACCATCTTCCAATTTTGCAATGTAATTTCTTTCGTTAAATATACCTTGTGCCAAGCCTAACAGTCGCTGCATTTTATAGGCAGTTTAAAGGTCCATGACACTATCCAAAAAATGAAGGGAGTTTCTCCTTGTATTCAGGCCAACAACCCTCTTAATAAAATTGGTTCATCGCTTCATGGCTGATTGTGGGACAATCCTGTGTGCAAATTGGCTGCTGTATTCAACCACTAAATGCATAGTCACTACACTTTACAGTGTATCCTCTGAAGCGCTTTGAGAAGACGTTCATCCGTAATGAAAGGCGCTATATCAAATGCAAGAATTATTACAGTGTTATCAAATTACCCATGAAGTAGATTTTGACATAATAGTCGCAATACCAAATGTGAGCATCAGGGCTTGTTTTGTTGTTACTCCAATATATATGATGAGTCTGGGTTTTTGTACATTCCAGGGGCTTCAGTCAACATGGCTCTGGTCGTGCCTGAGAAAGCCATCAAGTTGGCCACCAATGATTTCTTCAGACAACTGCTCTCTAAAGACGGGTAGGTCTTGTTGTGAACATTTTGACTTGTCTGAAATACCTCCTGAGCTCAGTTCTGGTGAAGGCTCTTCATTCCTTTTTAATCAAACCAGTTCCTGCTGACAGGTCTAGTTTTCAAAAATAAAATATTCTTATCTGCCATTTAAAACCACTACTGGCCGGGGTCAGTCGGTAGCAATCTCGCCTCTGAGTCAAAGAGTTGGAGGTTCAAGCTCCTCGTCAGGACTTTGAATTCACAGTCCAGGTTGACACTCAAATGCAGTGTTGAGGAGACACTAAATTTTCAGAGGTGCTGTCTTTTGAATGAGACATTAAACCGAGGCCCTGTCAATATATACTGAGAGTTAACTTAATGCAGACCAGGATTTGAACCTGGTCTGCATTGAGTTAACTCTCAGCATATATTGACCTCTGCACTTCGTGCAATGGGCTGGAGGAGAAGGGATGAGCAGAATCTTTTACGCAAGTACCAGGGAAGCCTGTAACTTGTTTGTGATGCATAAGTAATGCTTATCCTGAGTTTCCTCTTATCATTTCATTCTGTTTTCCATGGTGTTAGCTAGTCCTAGAACTGATCTGTGAACATGTCGAGTTGCTGAGCCACATTCCTCGAAGTGGAGAATCCGATAAAGTACAGCAGCTTTCCAAGAGACTGAGTTAGCAGTTGGACACCAAGGAATGCACCAAAATGAAAGAGAGCATATAGATATAAAGAATTACTTCAGTGTCCTACTTAAGATGGGGTGACTTATTCTCAACAGAGCTCTGTCAAACAGCCTATGGGAGAACTCTTGACACAAGTGCACAGTCACTGCACTTTACTGTATATCCTATGAAACGTTTTGACGTATTTTGATGATGCGATGAGGCACTATATCAAATGCAAGGATTAGTATTACAAAACTATTTGAAAAAGACAATGGGGTTTTGCGATCGAACATGAGGGCTGAAATAGCTTTGATCACTGGAAAATCCTAATTATTCAAACTGTATTCTAATGTGGGTATGACTGTTTTTTTTTAAAAAAAGAAAAATGTTTGGGACATCCTCCTGACATGAAAAGTGCTATGCTACATGAAAAGATTATTATTATTGTTCCTAATCTTCCAGGTGTCAATCATTGAAAGCATGAGCCTTCCTGTTGGCATTCCAATTGCAAAGTCAGTGTGAAAATTACATCTGCAAAAACAGGATCAAAACTGGAGCCTTTGTACTCAGACAGTGTACAGTTCTATGGGCTCCGCAGGCTTACTGGCAATGCATTAGACCAGAGGTCTAATGGTGTAGCAGTGCTACCAGCTGGTTAGTAGCGGTACTGTAGCTGAAAATTCATCACTAATTGTGTTATACAGTATTTTAAAACTATTCATCACAAGCCTGTTTTCTTTAAACTAAAAACATGGCAAGTGAAACACCTATCTAAAAAAAATTGAATGGTGAATAGCCAGTGCTTTTAAGAAAAGACATTTTTTGGGATACCAGGTAATAGAATATCACACAGGATAGTGCTCCCAAGATGCTATCTTGTACGAAAGGCGCTGTACAAATGCAAGTTGTCATATATAGTTTTATATATATATATATTGAAGCAACTCTAAAGACAACTTGGAATTTTTTTAAAAAATATGGAAAGGTAGTCGAGTCATGTCAGTTTGAATTTTTTTTGGTCATCCAGGTGTCTGACCATCAGTCTCAGAAATAGGTGGTGCAAGTGATACTATTTATTGCCTCACTGCAGTGTAAGAACTGAAACCCCGGCCGAGTTACCCAGTTTCATAACACTGTAGCGTAGATATGCAGAAGAGATTAATTATTGTTTGTTTCAGTCAGTTGTTGTTATTTTCATATCCCCGTTTCTGCCTGCAGCTCTGTGTGTCCAGTAATTATTTTTTAATGTATTCATTTAATTTATTTTAATATATTCATTCATTATAAAGAGTCCATAAAGGGTGCTTCATTAAATGTGTTCATTAGCTTTCAGGGGAAATTCAGACATTCTGCTCAGAATTGTGGCATTGTGACTCTCACTTCCTCAAACAACGATTAATATGGTGTCGGTGGGAATGTTTAAGAGGGAAGCAGATAAAGACTTGACTAGTAAGCATATTGGGATATAGAGAAAAGGCAAGAAAATGGTATTGACTTACAGATCAATTCTTTAAGATGCTCCAAGACTGTAGAACAAGAGGACATAGGTTTACAGTTGTAAAAGGCAATTTCATGACAGGCACCAGGAAGTTTTTCTTTACCGAGAGGGTAGTTGACAACTGGAACGGATTGCTAGGAATAATGATAGAGGGCAGGACACTGGACTCATTTAAAAAGCAGTTTGATGCTGTTATTAGGGGATCGGAGGTGGGTATTCTGGAGGAATGAGAGAGGATGGTCTGAAGGCCCATCTTCATTCAGACTGATCTTGTGAATCATGATCTCAGGAAATTGTGAATCAAGCTCAACAGGCCTATGGCCTACTTCTGTTCCTACGTTCCTAGATCTCATTGTAAGACACAACTTAATATACAGTATCCAACATGTTTCATTCAAAATGAAACAGCCCAGGCTGAGGTGAATTTAATGCAATAGTCTTCAACTCTTCTTGAAACTGCAGGAAAAGTCTCTCCTTGGTCAAAGAGATGTTGGCAGGGAGTGGTGCTGGCCTGTGCCAGGTTATCATCACCACTCCAATGGAGATGCTGAAAATCCAGTTACAGGATTCTGGCCGAATAGGTAAGAGCAACAGGAGGCTGTTCACTTCATTCTGTTTTCCGTCTCTGTGAGTTAAATAGGATAGATCCATAAAGGTATAGACAGCTGAGCCACATGCCTTGAAGTGGAGAAAGTGATAAAGCGTGGCAGCTTGCCAAGTGATCTTAGCAGTTAGACATCCGTACGAGACGTCTTCCCAATGTGAAAGGCGCAATGTAAATGTAAAATTGTATTGTATTGGTATCCAGGATTTGCACTACAAATTAATGTTCATAATTAGAAACAAAGAAACATAGAAATCTACAGAGCAGCAGGAGGCCATTCGGTCCATCAAGACTGCACTGGCTCACAGAGCAAGGAGATCATTTTAGTCAGACCGTCCTCATTATCCCCCCATATTCCTTCAAGCCCTCTCTCTTTCATATACGTCTCTTCTTCCCTCTTGAGAGCCACAATGGATTCCTCCTCCACCACCCTAACTCGGCTGGGAATTCCACAACCCAACCCTCTCTGGGTGAAAAAAGAGCATACCATACTGAAAAACCCTCACTTCTTTACTTCACACACCACAGCTACGCATTTTGTGACAACCGCAGAAGGCATAAGGGTAGAATATTATTTGTTACTGTTCCATAATAAAAGCTTTAATCTGAAGCAAGTCATTCAATCAATCTCGACTGTAAAACATTCAAGCTAACAGTTTGAGACCTCAGCAGCGAATTCCCCCCATTGTAGACCTGGAGCAAATGTTCTTTGTGGAAGGAAATAGGTCAGAGCTGAAACGTAGACTTTCTTATTCTACGTTATGGTGGTGGTGACGGTGGTGGGTTGGCGCGGGGCAGAGAGAAGTTCGAATTGGACTAGACTTGCACTGTTTTCATAGCATTTCAGGATGTGCAGAATTTCGGAACTTCGTTGAATACTATCTTAGTTTTGAATGCAGTTTTCTGTAGGATTTCATCATTGCTGGCTTTCTGTATTAATCTCAGGCACCATAAAAGATACTTGCGTTGATGTTTTCCTCAGCAGCTCAGATATCTGGAGGTTTAAAAGGAACTCATGCAGCTCCACAGGATAAAAGGTCGTCCGCAATGTATGTTGTCAGTCAAGCACAAACTCCCAGGGCAATCTCGGCCATCTCCTTAACCAAGGAGCTCCTTTTAAGCAAAGGGATACTGGGACTTTACAAAGGTTTAGGAGCCACATTACTGAGGTGAGTTGCTTCATATTAAAGTTTTTATTCCGGATCAATAAAAAATAATATTCTTCCCTTATGCCTTGTAAGGTTGTCACAATAAAAGTCTAGGTGTGGGGTGTGAAATAAAGAAGTGAGGATTTTCCGGTATGGCTTGTTCTTTGTTGTGACACGTAAGTGTTGGAACTTAGAATGGTATAGAATTATATACTGTACAGCACGGAAACAGTTCATTCAGCCCAAACAGTCTGCCATGGTTTATATTTCACATAATCCACTGCCTTTCCTATTCCCCTCTGCTGTAGCTCTCTATTCTCTTCTCCCTCATGCATGCATTAAGTATCCTCTTAAAATCGTTGATGTAATTTGTAATATGTAATTTGTTCCAAAACTCAGCTTCCAGCAGTGAGTTTTAGGAACGTAGGAATAGGAGTCGGCCATTCAGCCCTTCCAGCCTGTTCCACCATTCTATTTGATATTGAGTTCCACATTCTCACCATGTCTCTGTTTGAAGAGATTCCTTCTAAACACCTTATTCAATCGGCTACTGGCTATCCTACATTTATGTCTGTTAATTTCTGATCTGCTTTAACCAGAATCTCTTTCTTTTCAGAGATGTGCCATTCTCCACGATCTATTTCCCACTGTTTGCAAACATTAACAAGCTGGGACAGAAGGCCACTGGGGAGAAGGTTCATTTCCATCATTCTTTCCTGGCCGGATGCACTGCTGGCTGTGTGGCAGCTGTAATAGTCACTCCCTGTGATGGTAAGTACTCAGTGTTTGTGGGATGATTATTATTTTTATTGTTTCTGAATAATGATGAAGATCTGACTCTTTTCTATCTGATGGCAGAAGCTGTGTCAGGGTCAGACAGTCAACAACGACAATTTGCATTTATACAGAGCTTTTACCTAAAATGTAGCAGTGGAGACTGAGCAGAGAAACAAAAATGTTAAATGACAACCAAAGGTAGAATAACATCCTGTGAAGCTGCTTTGAGATGTTTCAATGACTTGATTAGGAGCTATAACAAATGGCAGGATTATTATTAACATTTTACTAGCCCAAATTAGATCAGATCATTGAGCACAAACCAGGATTTGAACCTGCGATCTTCTGGAATAAATGGGCCCACTGCTGTTACTGCCTTTGCCCTCTAGCTTAACAACCTTCTCATATAGACATATTTGTTTTACAAAGTTGTGAAGACCCGTATTCAGACACTTCAAAAAGGGAAGGGCGAGGACACCTACAGTGGAATCTTGGATTGCGTGCGGTAAGTCAGTTAGTTAATGAACACTCACAAGCTACTATTCAAAGCCATGTGCAACATTTGGTATCAGAATAACGTTTATGTTTACCTTCAATATTTTTCAGAAAAATTTGGAGAAGGGAAGGTCCTTCTGCTTTCTTAAAGGGAGCTGGCTGCAGAGTGTTAGTTATTGCACCGTTGTTTGGAATTGCACAAGCAGTTTATTTCGTTGGAATTGGGGAATATATTCTGAATTTACTTTGACGTGGTCTGAAATAGCTATCGAGACAGAAGAAATCATTCAGAAGTGCAACACCTTTCATCTTCTTGCTGGATACGTCAATCACAAAACACAGTCACTACACTTTACAGTATATCCTGTGAAGCATTTGTGGGACATCCTCCTGATGTGAATGTGAGGATCAAACCAATTGTAAGGATTATTATTATTTTTATTACTTCTGAAAAATGATGAAGATCTGACTCTTTTTTTATCTGATGTGAGCCAGACCCTCAACTTTCCATTTCTGTATTCAAAAAACATTGGTCAAATTCGCTCTCAGGAAGTGAGTGAATAAGATATATCTTCTTTAACAAACCAACAAAGTGCCATTTCTGTGGAAGGAGATTGAGCCAGCAGTGCCCATGTGATCTTTGAAAATGTAGTTACTAAAGATACTATTTCAGACATTGGCATGGTTTATCTATCATGGCAACCGATTCCATGTTTTTTTTCTGTTACTTCATAATAGAAGGACCTGAAATTTTATCTGCCCGTCTTTCACTAGGGCTATTTGCAGGTTACTGCTGCACAGCACATTTGCCTTCATTAGATGTTTGGTGGTGTTATTCACGCACGTCTCTTTTGTTGTTGTTTTGGTTTATGCACTGAGGACCGTATTCCTCGCTCGGCCTTGCTTCTCATAGCGCCAACAATTGGCTTGGATTCCAACCAGCTTGAAATCTCATCCAGCTTTAGCCTGTAAAACAATATTGACTTAAAATAATATAAGGTTTTGCAAATGCAACATTGTCAAATTTAGCCTGAATTTGAAAGTAAGTTCCTTTTGAGAACTATGGAAAACAGACTTCCAAATTTGGACTGAATCTGATAATTCCCTGCAATTCTGCACCGTGTAAAATTGTAAAAAAACATGGTCTTATAAGCTAAGACTAAGTGGAATCTTGAGTCTCTGGGAACAATACACTTCAAATAATCAACTTTATCAACTTCATAACTCAGAACATATTTTGGCCATCAATTTATTTTGGATTAAAATTCTTACTCCCCTGAGTTTGGTAATTCTTCCAGTCACATTGGTAACACTAATTTTTGAAGACTATGGTTGTGAACTGAACACAGTTTATAGCGATTGATGCTTCTGATCTGAATTAAGATGGGGTGTGTACCTAATTTAAGGGTGTTCGAATACATGTGATAATAGTGAATAACAAATGATCTTGGACGTAATTTCCTTCTTCCCTCCATCCAAAAACCTTCCAAATCTGTCACAATAGTTTATTCGCCTGAATGATTCAAAAACTGAAAATATTGGAGTAAAATTCCACCTGGATTTACTCTGTTCAACAATCTACCAAATTCTGCACAATCTGAAATGCTATGTTTATAGAGGAATTCACCAGCACGTTGGAACATCCTCCCGACATGCAAGGCACAATATAAATGCAATTTGTTGTTGTTGTTAAAATCTAATTGGTGGAATTTGTATGCTATGCTTGGTTTCAAATTTTATTCCGGTTTCCAAGTTTGCCCCATAGATCATTTACCTGATTCAGATGTATGAAATTCAAGTGATGCAGATCAAGTAATGCGCAGTAAATTGAATCGCAATGATCATTTTTTTCATTAGGAGCTGTCTAGGGGTGCATACGACTAGTGATATAACCTTTCTCACAAGTATGTGTGTACAGGTTCTTGATTTTTTGCTGGAAGATAGTGCAACAATATAGCTGTCAAGTCAACCAGCATTATTCAATAAGTAAACCTTAAAAGGAAGTGTAGGTTACAGTCTGGTTAGGTTCAAGGAGGGAGCAATTCCACCTGGCTCTAGATTTACTCTATATAGTATTTCAGAAACGTCGGCCCCTATCCACACCCTTTCCCTCGTCCCCCCATTCCCCTAGTTCGTATTCCCAGTCAACTGTATGAACCACTTTGAGATAAGACATCACCTCAACATGAAAGACGCCATATCAAAATAAATTGTTGTCATTGTTTTTCTTAGCATTTCAGAGTATCCAGAATTGCTGGCAAATTGTTAAATTCCGTTTTAACTTTGAAGCATTTTTTTGTGGCTCTTAACAGAACTTGTACAAAACTGGCTTAAGTATTAAGAATTTCCCAATCCTGGATGTTCTGATATACTACATAAGTAGTGTAAGTCTAGCCTTGGGTGGAAAAGGTTTCTGAAGATAATTGCTTCTCTTTCTGGTGCTGTTCCTATTAATCTCTCTCAATACTTGGTTTTATCCCAAAGGTTGTTTCCCAACAAAAATACACAGTCACTACACCTTACAGTACTTCTTGTCAAGCACTTTGAGGCATCTTCCTGACCTGAAAGGTATTATATCAAACTAACTACCCGTTGCAGCTATGTTTGCAACCAAAGTATCCAATATGAAATGTAGATTGACACAAAGATAGACACATTTACTTATCCTTGAAAGGTTTGATTTTCGCTTAGGCATCTTTCTAATGATGAATATAAATGTATAATTTATAATCACTAGGACATCCTCCTGACATGAAAGATGGCTTTAAAAATGTAATTTTGCGGCTGTTGTCTGTGTTCATCTGTGTTCTTTAGCTTTGTCTATGTTCTTTATTTTGTTCCTGCCCCTGCTTGGTGCGTGCTCTGTGACACATAATGCCACAGCACCACTGTCAGCCAACACAGCCACCAGGTGTAACTGCAACAAAAAATGCAAAACTGAAATATATGTTAGGTCATACCGCATGAACGATAGGAGATACTTGAAAACAAATATGCCCACGTCACTCCCATTTCAAAGAACGTCCCGATGTTCATGTCTCTATATCAAGCAATTATTGAGATCCTTCTTGAATCGCACACAGACAGACAGACATTGTCGTTTTACTAATATAGAAGAAAAATATAGATGGAAAGATTACATACACTGTATATTTTTTTAAAAAAAAGATGTGCTGCATTTTGTGCATTTTCACCAGTGCAAAACAACTAGGGTCTCCACAAGAAAAAAATAGGTGGACAAAAACAATGTGTAGAAATTAATACTATCATATCAAACAATGTAAGATAACAAAGACATCTGTAAGGGAGAGATGAATAGGAAGAGGGGATTAGGAGGGATGGAGGCTCATGTGCAGTAAACTGTGGAGCACCTTGATACAGACGAGTTTGGCTGAATAGCCTGTTTTGGGGCTGTACAATCTATATAATTCTGTGTAAATTTGTACCTATCAACAGTGATCTCAACAAAATATTTTTAATATATATCTACATATAGGTGATGTATATTCTATTTATGCACATGTATGTGGATACTTGAACAACAACAACTTGCATTTTTATAACACCCTTCACCTCGGGTAACATCTCTTGGAGTTATCCTCTAAGATAAAAAATAATAATAAATTGTGCAACACTGCTGTGCGCAATTGGCTGCCGGGTTTCGCCCACAAAAAAAAAGTTGATTCACTTTACAGTTGATTTTTTGAAGCACTTTGAGACTTCTCGAAGACGTGATAAGCCGCTATATCAAATGCAAGGATTATTATTATCCTACAATGAATATCCCACGTGATATCTGCTGAAATGGTGGTATTGGAGTTTCATGCAATTTCCCCAGGGAGAGCTGCACAGCTTCTTTTTAATTGTTGTTTACAGAGTAATATAATTACACGAGTATATAATTCATTCTGTCTCATATTTCAGCCTCGCAGCTCATCTGTACAATTTATTCAGCATTCACTGCTACAGGGCGAGCACCACAAGGCTTGTGACCCCCTTCTGTTTAGAAAGTGTCTACGTTTCCATAGTATAAACACAGGTCACATGAAAATGCTCCAAGCAGCCATTCTGCAGCTTGTCATCACCTACTAGGTTCTCCAGAGATAATAATAAAATAATAATCTTTGCATTTGATATAGCGCTTTTCACATCTTCTAGACATCCCAAAGCGCTTCACAGAATGTACTGTAAAGTGAATTGACTTTATATTTGTGGGCGAACACAGCAGCCAATTGCGCACAGCAGTGTCCCACAAACAGTCATGGATTGAAAATGACCAATTTATTATTGTTTTTGTTTTTGTAAGGAAACTTGCTCAAGGTTTCGCCCTGCCGGGAATTAAACTCAGGTCTCTCACTTGCAAAGCGAGTGCTCTAACCACTGAGCTACAGGACTCCACAATCAATACAAATTAAACCCTTTTGTTTTATACTCCTAAAACAATACAATGTCAAAATGTACATTCTAATACTGTGTATGCAATGGTATACTGCAGGTGGAAACGGATAAATAAAATGGATAAATTGTATAGAACTACGACATTTATTTATTTAGACCGATGTAAAACTAATAAAGCCTGAAATTTCATATCGGAATCAACTATTTGGCAATAAGACCCTTTTAATGAGCAGTGGTGATATTGATGTTCTGTAATCCAATTGCTCACATTGGTGAAGATAACGATGTGCTTTATGTTCAATCTGACGCTGATCATTTTTTGGTTGGATGTTTAGGCGGCATTTGAAACCAGGATGGATCTGATGTAGAGTCCCACAATTTAATTTCCCTACAGATTTGCACAAGTAAGGGAAATGAACCTCCCCACCTCCAATCCCACACTGATAAGCATATATTACTTGTAAGCATATATTACAGATGAAGAATTCTAAGAACATAAACCCGTGGAAGCTTGTTACTGTCTCAGTGCATCTCGGCTGTTCAGACTGACACAATCCGAATTGCTGAAAATGATGAGTTGAATCCAGAAAAAAAAGTTACGCTGTACAATGTTTGACACTGTTTAAAAGATATTCAATTTTCAATAAAATGGGTTTGGTTCTTTTAAGTTATTATGACCCCCCCCCCCATTGATGGCTTATGTCGCTGTGAGCGGTAAAAGCACCATGCAAAATGAAGGCAATAATTTACTTGTGAATTTGTGTCGGTAAATATGCAATATACTCGGGGCACCCCAAATACCAAAACCCACCAAAGCCCTATCAGATGACTCCGCATTGGTAGCGTAACCGGGATTTGTAGCGCGTAAGGGAAAACAACATAACATGAAATGCTCTTTGGCTCATCAGGCTGGTTCCTTCCCGCAGAACCACGCAGAACATAAACCGATCGGTACACTTCACCGCACTCACTCGATGGGGTGGGAGAAGGATAGGGAGTTGGGAGAATGCAAACATCTTTCAACAATTTACTGTAGTGACAACCTTTGGCAGTCCCTTCTCCCCGGCTCTCGATCCCACCCCGACCCCCCCCCCCCCCAAGTTGGCCGCAATTGAGAGGGGAGGAGGTATGTGTTTGAAATGAACAGGAACGAGTAAATGGAGATGGATATGTTAATCCACTGAAGTGTTTGGATGGGGAGCTGTGGGGAGGCTGATGGCAGACCAGCGCTCAGCGGCTCTGCAGCGCCCACGCGGCGCCTCCGGGCAGCGTTCCAACCCCACGCCGTCACATTCCGCGCCTGCGCGCGCAGCGGATCCATTGTCCGCGGAGATGACGGGAAAGAGAGAGAGAGAGAGCGAGCGAGCGGCCGCTCGGCGCACGCGCATATCCGCCTCCCTCTCACACATCACGGGGGGTGGGGGTGGGGCAACGCTGCCTGTTTTTGGGCGGTTTCACGCCCGATTGGGCGAGTTATTTTTTTTGTGTGTGGGGGGGGCGCGCTTGCAAAAAAATTAAATCTGCATAACGTCCCCTTTCCCCCCCCACCCCCCACGAACCCTTAGCTTTTTTTTCCCCACATGATTTCAAAAGCACTGACCTAAACCGCTACCCAGAGGAGAGGAGGCGCGTAATACTATTGGGCTACTTTTTGGGCTAGTTATCGGGGGCGGAGGGGAGGGGGGGGACCTTTGGGCTACGGACGGGTTTCATTGTAAATCTCCGGCCGGCGTGCGCAGCGCAGCGCGGGAGGGGGCGGGGCGGGAAGCGCCGGCTCGAGACCGCGCAGGGGGCGCGCGCAGCGTCGACAAACGGTCAGAGCCGCGGCGGGAGGGAGCGAGAGCGCGAGAGAGGGAGAGAGAGGAGGAGGTGCAGACAAGCGACCCCGGGCCGAGCACCGGAGGAGAGGCACAGGGGGAGGGAAGGAGGGAGAGAGAGAGAGGGAAGGAGAGAAAGAGAGAGAGAGAGGAGGAGGAGGGACCCGTTCCCAGTCCATGACACTCGCAGTTTAACTGAAGCAGAGATCAGAGACACTGCTTTAGGCCGTCGTCGTCGTCGTCGTCGCCGCCGCCCTTCCTCTTCTCGGGGCGGGGGGTGTGGTGTGTGTATGTGTGTGTGTGGATGAGCTCTTCCTTTCCTCGTTATTTATTTTATCGTTATTCACAGTCACGGATATAAAATATATCCCTATATAGCAGGAGGAGCAGCTGCTTTACCCCTCCGTGTGTGTGTGTGTGTGTGTTGTTGTTGTTTTCCACATTAGAAACCTGGAGGAGGAGAGGGAGGGGGGAAAAAAAAATTAGGATTTATCCGTGTTTTTTTTTCCGTCCATTTCTTATTTTGATCACAGACTGTGTCCCTGTCCCGATTCCGACAGTTCGTCGGGGGCTGCTCCCCAGTCCCTGTCCCTCCCTCTCCCCCCTCTCCCGGGGACCAGGGAGCCATGTCACCAGCGCTGCCTCTGTCGGTCGGCAACGTGTGATGCTCTCTTTCTTACGCGTTGGCTGTAATGAGGTGACAACAATGTTTTAGCGTCAGGCAATCACAATCCTCTCCCCCCCCCCCCTCCCCACCCCCACCCACCTTCCCACCAACCCCCACCCCCCCCACCACCCACTCTCTCTCTCTTCCCCCCCCCCCATACACACACATATCCCACTCCCTCCCCTTCTTCCCCTCCCCACCCCCACTCTTCCCACCTTCCCCACTCCTCTCTCCTCCACTTCCCCTTAAGAAAAAAATATGAAAAAGATATTCAGTTTTGCCAAGAGGAAGCGCGGGTTATCTCAGAGCACCTCGGACACGGCCAGCGTGGTCTCTGCTGGTTACGAGCTGAAAGACAAGGATTTGGGGAAACTGCACAAAGCTGCGTCCGCGGGGGATGTGGCCAAGCTTCGACAACTGATTAAGAAACATGACATAAACCAACTGGACAAAGAGAACAGGTAAGGAAGGCGACGAATGTCAGCAATCTCCGGCGTCAGTTTAAAAACCTTCACCTCTTTTCGGTTTTTGTCCAGCAAAACGGTACCTTTTGAATGACGTTGCACCTCTTTGGATTGAGCGTGTTCTGGAAAGTGGGTAAATTATTAATAAATTATAAAAACGACTGCAGCTGCCTGTACAACAACAACAACATTACATTTGTATAGCGACTTTCACATGGAGAGGACATCTCAAAGCCCTGAACAACAACTTGCATTTTTGTCACCCACCAAATATACACAATTCAATTCACAGTATATTCTGTGAAGCACTTTGGGACGTCTCAGACTTGATAAGGCGCTGTATCAATTGCAAGTATTATTATAGTTATTTTTCCTTTCTTTGATTATGTATTTTGGCCAAACACGATTCATACACTCTGAAAACTTATTGACCATGAGTTTTGAGAGGCTATTTGACTTTATACATTGTAGCCAAGTTGTGAGCCTGTGTTACAATATGCACACAACCTAAAGACTGAGTCACTGGGTAGCAATTGGAAGTTGAGACAGTTGTTTGATTTGCTCCTTACACACTGCAATATTCCATGCAGAGCTGAGTTTGCTGTACCATTGTAAGTGTGCGTAATCCAATCAAAATTTGATTTAAAATGTTTATCTCTCTATTTTCCAACTTATTATAGTCAGATGCATTTTCGATAAGTTACTCTATTTCCTTTTCTGATTTAAAATGTTATGACAAAATTTAAACTCTTTATTGTGCAGTGATCCAATAGTATCTATGCTGTACAAGTACAGTATATCCCAGTGCAAGGTCAACTTGATGCTAGATCTTTAGTTTAAGAATTGAGATGTACATAAATAGCTTATGTGATTAGTTCTGTGCTTCTAAGATCATGTGATTGTACTATCCTATTAACTGAACTGTAAAATTTAAGAACATATCTATCCCCCCCCAAATAAAATTGTCTATTCACTTCATGGCTGTTTGTGGAACATTGCTGTATGTATATTGGGTGCCCGTTCACCCACAAAATACAGTCACCTTACTTTACAGTATATCCCGTGAAACAGTTTGGGTCGCCCTCCTGATATGAATAGTGCAATACCAATATAAGAATTATTATCTAACAGTAACTACACCTTACAATCACTGTTAGTAATTGTTTGTTAGTTGATCACTAAATGATACTTGTTGCTGTCTTTCATCTGGGCAGTCCAATTAGTTTACCATGCTAACCTACGTTGACATGAAGTAAATTTGTACATGGAGGAAATTTTATTATTTATTTTGAGATTTATGTGTACAAATCTTGTACAGATATTTATAAACATCCTAATACTGTTATGTTCCAAACATAAACATAGGAACCCGTTTGCTAAATGTGTACTTTGGTCAGCTGAATAATTTGTCATTTACTATTAGAGAGAAACCTACTGTTTTATTGCCATTAATCTGGAATTGTTCAATGCATTAATGCAAATTAAAAGTCCTCATGTGGGAAGAAATCTTTCATATCATAAACGTAATGTGAACTTTATAAAAGAATCAAAAAATTATAAGTGGCCATGTAATCCACTTTATCTCCATAAATGGCTTCTCCTCCAGCCTCCGCACCATCTTGTGCGTCATTCCTCAGGGCTCTGTCCTTGGGCCTCTCCCCTTCAACTTGTACATGCAACTTCCACATGTATGCGGATGACACCCAACTCTATCTCTCTGCCTCCACCTTCGACTCCCAGGACCACTGCTGTCCTGACAGAATGTCTGTCTGACATCAAGTCCTCGATGAGAGCTAATTTTCTACAGTTGAACATCAAAAAGACCGAGGCACTCCTGATTGCTTCCCATCAGCAACTCAACACCTCAGGCTCTGACAGCATCACCATCCACGGATGCAAACTCCACCTCACTGAGCCAGTCCGGAACCTTGACGTCTTGTTTCACCCTTAACTGTTCTTTCTATCCCACATCCGTGCCGCTCTGTCTTACCTCACCTCCCAACATTGCTCAGCTCCGCCACTGCTTCACCCCTCAGGCTGCTGAAACCCTCATTCACAACTAGGCTCGACTATGCCAACTCCTTGCTTGTTGGCCTTCCCAACTGTTCCCTCCACAAGCTGCAGATCATCCAGCACTCTGCAGCCCATGTCCTCTCCTGTACCAGGTTCATCACTCCTACCCTCGCCCGCACCACTGACTCGACATCCCCCAGAGGATAGTTCAAAATCATCATCCTCGCCTTCACAGCCCTCTACGACCTTGCCCCTTCCTACCTCTGTGACCTGCTAACCTGTCTATCAACCTGTCTGCTCCCTTTGCTCAGCCTGCTCCACGTCTGCCGTCTGGCCCACCCCACCATCGGCTGTCGGACCTTCAGTCTCTGCCCCACCCTTTGGAACTCTATCCCACATTCCTTTTGCCTCGCTCCATCCCTTGCACGTTCAAGGCACGTCTCAAGACCCTCCTCTTCAACCATGTCTTTGGCCACCCTCCCTACCCTCCACCCCCGCTCGGGTCCAAATCCCTGACTGTCCAGTGCCTTGGGATGTCCTAACATGAAAGGGGCTATACAAATATAATTTTGTATTGTATTTTGTGTTGTATTGTGTCCACATCAGTTTGCTGAAAGAATTGCTTAATTGAATTCCACTTCCCTGCACTTTCTCCACACCACTTAATATTTATGTTTTTAAAATATTTATTAAATTCTCTGTCAAAAGCAAAATGAATTGTACTTTAATCACAGCTTTTGGTAGATCATTCCATGCCCTTTGGTACTGGGTGTCTGTTCCCCTTGACAGCCTGATCCATTATAAAGGGGCATCTATTTAAAATCAGAGCCCAAACAGTTGGAACTAAGGTCAGAAAGTATTTCTTCAGGCAGGGGGCTGTAGACGTGGAATAAATAGAGACGTTTAAGAGAGAGAGGGAGACAGATACTTGGATAGTAGAGTTGTGCTCTTAGTGCATAGACGTAGATCTCAGATAAAGACAGGATCGGGTATGGCTCTGTGATGCCTACAATTGACTATCATGGTTTGGGCACAAATGAAGCTTAACTGCTTGGGTACAGAACTGGGGGCAGCTGACACTTTGGGATTTCACACTAACAAAGGATTAAGCAACTTCAGAAAAAGCGGAGAGAGCAGTGGCCAAAAAATGAGATTTGACAAGCCTCCACAAAGCAATTTCTAAAGCTACAGAAGAAATATTCTAAGTAAGTAGTGCCCAAACTATTGCATGTACATATGGTATAATACAATTTACAATTATACAACGCCTTTCACATCAGGAGGCACCTGAGCTGAGCGAGGGAGCTGGGGGATGGAAAGGGGAAAGATGACCGAAACCAAGAGGTACATGTGGGTATTGAGGTGGACAGAAGGGCTCATAGTAATTTACTTTGCTTACACAATTGTGATCCGCCAGTTGAGTAACAACTGGGTTTTTGCTTACTGCTGGTAACACAGGTATTTGGATTAGGAAACTGGCCTACGGTTTTGCTCTTCCCAGGAATTAGTGAGGTGAGCGTGCTAACCACTGCCAATTGGGGCTCTCTATTTTAACACAATAAACATGTGATAGTAGAGAGGTATGCTTCTCTCCAGCCTATAAACAACAGTAATTCTAAACTCTTTTGTATGGTTGCCATGATATTTATTTTACAAAAGTCTGTCCTCAGCTATCAAATTGGATTGTCATTTGATCTTTTAGAAAGATAGAAAGCTCATGGGCAGTAAAAATATGCAATGTTCGTCTTCGTATCCCAATTGTGCAGCTCTCTTTGGTGCTATTTTGCTCATTGAGATTTGTAAAGCATTAATATCTTGTGTGTCAGCCTAATTCAGTTGGTTAAGAAGATTGTGAGTTCAGGCCTCACTTTGGAATTTGAGCTCTTTAACCTAGGGTGACCCTCCAATGCGTTACTGGAGAAGCATTACCTTGTCAGAGCTGCTATCTTGGCATTAGATGTTAAGACGAGGTTTCACTTTCCTGTTCAAGTGGACGTTAAAAAAATCCATGACATTATTTGAAAAGAGAAAAGAGTTTCTCTTTTTATCCTGACCAACTATCCTTCAGATGAATTGGACATCTCTGGTCTTTCTGTGGTGCAAACAACTGCCAGAGTTTCCTACAAAGTACATTTATGTTTTTTTGATACATTTCAACTTGATAAAGGGTTTATAATTAATCCTTGCATTTCATATCGCTCCCATAACATTGAAATATCACAAAGTGCTGCAAGATATTGTGGATGTGCATTTGTTGGCAGACAATTGGGTGCACAATAATGTTCTAAAAACAGCCATGAATGAATTACCAATTTATTTGGAGGATTGTTGGTTAGGTCACCGGGAGAAACTTTCTTCTATTTTCAAATAAGAGGATCTTTTATGTGACTTTGGTTTAATGTCTCATCTGAAGAACCGCATCCAATAATACAGCACTGCACCAGTCTGTCATCCTAGCCTGTGAGTTCAAAATCTAAATATAGGACTTGAACCCACAAACGAGAGTACTTTCAATGAGCCAAGCTGGCTTCTTGAAGTGCAAGTTCTTTCTTGCTATCCCAAATGTAATTATGCTGAAAAAGTTTGGAGATAGAGAGAATATTTTTGGTTCCCCACTGTTTCATGATATTGGCTCATTTATAGGGTTATGGCCACTTCAGAATACTTTTTTTAAAAAATGCCTTATTACTAAAAAGAAAATGAAATGCAACTCTACCCCATAATTTTTCCCATTTGTTCAGTATCTGAAGAGCATAATATATTGTGCATCATAATCAGACCAAAGTTATTGGCACATGGAGCTATTGGATACAACAAAAAAAAGCAACAAAATTACATTCATATAGCACCTTTCACGTCGGGAGGATACCCGAGGTGCTGGACAGACAGTTTCAGACCCGAGCTGAGGGTCGGGGTGGGGGAGGGCAGGGGGGGAAGCAGGTAGATCGAAAGCATGGTCGCAGAGGAGGGTCTTGTGGTGGGTCTTGAAGGTGGCGAGGTAGGGGGCGAGACGGAGGGACTGCGGGATGGAGTTCCAGAGGGTGGGTGCAGAGTGGCGGAAGGCCTGCTCGCCGATAGTGGGGTGAGCAAGGCCGGGGACGTGAAGCAGGCCAGAGCACGCTGAGCGGAGAGAGCGAACAGGATGGCAGGGTGTTAGGAGGTCAGAGAGGTAGGGGGGAGCAAGACCATGGAGGGCTTTGAAGGTGAGGACTAGGATCTTGAACTGTACCCTCTGTGTGATGGGAAACCAGTGGAGTCGGGCGAGGATGGGGGTTATAGGGTCACAGAGCCTGGTGTGGGAGAGGACACGGGCTGCAGAATTCTGGATGATTGAATGATTGAATGGCGGGGCAGGCTCGAAGGGTCGAATGGCCTACTCTTACTCCTACATGTTATGTTATCTGCAGCCTATGGAGGGAGGAGTTGGGGAGACTGACAAGTAAGAGCAATCCTATAAGAAATTCCATTCAGTTGTTAGAATGTTACTTTTAATTTTACTGCTTAGCCCACAACCTGCTGCCTCCACTCGACTGGCTCCGGCCTTCTGCATGTCCCTCGTAGGTTACACAAGTGTTATGCTGTTTGATTTTTGTCCTGTAATAAACTGATAATAAAATGTTTTTACTTTTCTTCCAAGAACGCCCTTGCATCTAGCTTGTGCTGGTGGACACGCAGAGAGTGTTGCTTTCCTTGTGGAAAACAAATCCAAACTCAACATCTGTGACAATGACAACCGCTCACCTTTGATGAAGGTGAGAAATGTATAAGAACACCAGTATTAATTAGTACAATTCTGATTGTTGATGAATTGCCACTTATGTGCATGTGGGTAATCTTGCCTGATCCCAGTAAATTGAATATTGAATCCCTAATGGCACTATGATTCCATTCAGTTTCATTTTTTAAAATTTGTCTCACCTTCTTTAAAACACATTTGAAAGTCAGGCTATAATTGACATTTTAAAAAGGAGAGAAAGATAAGGGCATTATAGATGTGAACACAGATATAGAAGTTGCATTAGCAGTATGAAAAGCCAAAGTGGAAGACAATCATCTGTTAGGACAGAGATAGGATATCAAACAACAGGTAAACAAAACAAGAATATGAGAGAGCACAGTTTCTAATGTATTAAATTCCTGAAGGTGAGAGTCAGGATCTTAATGTTTCCCCACATGGAGCAAAGAAATCAAACATTGGTTAGCGAAAGGGAAAATAACAAAGAAGATTCTGAAGACTCTGTTTGGAAGGGATTATAAATAATTTCTCTGCTGCTTGGCTTTATGATTTTATAGTAATGATCAAATTAACCTTCATACCTTTTGTTTTTAATTTGTAAAACAAAGGTTCTTCCAGTTAGCTGGCCAATAATCCCCAGATTNAAAAAACACAACACTTCCTGGTTATTTGTGGAACATTGCTGTGCACAAATTGGCTAACTCATTCACATACAATACGCAAACACTAAGTAAACTCTGAAGGGCTTTGAGATGTTTCAATATGATAAGTTTTTTTATTATTGTGCTTTATTTGTGTCTTATCATTTACAGGCAGTACAATGCCAACAAGAGCGTTGTGCTCTTATTTTATTAGATCATGATGCTGATCCTAACCTTGTGGACATTAATGACAACACTGCTATGCACCTTGCTGCCCTCATCCCAAACATCTCTGTGGCAATTCACTTACTGGAGCATGAAGCACGTATTGATATTCGGAACAAGGTAATCATTTTAACTCGTGATAATTTCGATTGTCTTATTTTTTTGTTATCCTTGGTTTGGGGGTGTGGTGGTAAGCATGGTCTCCTTGGAGCTCAGTTGACCCCAATTCATGGTATGTTTGGGAACAGAATGTTAGAATTGATTCAGACCTCTGTGATGATCTCAGTGGTCCGGTTCCTGAGATGGGCAGGTATGCAGTGCTCTCAGATACTATTGACGACAGCCTGGCTTATCAGCAGGTCAGGACTTCAAGGGGCAGACCAGTGGGGATTCTTTCCACTCAGCTCGTGTAACACTACAAGCCAAAGCCCTAATGGTTAGGTATTTTCCTAGCTGGATGACCAGCAGGATGCTTGCCAAACAGTGCCTTCAATTCATTGCGTGTACAGTTTTAGCTGTAGCAGTACCATCTTGGGTTCCCCAAGGCTTGCCTCTTGCCAATCTGCGCCGAATTCTCTCAGAATTGGGTAAGCAGAGTGCATTCTTCTAAGAAGAGAATGGCATTCTATTCAAGAAATGGGATTTCCATGTGTAGGTTGCATGCATGGGATTATGTATGATTTGGGTACTGTTAAGGCTGGTGATGCATTTCTACATGTGTCAGATAACCGGTTGACCAAAAAAAAATTTGTTGGTCTCTTAATTTAACCATTAATACCATCATGCTTCAAAAAGTGGAGTAGAATTATGGTTATATCTACACGGACATCAATTACTACACAAAAAAAACTGTCCCAAAGCTGAAGAAAACCAAAATGAATATGACTTATTTTAATTTCTGAGTCTGGTGATTGCCCAGTATATTAGGAATGCTGACTTGAATATTAATTTTCTACTTGAGCAATAGAAGGTTATTTCCTTGATCACTTACAAATGACTCATTGCTAACTCTTGTAAGAGTCTAATTAGGATTATGAACTACACTTGCTATAAATACTTTTTATGACCGTGCTGTTGGAAACCAGTGACCTGCATCCTCGAAGCATGGTTGAAGCTGGGTCATAATAATAATAATAATAATCCTTGCATTTGATATAGCGCTTTTCACGTCGGAAGGACGTCCCAAAGCGCTTCACAGAACACACTGTAAAGTGAATTGACTGTAAATTTGTGGGCGAACGCGGCAGCCAATTGCGCACAGCAATGTCCCACAAACAGTCGTAGATTGAAAATGCCAATTTTATTATTGTTTTTGGTTTTTTGGAGGGATTATCATTAGGCGTGTGGAGTAAGGAAACTTGCCCAAGGTTTCGCCCTGACCTGCCTGGAATTGAACTCAGGTCTCTCGTTTGCAAAGCGAGTGCTCTAACCACTGAGCTACAGGACTCCAACTGAGCTACAGGACTCCATGTCCTGAATATTGAAGTATCTGTTAGGTGGTGTACTGCACCATATATTTTCATGAATATTTTGAATCAATGCAATTTCAGTACTGCTGTGCTTTCGTTGTCATTAATATGCAATCTTTGATGCTTTTGTCTGTATATTTTAGTTGATAGAAACTGAGCATCAAGCTGTACATTAGTGATTTCATTTGACAAACCATTTGCACTTTTGTGATTGAGACAATTTAAATTGTTAAATTTGCCTTATTTCAGTTCTACTCCCTGCAGTAAACTCTGGTTCCAATGAAATTAAACGATTACAATTATTAATGCAACAGCATTATTTTTGGTTACTATTATAACTTGACCATCTCACCGAATACTACATTGTAAATGTGTTACTTTGCACAATAAATGCTGAGTTTGTTATTGGGATTAAGGATAGCTTGACTGCTCATTATTCTAAAGAACCAAACTGTAAGAATTATTTTTTCTGTTTTCAGAAAACAGTTGTTAACTTTAAGAACAATTTTGTTTTGGTGCTTTGAATTATTTTATATTCTTATTTAGTCCCAGCACCTTGGGATGTCCTCCAGACGTGAGAGGGGCTATACAAATGTAATTTTGTTGTTGTTGTCATTTCTCCATTCTGATAACTGAAATACTATTTTATAGTGGTATTGAGCCAGAAGAGCAAGCGATTTGAGTTGGCATGCAAAACCTCTGTTGTGTTTTGATTTCAGCTGCCTATGTTAATTCAACTTTTGCTCTGGGCTCAGTAACTTCAAACGCTTTCCATTGTAGGTTTTGAACACTTTCTGTTTGAGTAAATTCTGTAACGGTATAATCTGTTTATAAACTAGCAACCTGCCCTTCCAAAAATTTAATTTCTATTAAGCTACCATGATGTGTAGCAAATTATTAAAAGTGTAAATCTGCACATATATCTTGGTATGTGTACAGAATAATAATTAAAAATGCATTTCCATTCTGTGTTTTGAGATTATTTATCCTTGCAGAATTTATGAATTGAATAACTCTGAATGAGGGAATTACGTTTGAAATATGTTATCAGCCAAATAAGTGAAAATTATATAACCAGACCTTGATAGTCAAGAATTGTACTGTGCCATTTTGGTTGTTCAAATGCAACTTATTCTATCCACAATTAAGCAATAAACTGTGTCTTATTTTGTTTTTCACAGGAAGGCTTTACACCATTACTGCTGGCAGTTAATGAGAATCATCAGGAAATGGTAGAGTTCCTCCTTAAAGAAGGAGCAAATATCAATGCCAAGGATCTAGCTGGGAGGTACAGTTTAATGCAAACCTGGACGGATACCTAATTACAAGTCTTAACTTTCTGGATTAAGAACCCTTTTGTGGAATAGTTGAAATATCTTCTCCATTTGCATTTATGTTTTCAAACTGGAATTAATACCTACCACGAGCAGTGATTATAATAATCTCTGTGATGTCCTTCATGGTTACTGCCAATAACAATAATCCTCACACTAAAGAGAACATGTTCTTAGGCGGTCGCTGGTTAAATTGATCTTGTTTGTTAAATTATGCATTGCTTAATGGATCATGCCATTTATTGAGAACATACTTGTTCTTCTGGTCATGTAATCATAGTGCTATACTGCTCAAAGAGGTATTATTGTAAGAAATTGTAGATCTGTATATTTTCTGTGATTCCTTCTCATCTTCAGGGGAAAAAATGAAAAATGGCACACCCATCTTTTTGGATTGTTACAATGATACTTATGCACATTATACGAAATCTATTTTACTTATTCTTGTGCTTGCACTCTTTGGTATATTCTGTTAAACAATGTAAGGTTTATTTTTATAATTGAAGCCTTTGTTTTTGTGCACCGATCTATAAATCTTCTGCACTGTGTTCTTTCCAGAACATCCCTGATGCTTGCTGCCAGTACTGGGCAAATTAGCATGGTTAAACTGCTTCTACAGTATGATGCTGATATTACTATGAAAGAAGATAAAGGGTGGACTGCAGATGATTATGCAGTTATGAATGGCCACCATGCGTAAGTATTTCACTGCTTCATAGGTCTCTGGTTACTGTAGTGTAATATAGTGTTCTATATAACGTAGGAAATTATAGTGTAATAATATACCTAACAATGCATCATGGTGTTCCATCTGTGGCTTCTGAGTAAATCTGATCTGGGCTGAGTTCACTGATCTAATAGCCTTCAATGATCCAAGGATTGGGAACAGTGGGAGGAGTATTATAAGAATGCTGCTCCTGATTGCTATTCAGTGATTTCTGCGAAGGGCAGGTGTAGACATCGAACGAGAACTCAATTAAATTTGGCTTTGTTTCCATGGATGAAATAGCCTGCCAACCCTAACTATACACACACATTATGTATCGAAATTATCTTTAAGTGGCTACAAAATGCAAAAGGACAATATTTATGGAGAACTTTATAAAGTGGAGTAAGAATGTCCAAATCATCTATATTGAGGCCTGTATTTATAACACTAACAGTGAAATGTAATCAAATTAAAATTTTAGATTAGATAATCTAGATTATTAAACTAGATTATTGTGGTTTGCTCTAGAAATGTAGGTTAAGTGGATACTGTGAAACCAAATTTACTGGATATGTACAGAAAAATGTTAGTTTACTCATTTGTAAGATGAAACTTACTTATCACTGCAAAATGAAACGTATATTTGACAAATTATGTTGTTCACATAGGGGAAGTATTTTCAAGATGGTATTATGAATCATTTTTCACTTTTTTTCAAAATATGTAATGCATAGAATTATAGAGAGTTTACAGCACGGAAACAAATCATTCAGACAATCTGGACTGTGCCGATGTTTTTATGTCACGTTAGCCTCCACCCCTCCTAATCCTGTCTCCCAAATACCTTGATTGCCTTCACATCATTCCTAAACAAACAGCTTCATCCTGTTATCTATGCAACAGTTAGCTATGCTTTGATCTCAAAAGTTGGTAAATGTAAACATCTTAGCAGAGAGATAAACAGATGCAGATATTAGAAAATGTCAGATGCAGTGTTAATTGATGCTTTCTCAGTGCTAAAATGAACATTTGTGAATCCATTTTAAAACCTGTTTTTAAAGAGGTAATGTTTTTGTTCTATGTTTTTGTGATAGAAAATGCAGTAGTTGAAACACAACGAGAATTTATAGAATTTGTTTGGTTTTGATTTGAGTAGTAATGTTTTACTTCTGATATTTACAGTTGTTCCCATCTAATCATTGAGCATGGTACAAAGAAAAAGCTTCATCAGTCACCTCCATATTATGGAACAAGCAAAGTGAAAGGGGTATCCATGTTCAGTAGCCCAGACCGTGCTGCTGAGGCAGCCTTTGCACTTGGGGGACCAGCCACAGACAGAGAAGGTGAGTTCTTAAAACATGGATTATCAGAGTTTGAAGATTTATCTGCACTGTACAATAGTCTGGTGTGTTTAGGCAGGCACACAAAGCACTGAGAATAAAGCTATTTCTGGCTATAAATCTAGTTACAAATGTAGCTGTGAGAAATATATGTGATCAGTAAAAAGAAGGTGTAATTGAGATTAAATCAAACTATTCAGTTAGCCACACATGGAATTTCCATGGCAAGTCAGTTCTGCTAAAGACATCCTATCTTTTTGACAATATTTTCTGTTGGAAACCGTGGTCAAATGCAAAAGCATCAATAGGATTTAAGAGGAAACGTGCTGCACACGTGAAGGAGAAGGGAATAGAAGGGTATGGTAAAAGGCAAGGGAGGAAAAATTTGAATGGGGTGGGTGGATGCTCATTTTGAGTATAAACAGTGTTTGCAGGTCAGTTGGGTTGAATGGCTGTTTTGGTGCTGTATATTCTTTGTAATTCTATATTCAATTTTATGTAAAGGTTACATTCATAATGTTTGCTTCAAAATTGGGAGTGCAATTGTTGAATATTATCCAGGCCACCGAAAGTAATGTGCTGCCCAATTAGTGAGACGAGAGGTTATGATTATTTAACCAACATTGCTGCGATATGAAAGTACACCCTGTCTGTCAATGACTGGAATAATGCAGTGCCTTCACTTCTACATCCATCGCAACTATAACATTTAATTTGAAGTATCGGGTATATCTGATTTTCTCTGCGCATAACTTCCTTTATCCACAATACATAGATTGTAACCAATTTGAAGAACAATAATTACCTTGTTGAGAGACTAAGCTGAGAAAGAGAACACACTTTGCAGTAAGTTGAAGCATGAGATGAGGATAGGACTTTTTTTTCTTTTTATATAGATTTCACCTTAATTTTTTTGTTCAGTGATTTGATTTCGGAGTCATACTATATAAACACCAGTAAGTTGCTTTTCCTGTAAGTATTTTTGTTATTTTCACAAATTACGTTTGCTGAATGACTTGACATCTTTTTTCTTATTTCTACCTATGCACGTCCCTTGGGAATTATTTCCTTCATCTGATCACTGCTACCTGCAAAATCTGCATCTATTGGACACAATTTCTAGATTTGTGTTCCATTGTGTGTAGTGCATTGTAGATGTTTGTGGTGGAAAAAAATATTTAGTTGCTTGGTATACTGCTCTTTCATTCTGGATTCTGGATTAAAATCTATTTCAGAATAATGGGGTAAACTCTCCTTTTCTCGGTGTCAGTACTTAAATGTGAATGCATGTTTATAGCAACATGTCACTCAGCACAAAAAAGACCAACATAATTGCAGTGCTGTTCCAAAGTTGTAGTTAAATAATGTTGTTCCACCAATCTGTTGGGGTAGAATGGAGGAAGCTTTACTGGTTTGATTATGTTGGGTCTGATGCTGAAACGTAGAGATAAAATGGGATAAAGATGGGAAAGTTTCCCATTTCCCTTATTGTTCTGAATAAACAACAATTTGCCAATTCCTTTTCTTAAAAAAAAGTACAAGTCAAAATGGCAGCCATTCCCAGCTGTGCTCGGTATGCATTTAATAATAATAATCCTTGCATTTGATATAGCGCTTTTCACGTCGGGAGGACGTCCCAAAGCGCTTCACAGAACACACTGTGAAGTGAATTGACTGTATATTTGTGGGCGAACGCCGCAGCCAATTGCGCACAGCAATGTCCCACAAACAGTCGTAGATTGAAAATGACCAATTTATTATTGTTTTTTTTGTTTTGGAGGGATTATTAATAGGCGTGTGGAGTAAGGAAACTTGCCCAAGGTTTCGCCCTGCCTGGAATTGAACCCGGGTCTCTCACTTGCAAAGCGAGTGCTCTAACCACTGAGCTACAGGACTCCATTTGCATTGCTCAGGCACCTGAAATTTGGAATGAAGAGGCAGTTGGAGGGTCCAATGAGATGGGATGGGTTGATTGACAGGCTCAATGGGAGCTCGGGGCGGGTTGATGGAAGACAGATTGTACAATGAGAAGAGGACGTTATAGTACAGGAATTTAGTGCTCATAGTGGCTATTTTTTTGTGGTTCAATTTTGAAGATAAAACAAGTCAAACAACTTTTTTAAAAAAAAAACTTACTTCAGGGAAAGTCAAGTAGAATTTGGGATTTTTAAACTTTTTTTCTTACCCTTAAAATTGTAAATGCCCTCAGAGTTGACATGTCTTGAAGTGTCTGCAAGGTCTATAAGAGAAGTTCCCCTATTCTATAATGTTATAATTATATAATGTTATAATTTTGTTACAGTACTGAATTTTCTGACAGAGCATAACATTAAGCAGACTCGACTGCAGTTGATCTTCAATGCATTTAACTCAGCCATTTGTAATACCAGGTTTAATTCCTAAAAGAAAATGCAAAGGGAAAGTTATATGTGAAAGAGCAAACCTGAAACCATTTTCATGTGTTCTTTAAGGAATACCAAACAATTCAATTACCTTCATATTAGTTTGGGCCCCAACACATTTCCAACAGAAAGCTAGATAGGATAAGATAAATTGTTGATGTGGCTTCTGTTCATAGTGAAATTTTAAATGTAGTAGAATTGTTACTGAAAAGTAACCACAACATTTGTTATTTTCAATGTTAGTGATGTCTCTAACTTAAAATTCAGTAACTTCTTTTAGATTGAGGTTCCATCCTGACGGGTTTGTGACCTTTTCAGAGTTTCATCCACAAAGAGTTCTGGTTTTATCTATTTTGTTTCTGACTTCAATGTTTTCATCTGTTTCTCTTGCCTTTTCCTATGGACATAGCGTTTCAGCAGTCTCCAGAGCAGAAGTCGAGAGCAAGTGAGTCTGAGAAAGGTACTATTGGCAGTCGAGGCTCTCTGACATAATAGAGAAAAGAAAAAGAAAAACTGGCCAATTTAGTTTCATCCTCTGTCCTCTTCACCCAGCATTTATTTTACCGACTGTGCACACACAGAAGTGTTATATGAGGACTTTCAGAAGGAACCTACCCTGGTAAAATTTAAGACATAAATTGTTTTTACTTAAGAACTGGTCTAAAGTTACTGTTCGACACAGGATTTTGGTTGAAGAATTGCTGTGTGAAAGGACACCAAATTATATTTTGTAGCTTTTAACATTTAGTACTTTCAATCCATCACTCATAAACCATTACCTTGCTTATTCAAAATCTGTCTGCTGTCCAGTATTCTGAAAACTACCAAATGTTATATATTAAAATGTAAAGAAGTGAAAGTCTTGTTTGCTAACCTTACTTGAGTTAGGAAGGTAAAGTTATGAAAATAGTCACACTCTACCTTCTGGTTTTGAGGGTGTATTTGTACACCTATTGGATGTCAGGACTTGATCACGTGCTGACAGTGTGGGAGTTCAACATTGAGGAAAGTGCCATTCTTTGGCTGAGATGTTCACCAAGAGCTACTCTCATGTAAGAAGAGTGTTTTGTCTTGGATTCAATAGATTTAAGTCAAGGAACTAAAGTACATGGAAAGAGTTAAGGCTTGTTGTCTCTGCTTTACTAGCCATCACACTATCACTATCCTAATAATTTAGGAACTATCAGTGAATGATATTCAGGTCAATGGGATCTTATTGATGATTAGAATACTGTTTGGAAGACCTGTATTCTACAATTTGCAATCCCCAAACTTAACAGAACTAGTTCTAAAGAGAGGCAAATTATTTGTAGAATGCATCTAATCATCAGGAACCTCCACACAAGTTGGATCTCATTAACTTCCACCAGGTCCCTTCTTCCCGACACTTCAGTCTGATCTGACTTTTGCAACTTTCTGATCAATTTTTTTGCATTTAATGTTTTGGTGTTACTGCTTGGTTTCTTTATTGCTTTTGATTACATATGCGATAGCTAAGCTTTAGAAACAGTTAGCAAGAGCACCTTGCCATAAGGCATTATTGTGTGAAACTCTCAAAGAGCGTATACCCTTAATTATTTTCCCCATGGTAAAATTAGGTATTCATTTGAAAGTATGTCTTGAAAACTTTATTTAAGAATAATGCTCACCAGTAAGTGGTAAGTTATCTAACATTTGCTATATAAGCATAATTTGTCCGTAAGGCTGGGACAATCAAACATCTCAGATTTTTGTATAGGTGAGCAATACATCATATGCACGTTGGGAGTGGGGGTGAAGAGAATGGTTACATGGGGATTGAACAAAGCTGTCAAAAGAACTCCATTTCTATGACTTTGCTGTTTTCTATTTGATAATGTTTCTATATATTTTATTTGGAGAATAAACTGCATCCAAATGTGTATAAGATGACCTGTATATACCTAAAATAGGTAACGTAATTTTGTAATTCATCAGATCTTTAATGTACGTATTAATTTGTTTGACAGTGGAATATGATGCATCTCAGGGGGAATCAGTCAGTAGGTATGTAATGTGTTACTACTGTGTTTTAATGTCTTTCAAAATTGGGCATTATGACCTGTTCAGTTTTTGTTCTCTTTTACATTTTATATGATTTGTTTTAGGGCCTCGAATGTTGCAAGCGACTCCTGGCCATCCTCAGATGAAGAGGAAGAGCTAGACTTTAGCCCCAAGGTACTATTGTATATCTGTAACAGTATATTATTAAATAGAAATTACAAGAATCTCCTGGACAGCTGTAAATTATCTTCCTGAAATATGAAAGACCAGAACTCTCAAATGACTCATTCTCTGAAACACAATAATTGGAACTCAAATTTCCCGCTGCTGGTAGGATCTACTATGTTCTATGTGCATCTTGTGTCCTTTTTTAAATTTGTAGAACATTAAGGAAATGTTCTTTTTAAGTATTTAATCTCTTGGTGATATTAAATAGAATGCAAATTTCAGTTGTCACATTTTATAGATTGTGTTTCTCGTGAAATTATTTTTGTAAAAACACTGAACTGGGATTACATTTTCTCTCCCAAGATATTTTCTTATATTTTTGATAACACAGGAGTTGTGGGAACACAAGAATTGTTTTGCAAGTACTGTACAAAAATAGTGTTGCTGCTATGTTAATAGACCAATTACAGTAATATCAAAACAATGTCTCTGTTCTCTTTCTGTGCACTCTATTCTTCGGTATGTTATGTTTTTACTCAATTTGTTTGCCCAGTCTTGGAAACGTATTGATCCACATCAGTCAATAACCCTAACTTGCATTTATATAGTGCCTTGATGTAGGATAACATATTGGAGGGCTTAAACACCACGTTGTGGAGCTGGTTTTAAACCGTTGAAAATTAGAATAGAAGGGTTTTATTATAAGATTTCTAAAATTTGCAGTCACAATTTTCTAATGCTGAATTCTTTGTACAAATAATACTAATCATTACATTTGATGAAACACTTATTTCACATTTGATTTTAATCACAGGACACCTCAAATACCTTCACAAGATTTACTATAAAGTACAGTCACTGTATATTTTGTAGGCGTAGGTAAATTTAAATATCTCAAATTTCACTTTATTGGCTACCTATATAGAAGAAATTTCTTGCTGTAATTTAGCCTAGGATATTAATCAAGAGAAATACTAACTATGTCTATCTGGAACTCGAGTTCTGTTTTCACCCCACTGTAGTTTAAAAATACTTTTTGGTATGTTACATAACCAACAGCATCAAATATAAAATGTTTCTCTTATTTTTGTGCCATCCTTTTATACTATCGTTACATGATGTTTTGGAAATAATGTAATTCTCAAGGTGTGTGCAAGTTTGCTGACTTTTAGTATGACAAAATAAGCAACTTTGTCTAAATTATGCAGTGGGAGAAAAAGTTATAGTATTATACATATTCTTAAAGTTCAGGAAAAACTCTATTTACCCATGTGCTTTTATGTAATAGTTAACAATATTAAATTTCAAGGGCAAAATCTTTTGTTCCTAAATGTGTGTTGATTAAAAACAGCCATTTTATTTTAACAGAAACTTCAAAAACCCAGTTTGGCTAAATTGGTAAATGCTTCCCAGCAAAGCAAGAAAAAGAGTAAGTTTTTTTTTAAAAAAAAGCTTAAATTAATTTGAAGTATGCTTGAGTGCTGTAGTTAATGACAAGTTACTGTGAATACATGTAAATAAAGATTTCTTTGTTTTACTTTAGTAAATGAAAAGGCTAACTCTAGCAAAGTCCAGCAGATGGCTATTTCACATCCACTTAAATCAAATGTAGATAGTGAAGAAGATTCAGAAGAGGATAGTGAAGATGAAGAAGAGATTATTGAGAATTATGGCTTGCAAACCCATCCTTCACCCCATGCCAAGGCATTAGTTGTTTCCCCTCAAGCTGCTGTTCCTTCACCCAGCTCCTTTGTAGAACCACCTCAGTCGATTTCTACCCCATCCAAAGGCTTTAAGCAGGTAAATCGTTCTTTGTAGATCTCAAGTGTTGAATTATTTTAACTGTCTTTTTTCCCCTTGTTGCTGTGGTGTAATGAAGAACATTGTGGAAAGTTGATGACATTTGATCCAGGTATTCCGACAACTCTTCAGAGCCAAATGGCAATTGGTAGTGGGGATGATGTGGAGAAAGAGGAGCAAAATGCAGAACACATCTCAGATGGAGAGGATGAGGAAGATTGTGATGATAAGGAAGAAGATGAAGAAGATGGTGATGATGATGAAGAAGATGGTGATGATGATGAAGAAGATGATGATGATGAGGAAGATGATGATGAGGAAGACGATGATGATGAAGATGATGATGAAGAAAATGATGATGATGAAGATGGTGATGATGATGAAGAGGAGGGAGATGAAGATAATGATGAAGTAGAAAACCCAAATGAATTTACTTCAGGTGAGGAGGAAGAGGTAAAACTTACAGGTGCGTCTTGTGACATGATTGAAGAAGGACAGTACATAAAAGAAAAAAATGGAAACATTGACTCTAAATGTAAGTCCAGGCAAAACCAAGAGTTACTTGAGGATGATCTGGAAGAAAATGAGTCAGGGGAGATAGAGAAAAAGACTTGTATAGTTCCAACTCAAACAAGTAATCCAAATGTGGGTTCTCTTGCTTCAGATAATGCTTCTGAAGTATTGCTGACTCACAAACCAAAATATGAAAGCCATACTGTTTCTGATCAACGCCATGACATTTTGACTACAGATCATTATACAGAAAGAGGATTCGTAATAAAGGGAAAATCAAATGAGACAAAGTTTGTAGTAGAAGAAGCTCATCACAACCCGTCAGGGGATGATGAAGAAAAGGACAATTGTCAGTGTAATTTGAAAGATGGGAATGCTACGGGTAAAAGTCTTCAAAATCAGAAAGGAGAGTTTTCAGACGATTATGATACTATAACATGGAGTGACGAAGTGCAACAAAACTCAATACAGAGTGATGCACAATTTCACTTAAAAGTTTGTGCAAAGATGCCATCGATGATGAATGAGAATCAAAGTGCGATTCAACTTTTGAAAACAAAAGATGAAGAAGAAAACAAAGAAATTGAAGACCGCCTTGTTATTTGGGCTATCCAGTCCTCACAAGGAAGAGAAATCTTGATTGCAAATACATGTGATTATTGGGACTCTGACCCAATGAGCAATGATGGTCAAAAAGATGTTGATTCTAGGAAAAAGGGATCAATGAAATATCAGCACAATGTATCTGATGCAACAACTAAATCTGTTATTTCAAAAGAAGTTGAAACAATTTCCAGATTCGGTGAATTCAAAAAAATAAACCTGCAAGAAGTTGAAAAAGTATCCACAATCGGTGACTCTGCTAACATCAACGGGATAGGTATAAGCAAAGAGCGTCTCAGTGAAGATGCAAAGCAGGATAGTGAAGAGTCAGTGATTGATTGGAGTGAAAATGAAGAGATTGATGATAGCACTACTGGAATTCAAAAGTTCAATAAATTGTCAGAAGAACTGTACACTAAAGATGAAACAAAACCAAGGGAGGAGTCTCCAATACACCAATTGAAGGATCCTAAAAATGATTCCGTGTTAAATAGTGGTTGTGATATAAATGAACACATCCCAGAATTACCAAAAGATGAACAAAACCACAATAGTACTATTGTTGGAATGATACCTGGAGAATCCTGTGCTGTATTTCACAGGCAGGCTGATAGCACTGAAATGACCACAGCGTTCCTTAATTCTGAACCTATTGTAGTGGACCTGAATCATACTGAGGAGATAAAAGCTGAGGCTGACCAGAACCCAAATACAGTCAATTCTAAATCTAATTTTGTGATGGTGGGTGAATTATTAGCATACTTAGTTGTCTAGAATAGTTGGCTAATCTTATCGGTCAAGAAAACAAGACCTTTTATGCTGATAAACTAGATTTGGATTTTTTTTTAATGTAGAGATTAAACATACAGCAGTTTCATATTTTGACATGCCCTAAAATACCATTTTACTGTAGTTCCTGATAACTAACTATTTCCCTTATTTATGTGTATCCTTAGATGTTTCTTGTGCAAGTTAAAAGTTAGAGGCAATATCCTTTCTCTGAAGAACATGTTATTGAATGAGACATGATTAAACACAGTCATCACATCTATTACCATTTAATTATTTAGATTAGAATATCTTTTGGCATTTTTACAATTTCATTGATTTGTTTATTGATTAAACCAGAAATTGTGCATGAATATTTGGTTAATTTATAAATTGGTATTAACTTGACATCTACTAATATTTGGAAGGATATTATCTGTTTAGTTTTTTTAAGATATTGTGATGTATGTTCCCTTTCCCTTGCAATAAGAATCATTTGTGTTATATTGTTGAATGCATATTTTTTGCCTTTTCTCTCCTGACATAGATTCATAGTCCTACTAGAGTGGCCACTTTCCAGTAGTTAGTTCAAATCCAACAAATGACAAATAATGTGTTAAAGGGGTCAGATTTGCTGAGTCAAATATTTCTCTTCCCTGATTTTTCTTCTACTTTTCATTATTGGATTGCGGTTTTATTAATTAATTAAATGAGAAATCAGGGAAATTTTTAAAATATATTTTTAAAATATATTTTAAAATATCTTTGGACAGATTTTGTATTTTGCATCTTTCGAAAAGTTTCTGAAATAATTCCATATTTTTGCTATGCTTTGTGGCTAGTTATTTTTTTGAACTGCTTCATCTTGTACAGGACAGAGTACAAGACGGATCCTCAGATGAAGAAGAGGAGGTGGAGGAACAGCATGTAGGAAAGTTTAGAGATACAACAAAGGAACCTGTTATTCAGAATACAATTTCCAATATTATTCAACAGGAAAAGGAGGCTTCCCACCAAAAAGTCCAAAGAGGTATCTGCATTTCATTTTATGCTGAGGTTACAATTAAATATGATGTACTTTCTCCCATATTCTGGAGTCCTGTAGCATAGTGGTTAGAGCACTCACCTCACAATTGAGTGGACCTGGGTTCCATTCCCAGGCAGGACGAAACCTAAGGCAGGTTTCCTTACTCCACACACTTCTGTTTACCTAGCAGTAAGTTGGTACCTGGTTGTTAGTCAATTGGCGGATTGCTTTTCCGGGGGTAATAATTCCTTCAAAAAAATAATAATAATTTGGTCACTTAATCTCCCTCAAAATACACAGTCAATCCACTTTACAGTATATTCTGTGAAGCGCTTTGAGACACCTCGAAGATGTGATGAGGTGCTATATCAAATGCAGGTATTATTATTTTGTCTATTTACCTGATGCAGCCATTCATTCAACAGGAGGAAAAATTTAGATGTTTTAGATTCCCTGTCATCTGGCCATGTGTCTCAATGCGGTTCCTGCATTGTGCCCTATTCAAAAAGAGAAGGGAGTTTCTCCTGGTGTCTTGGCCAACAAATCCCCCAATTAAAATCAGTCACTCACTGAACGGGTGTTTGTGAGACATTGCTGTGCGTAATTGGGCTGACACGTTTCATCCGCAAAACTCATAGTCAATCCACTTTACAGTGTGAAACGCTTTGAGGTGTCTCTACGATGTGATAAGGAGCTATTTCAAATGAAACAATTATCATTATAATGACATCTATATTACAATGGGTAAAGCTTCAACAGCCAGATCTTGGGATAACCATGAATATTCTATGTCTGGCTAGCTGACTTTCAATTTCCCCAGCAAAATAGATGAACATGCTAGCCTTTCATACCGGGTGTCAGTTACCTGCTGAATGCAAATGCATATGGTGCTCTGATTGATGTCACCAGAATTACCTCAGTTGCTGAAGCAACTATATAACCAAGACATTGAGTTTCACATTCGGGGTCACAGAGGGCAATTGAAAGCACTGTGCATTCTGCTAAATCAGGTTTGATCAATTGGCACAGCACTATCATCACTCTAATTGAGTAGGTCGTTTCCGAAGAACACAGCAGGCCCTTTCCAAAGAATTCAATCAAGTGCTTGCTGCCCAATTTTGTTGAAATTGTGTATTTGTTTCAATTAACATGTCACCAATAAGCAATACCACAGTCTTGCTTCCAGTAACAGACATGCAGTCCAAGCAAACAACACTGGATAGTTAATGCTTTCCTTATTGACTATACTCCTAGCTTTGAGTACTTTATGAAAATAATAACGGATAACTCTTGTGTGTGTTTGTGTAACTTTTATCATTGGACTATTTCTTAAATCTGTAAAATGTAGATCTGATGTCAGAATTGGGTTTAGAGGAGATAGATGGTGAAGAGGACATTGAATCGCCTTGGGATTCTGAGGTATGCTTAACATGTTTATCTTGTTTAGTTACATTAACCCAAAGCACTTAAAGTGTATCATTTGATGAGCTTTAACACATCACAATGATGTGATTAAACACTGAATCAAATGCAATATTATTACTACTAATAATTAATAATATTATTATTGCCAGCTGACTGCATTAGAATTCCAATATGCTGTACCATCATGGTATCTGTAATTGCACACCTTTTGTGTACTACTCTATTTTATTAACAATTAACATGTACAACTCTAGTTATATTGAAGTATTTAAATGTTCTACTTTGTAAAGTGCTTCCGGTCTAAATGTTATTGTATATTAGTCTATTACAGAAAGTCTGAAGAAGAAATCCAGTGCTTCATCTTCTGCAAAGGACCAAATAAAAATGAACAGCATTCTTGAGAATCAGGATGATGGTAATGACATTTGATATCTTGTAAAGTATGAAATTACAGTTGTGCATTCTTTCTCCCTGAGAGATGGAAAATGTATACAAATTTTAAAAATATTTTGCCACAATGGTTAATCTCTTCTAGAGGATAGATGATGACCAATGCCCAACTTTCTCCACCGTTCAAGATACCACACAAACTTCTGATAGTGACAATTTAAAAAAAATCTTACCCAGAGATTAAGATATAGTTGATAAGAATTGCAAAGGAACTTAACAGGGAAGAACAATGCTGTTTTTGAGGTTTTTAAAAATATCTTTTATAGTATTATCCAAAGTGGATGACGAATTGCTCATTTGTTTAAATTGAATAACATACAAGATTGTACCCTAAATGCTGCAAAGAAAATAATTGGTAATGATATGCTTGTTATGTTACTTTTGTTTTAGCTTTTTCACTTTGCCTGTGTGCAAACTGACTTCTGTGTTTTTCCCAAAAGTACAGTCAATCCACTTTACAGTCTATCCTGTGAAGCGATTTATGACGTTGCGATGATATGCTAAAGTGGTATATCAAATGCAAAGGATTATTATTATTATTTTCAGAACTACATTCATCTTCCTTGCAGCAAGTTTGATTTTGTAAACAGCCTGTATTTGGACGTTATGGTCATTGCTCTTTAATTCAATTACTGCTTTGTAATAAGATACCTTTGTAATAAGATACCTTCTGTATCTTATGCAGCAACATTTTAAATGAACCAAACATCATTAAAACGTCAAAAGAAAACCCAATACAACATCTCAAATATTTCATTAATGGAATATTTCAAACCCAGTGTTGCGGGCTGATATGTTTTAGACGGCTCATTATTGTTTTTTGGTTTAAAAACAGAGCTTCTGGTGAAGGCTTGTGACCTTCTATTTCTTCCTCAGATGGGTTTTACATTCCTTCCTTCTTGAGGGGATCAAGAGACAGTAGGATGTCTAATCTAGAAGGACCAAGGAGTGTAGTTAGGCAATTAAGCCTGGGTATGATGTCATTTGTTCTACTTGCTCAGGGTAACACCTCTTGAGCAGCATGACAACAAAAAACACTATTCATTTTCTTGTCCATTAACCTGCCTTTGGTGCATGATGAGAAATCAATCTAATAAATCCTACATATGCTTAACACTCACAGGTTCTGTTTCTTCTGCTGCTTCTCATGTGACCCTGCAAACACCTTATGGTACTTATTTACATTTTTATTTGGGTTGCCATGGGTACGTTTTTAACCAGGTTGTCCTGGACATTGTCATTAGTGCTGGGAAATATGCATGCTAGCAGCAGTCTCAGAGATCATAATGAACTAATATGCATGTGCAAACCATAAGCTAATCAAAATACTTTTTTTATTTAGGTAGAGAAATTAATTTTGCATTCTGTCTTCTCTATAGAATCACCAGAGGGGATTGCTGCAGCACAGGTAACATTTTAAAAAATGTGTTGGAAAGCAGTTTTTTCAATTCTAAAATCTATTTGGTTGGAAAATGAAAACAGTTTAAAAATCTGTACACTTATTACGCAGCTAAAGACTAATCTGACAGTAGTTTTGTGACTGATTTTCTCTCTTTCAAGATGCCTTCACCAAAGATTGCGGTAGATAAACATAAATCAGGTATGAAAAATGATCATCCTTGAGTTTGTTGATGTCTCTTTGTATATCAAAGAAAATTATGCAGAATATTTTGATTTCTTTGTTTACTTTCTGTTCTATATTTAATTGTAGAGTTTGGCAAAGGTGATGCAGGAGTTATAGAAGGTAATTGACACAGGTTTTACCTGAAACATTTATGTTTATGATGTATATTCTCTTTTTTGAAGTGTAGTTTTGTTGATGGGTATATTGGGTACATGGGTTTAAGCTCAAATGTTAGTTTCTACAATTGGCCAATGGACTAAAAACCCTGCAAATGTCCCTTTCTTTGAACCAAGTTTAATTCAGTAGTGTTCCATGTTATGGACTTAAGATAAAACACAGGCGCATGTTTCATTATAGGTTATTGAAGCTTCTAAAGTAACATTTTGTACTGAAATTTATTATAGAATTTTAGTAGCATCGTGAGTTTAATATTCTAGGCTGGATTTATATTTCACTATTTAATGTGGACAGCATTGATTTGTCACTGCCAATGTAACATTAAAGAGGCATAAATCGCCAATCTAATTGTAGTTTGAATGACTCCCAATGTTTTTGCGTCTGTTATTGATTAAATTCCTCAAATCGTCCTGTTTACTTTCCATTTGGCATGTTGTAAAATTCACGACATCCCATTCAATAGGATTCCTCTAAGTGAGGTTTCCTACCTCATTCGGAGGCATTTTTTTTATATAAAGTTAATTCAGTTAGTTCTACAGCCATAATTTGAAGCAATTGGTATCCGTATTGGGGTTAGAAATGCCAGCTGCTGCAGTGAACACAGTCTTATGTAATGGAAGGAACGTAAAGCAATGTTTCATTCATTTACTATATTTCTTTCAATTTAGAAACTGATTGGGATTCAGAAGAGACAAATCTTCCCTTAGGAAAAATTACACCTGAAGTGCACAGTGTTGCGAAAACAACAATTCAAGCTTCTGGCCCTCAAGGTGAAAAATACTGGAAACTCAAATGACATGCGCAGACTTGGCCAGACATTCTCATTAGGAATAACAATTGAGTTTCCAAAACGTTCTGTTTTGATCTTTGTTATTCTTGAAAATTAGTTCAGTCCCATTTACTGCATTTAATGTCATGAATTCTGTGACATTGCTGATCATAGATGTCACTTCTACATCTTCCCTGCATTGATAGATGAATGCATTTATGAATCAAAGCTACAATTTGAAACACAGTCATTGTACTGCTGATTTAGCTGTCCGGTGACTCCTGCTGGAAATTCTGCTTGTGTTGACATTGAGTGGGGAGCCGATTGTGTTTAGTTCTGATGCCTTTAGATACTGGAGGACAAGCTTACCTTTATGAGGTGAAAGAAAAATTTCAAAAAAAAATTCATGATCACTTAATATAGAACAACAAAAAGAAGCATGTTTTGTACAGTTGGAGTTAATGAGACATAATACAACTTTTATGTTTGCACAATGCTCCTTTGAATCTGTTGGTATTAATTTTGTAAATATGTCTTCAGAAACTGAGCCGAAAATGCCTTTATCAGAGGAAGAAGACGATGATGAGGAGAAGTGTGACTGGGAAAGGAAGAAGGTGAGGCAATAATGGTTTCCAGCAGTGTCTCCTTCCTGTCCGTTGCTGTTTACTGCCAATTGTGTTTTTTTTTAATTTGATTGCCTTTTTTAAAAAAAAGGAGTGATCATACAAATTTGACAAAAACAATCCTCCAAAAAGGCTGAATACAATTTTAGGCCATTAGTGAGGAAGGGCACATACCTCGCAAGTAACAAATGAGTTATTTAGAAAATGTACATATGACTAGTGTTTTGTGGAATATAAACCATCAAATGACAACAGAATTATAACTCACACACATAAGTGAGCTATGTTGCCTGTGACACAACTAGTTTATATTCTCTAAACTACCCATCTCAATTTCTGTTTCAGAGTGCTGTGTTGAAGCATTTTCAGAATTATTGTAATGTTTTGTTTTATTGCCCTTATGAGCATACTTACTATTCTGGCTGTGGATGATGCATAAAATGAGGCACTGGTGTGGTTCTGAATTTTGTTTTGGTGGCAGTCATGGGTGACTTCAAATGGCAGGAGAGAGACAACTCTCTCCAGGCTGGCAACCAGCGATAAATGGTCTGATGCCGTGGTCCAACACTCTTGTCAAATTCTCACAAAGATCAATGATGTCCTGTAATTTAGCCAGTGGTAGCCATAAATGTGTTAGTGATAGTGCATTACAAAATAAATTATAGTACAGAGGTTTGTTTGGAGCATGAAGCACTGATTCAGTGACTGTTTCTACTGCATTAAACCTTGGAAGTGGGATACAAATAGTATCCAGCTTTTGCCTGTTATGTATTAAATTTTATATATGTTTAAAACGTTATCTGAAATAGTTTTGACATTAATTGGTGACTGTTCAGTATATTATGTCACCCTGAAGTTTAATTCAATTTATTTAAAAATGCTGAAATTCCATGGTAATTTTATTCTAGGAGGACTTAACATTATATAAGGCTATGTCTTCTGTGGTACCATGGTGGTACTGCACTATTATCTTGTAACAATTAGCGAGTTGAGGAGATATAAAATAGGACTATATTTAGTATGAAATGGTGCAGAAAAGGCAGCTTTATAATTTTCTTCTAAATCTGATATTCTACCAACAATCATATAAAGGTAACAGAAGAAAAAATTGGCTTAATTATGTGGGACAATTTTCATTAATTACTCTGATGTTTTGTTAAAAATGCTTCATATTTCTGTTTGTTCCAAGGTGTGCTTCTCTTTGTTGATTTTGATGCCTGATTTCTCTTTACCTATTGTCCACATGCTTTCCTAAGGATAAACACATATTTGAAACGACCAGAGTGAATGACACAGTGTCAAATGAATGCCCACCATCTGCAAACAAAACTGGTGTGGCAGACATTTTACTTTCACAGCAGAAGGAAAACGAAATAGACTTGAATGAGGATCCTGATTTTGACAGTAGTGAGAAATCTGCTGAGGTGGTGGAGACCAATGAAAAGAGTGGGATGCTCTTGGAGGAGCGATATGAAAAAGTCTGGGTTGAAAAGGAGAAAAGAGAAATAGCTTCACATTTGAAATCCCTTACAGCTGAGTTAAGGCAAAGTTTTGAAGAAATTCGACAGAACAAAGTAAGTGCTGTGGGAGATGCAGAGGACAATTCTGGAGGAGATTCAAGCAGCGAATCTGATGAAATTTTATTTCATAAGAAAAATGAAGATACTGCTTTGGAGCAACCATCAGAAGAATATGATGTCTGTGACAATGAAGGCAGAATACTTCAGCCAATTCCAGAGCAACAGGAATCAATTACAGAAGATTTTAGTTCAAAGGCTACAGATGTTGGAAATAAGCCGCAAATATCCTTAGAACCACAGAAACTGCCTGAATTAAAAACAAAAGAAGATAGCGATGACATGCCTCCTTTTCCACCTGCAGGAAATGCAGTGTCAAAGGAGTTGCAGTGGGAGACAGTTAAGGAAGATCTTGTAAAAGAAACAGAAATATATTTTCCCAAAGAGGGAGGGACTGATATAGCTGGTTATGTTACTGATTTAGACTCTGATGGAGGCAATGATGGTTCACTACAAGTGCATTCTGGTTCAAATAAAAATATTTGTTCTGATGATGAAAATCCTTCTCCTTTAGAAAACACACATTTGTTGAACAAAATCAAATTGGTTGGGTTTACACCAACAAAAGGTGAAGGCTGTGAACTACAAGATAACATTATGGCCAGGGGTTTACTGCCCCAGAATGTCAAAACTCCTGAGCACGAGGACTTTCCACACCCTGATGCCAAAACTCCTGAGACACTAATAGATGATTTGGAGTACAGCCCAAGAAAGCCCCCCGTCATTGCTTCTAAACCATACTCCGATGAAGAACTAGAGGAAGATGTGCAGAGGTTTAAAAATGAGGTAGGAATGCTAAAAGTAGTATTCCTGGCTTTGGAGAAAAAGAAAGCACAGCTACAGAAAGAGGTAGAGGTTTCCCTGTTATCCTCCCTTATGTTTGCGAGTGATCCTGTCTTGCCTGAACCATTTTCCTCATTCCAACTGCTTTTGAAGGCACGGACTAGTATTTGCATAAAATTGGTAAACATCGTAAAAGGTTTGCAATTGTCAGATGTGACAATCCAATGCATACTTGCTTTCATTGGTGTTGCATATCATTTGTACTGAGATTATCATCTGAAGCAGTGTTTTAGACAAATTGTATGACCCTTTTTCAGGATTACAGGTTTATAACCAAAGCAAATGAAATTGATGCAATTTGAATATAATTATAATGAAGGAAATGCATTGTTAAATAATTGATTCATTGACCTGATTAGTCCCATTTTGGATAATGTTTTTTTTAGGTTGAAGAAGAAAAAAGAAAGAATCTCCAGAATAGGGAAAGAAACCAACTTGATGAAATGAAACTTACTGAGTTAGCAGGAAAATATGAGGGCAGTCAACATCTGCAGGTGAAACAAGTAGCTGAGAAAATCATCCATGAGAAAGTAAACCAAAGAACAGAGCCAAAATTGCTAAAAGAACAAGTTGGTAAGGATGGAGACAGACCTAAACAGCAGAATACCAGTTTAATTTTCAGAATAAATGAAGAGCGGCAAAGAGAAAGCTTTCTTAAAGAGAGAATAAAAAAACAAAACATTTTCAAAGGGTGAGTATTGCTTCTTAATGCATGTTTAATGTTGGGCCTTGTTCAGTTAAGGTTTCTTCAAAAAATAATTATAATAACAATTTGTTCATTCAATCCACAACTGTTTGTGGGACATTGCTGTGAGCAATTGGCTGCCGCGTTTCGCCCACAAAAATACATAGTCACTGCACTTTACAGTATATTCTGTGAAGCACTTTGAGACACCTCAAAGACGTAATAAGGTGCTATATGCAAGGATTATTATTATTATCTCATTATATTTTGCACGGGAAATATTCAAAAAATAATGCTGAAAATTTGTAGAAAATATTTTCAAGCATTTAGTTGTTCCAAAAAAATCAGTTTTTTCATTCTAAACAATGATTGTTAAATTCGCTTTTTTTTAAAGTGTAAAGGCATGGGAGCCAACTCGAAAAAAACATTACAGTTAATTTGGATGGTTCCAAAATTCCTGCGCAAAGTAATTGTACTGTAACGTTATGAATAATTAAGTTTTCTGTTCCTGTTCCACTATAAGGAACATAACCATCATGCTCCGACTGCTCCCAGTTTGAAGGCATATTTGATTAGCGTGCTTTAAAACAGCAACACAATTTAAGATTTGTATAGTCAGTTCAGAAGAGAACTTGATCATGTAAAATAGCATCTTCTTATTTTAGGGTGGGTATTTTTAAAGGATGAGCTCAAATGGGCTGAATGGCCTTCTTCATCCGATCCTCTCATAAATAATTTAATACAATTGAAAGTAATTTTATTGATGATCATAATATTGTGTACTTTTGTATGCGTTTATATGAAGGATTGAGTTGGGCTCAGATGAGGATGATTATGAAAACCGTCAACACAATCAGTGGCCAAAGCAAATTGGTCAAGAGTTGAAAAGGAAAGACAGAAGACTCGCACTTCAACAGACTTCCTGTGTGAATGGGGATTCATTATCTGCTTTTTATGACAGCACTCCAAGCGAAATGTCTCAGGATGAAGCAGGGTGTGTAAAAACACTGACTTTCAATATGTTTCTTCTTCATAACTCCCAGAATGTTTTTGCAGAATATTTGGAATTTAATTTGTGATATTTTCCTAACCAAGGAATCCCTTTAGAATTTCCATCAACCTATGGGATGTCTACCAGTAGAGCAGATGGTTGGTTGCTACTGGCTGTATTATTCTACATTCAACATCCTTCATCCTCAAAATGTTACTCTGTAAAAATTTAGTTAACTGGTATAAGTTTCTAAGACGTCACCTTCAATTCAATGAGAAAATTTTTATGTACGAATTGTTGCACATTTTAGCAGAATAGTTTTGTCTATTTGTACTATGATCTCTACCATTATAATCTTTCCATCATTTTTTTCTCAATTTCGTATTAGAGTTTTGAAAACAGCAACTAAAAAGGTAAACAATTTTGCTTTCAACCAAAGATTATACTTGATTATAACTATACTACCGAAATTCAACAATGCAGTTGATTTTAGTTACGTAATCATTTCTTTTTTGTAGTTTACATTCTTCATACACCGTATCATTTTTAGGTCTAATTTTCAGTTGTTACTGTTTATTACAAATAGTTAATGTACAAATATACACTGTATAATTATGAGTTTTAACAATTTGTAAGTACTGTAAAAATTATATCAAACCCTAACTTAGATTCCATGCTGAGCCTTTTCCACATCCTTGTTTTTAGTTTTCAAATAATATTAATAGATTACCAAAATATAAACAAAGTACATCATTAATTTCCCGTAATCATTGGAAACTTGTAAAATTATGGAAGTACAGATAATTTGCATGTAAAAAAAAAAATTCTCAATTGAGAGAAGTTTTCAGACCATCCAATTCATGAACTGTTGTTATTTTGTTTTTACTGCTTAGCTAGCATTTATATACTTCCTTTTCCCCCTGCTTGTAGGCCAGCAGAGTTGTGACTGTTTCTGATGATTTGGATGATCTCACACAATCCTCTGACTCTACTGCAGATAGCTCAGAATCCCCAGCTTCGGTTTATAGGAATGCTCCATTATTAATTGCACAGCTGGGTGCAGAGAAGTTAGGTAAGGAAAACAAATCTTAATCCTATTTTCTTGATGGGAGGAGTGAAGTAAACTTTAAAATGTCCTTAACGTTTGCATTTGTTTGGCAGCTTTATCTCTTCTCTCCTGAAGGCACTGACTTTGGTTTAAGGAACCAGATCAAAACTGCACCAGAGTTGACTTGATTCGGACGTTCTGTTGCTAAGCCCAGCAGCTTAGAATCAGCTCAGCTCCAAGTTCCACCATTAGGGGGAGGGAGATAGCCTAGGATGCTTGTCAGCAATTAGCAACAAACTTTCCACTCCCTTATGTAAGGGATAGCTTTATTTACTACTGTAAATTGATTTAATCAGTACATTGCTTCAAGGGCAAAGCTGGCAGATGTTAGTTCACTATTCTATTCTGTAAATAATGAAATAGATTATTATCATAGAACAAAGGGGTGGGGATCCAGAGTATGAGTTGGGCTAACTGATGGAGTCTAACCAGCCAAAACCGCATGGCTTGTCATTGAGACCTCTGTCTTACAAGTTTTCCCAATGCTTGCCCAGCTAGGACTACCCTATCCATTATGGCTTTGGCTTGCATGGTTAACGGGAGCTGAGTGGGAAGAATCCCTGCCCCCAGTCACTGGTCTGCCCTTCCAAGTCCTGCTGATGATCCAGCCTGTCTGCTGTCATCTACAGTGTTTTGGAGTACTGGACCTGCCTAGCTCAGAAACTGGACTCTGAGGCCACCATAGAATTTCCCACATTCTATTTTAGCATTCAGTTGTCAAATATGTCACTTTACCAAGGGGACCTGGTGGAAACAATGATTTTCTTTTACCAAATGAATTATGTTGCAAGATTCAAACATTGCCTTCTGTTTTGGTTGTACTTCCAGCACTTGTGGGACCCTTCTTCCCACACTGTTCTCTTTTGTGAATAGTGTCATGTGATATTTATTGTCCTGAACACATAGACACAACTTGGGGTGAAAGTCTCATCTGAAAGTCTCATATGGAGTCTTCAACCATGAACCACACCCCAGCCACCTTATGTCAGTCTAGACTGCAAGCTCAAAGTCCCTATTTGGATCTCGAACCCACAAACATCTGCTTGAGAGATGAGAGTGCTACCAACTGAGCCAGGCTGACTCCAAATTGTTATATTTAACAAAAAAACAATATTTCTGAGTAACCTGGACCATATCGAATAATGAATCTCACACAGGTTTATTTTTTTGAATGAACAAATCCATTTTCACAATTTTGTTTTGCCTTGAATCTATGAGTAACTAATGAAATCAAATTATTGTGATTGGCAATTTTATTGATTGTTTTTAAATTAAAACTACTCTATTAAAATGGATTATCAAGTTGTTTATATATTTTCATGTAATTTTTCCAATAACAGATTCAGTAAGTTTGCTAAAAATCCAAAACCTGATGTATGAGTATGAGCGATCAGTTGAGAGAGAAAAGAGCCGCTATTCCTTACTTTCTGAGAAAGTGAAACAGCTGGAGAATGAGCGAAAGGAGCACTATCAAACACTGGAAGAAACTAGAGAAATGAAATCCAAGCTGGAGCATCAGAAAGTGGAGTGGGAGACTGATCTTAACAGCCTTAGGTATGATCAAACTTATGCTTTTCTTAGCTGTATTAATGTTGGATCGGTATCAATATTGAATGGAAATCCAAGCCCACCTCCCAAAGGCTAATGTAAAATTTGGGTCATATGTTAGTTTGAACTGTAAATACAACCGCTGCAATACTCTTCCAGTTAACCAACAAAGTGCAAGTGAAAACTGAAAAACAGTTAGCAATGTCAAGGACATGAGGGGCTTCCTCCTTTGCTAAAACCTCCTATGCATCATTTTGGAGATAAGGATTGTCAAAATGGTGTGTTGCAGAAGCTTTCTAGTTGGATATCAATCACCACAGTTCATTTTAGTTCTGTGATTCTCTAAAAGAAACTTTAATTGAAGTCGGGGTGACAGTCATCATTAGGCAAATTCACAGTCACTCCATACTGTGAATACTGAATACTAGTAAATACTGCAAAAAGTTTTGGGTCTTCCTCCCAACATGATTATAGGAGGATTATGCCAAATTCAAGGATTATTATTAATTAATATCTTATAAGATGAAGTGTTAGATAATTCACTGTAACAGTGTAGAAATTGACCATCTCTATCTTTGTCCACTTCCTCGGTATTAGCTGCTTTGTGAACTAGTATTGCTATTGACATGTTTAAGCCACCTTTCCAATTGGAAATTGGGTGAAAGAAAAAATGGTAAATAATTGAATAGTAAATGCAGGTTTTATAGACAACTATCTTTTTTAAAAATAGGTTTCGAATAAAACAAGAGGAGGAGAAACGTAAAAATGCTGAAATGCTTTATGAAAAGAGCCGTGAACAAGTGCAGAAAAAGGAGGCACAATACTGTAAAGAGATTGAAGCAAAACAAGAGCTGGAGCAGACTGTGAGGAACTTGGAGATGGAAAGGAGAACATTAATCAGCAATCTAAAACAGGTCAGTGGCAGAGAGTAGTTTCAGATTAATGATGACCAATGACAAAAAGAGCTTGTTTTTAAGTCACTAAAGGCTAGTATCTAAAACATAAAACTGTATTCACTATTGGGAGGCAGTGTTCTATATAATAGAGCACTCGCCTTGCAAGCGAGACACCTGAGTTCAATTCCAGGCAGGGCGAAACCTTGGGCAAGTTTCCTTACTCCACACGCCTAATAATAATCCCTCCAAAAACAAAACAATAATAAATTGGTCATTTTCAATCCATGACTGTTTGTGGGACACTGCTGTGCGCAATTGGCTGCCGCGTTTCGCCCACAAATATACGGTCAATTCACTTTACAGTCTATTCTGTGAAGCGCTTTGAGACGTCTAGAAGACGTGAAAAGCGCTATATCAAATGCAAGGATTATTATTATTATAATCAATTTCTTGAGTGATAATGAGCTAGTTTTAGAGAATAAAGAAGCACAGGGATAGCCCTGATTGCTAATAATTTTCCATGAATCTCTCTCTCACTGATAGCAGCACTAATTATGAAGACACGTCAGAGACTTTGACATATTGGCTAGATGCTTGGGGACTCAAAAATAAAGGGAGAAACACAAGGGGTATTAATGTATAGATTCAGTGGTGGGATCTGAGGCATTGATTTGGTGGAAACAATGATCTTGTTTTACCTAATGAATTATATTGCAAGGTTCAAACATTGCCTTCTGTTGTGGTTGTACTTCACAGCACATGGATGTATAGCACTGTAAATAAGCTGTGCCATTTGATTTAATAGCGGAGTATTTAAAGCTTCTCAAAGGATTGTTGCTTAAAAAGTTGACATTGAACTCTGTTTAAATCCTTAAGTCGGTAGTTGGATTTGTTTCTTGAACAAACTGTAATGTATGTTTTACATCTGCAGCTTGATGAAGAACAAAATGATTTGCAAAGAGTTTTGAGCCAGGAACGCAGTGCCCGAGTTGTGCACGAAGGAATTTTCAACAATCATCTACGCAAACAACGTGAGATAGACGAGGAAAACAAGAAATCAGTAAGCAAGAACACAGAGGTGTGTATCTTCTATACTAATAAAGACAAAATGTCTGTTTGTGTGTCCTCCAAGAACGCATAACCGATTGACATAGAGACAGAATTTATTCCTCATTGGAAAGGTCTTGCAAGGGGGAGCGTATGCCCACAATACAATGGGCATTTTTTTTTCGGGATCTCTTATTGTTGATGAACTATATTAAAAAATATATTTAAAAAATGCTTTAATTAAGCCCCCCAAAAAGGTATGTATGGTATTCTGCAACAAAGAAACGACAAGGATCACACACCCTTCTAGAGAGATACATCTATACTGATAAAGACTAAATGTGTGTGTGTGTGTCTGTCCGTCTGTCTGTCTGCCAAGAACGCAATAACCGATTGACGTAGAGACATGATTTATACCTAATCAGATAGAGCTTACATGGGGGGAGTGTCGTGGGCATATTATCGGTGATGAGCTATATTAAAATCTTTAATATGAGGTAAAAAAGCCCCAAAATATGAGGTACTAGCTGTACCCCAATGCATGGTATTCTGCAACAAGGTAGTGATAGAGGAAATCACACACCCCTCTGGAGAGATACATTGGAAGAGCAATAGGAAGGTGGGAAGAGAATGGTGAAAAAAAATTCAATGCTACATTTTTAAAATTAAGTCTCTTCCACCTCCGAAAAAAATATGCCTAGTCCCATAATCTCTTGAGGAGAGTCATGGCCATAATTTTTTTGGGGGGATCTCCTATCCTTGATGAACTATGACCTAAACAAGCTCATCCCACATGCATGGCAGTTTTGATTAACATGTATACACAGTGTTTATGGCATGTTGAGTGGTTTGTGAGTGGTATCACTGAAATCTACATTCCATTTTGGATCCTTTGGTTCAAGCGTAGCTTCAACGGGTACAGTTAGTTAAGTATAAGTATGAAACTATTTGTAAATCAAACCTGTTTTATGGTTTGTTCAGCTGAATTTGAGATAATTCGTAATATTTAGTTTCTTTCATAATCAATCACATTAAGTGAAATAATGATCCAAATCTTAAAATTGCACTGAAAATAGTGAAGAGAATCTGTAATCCAGACCAAACTCTGTGCAACTTTCAGGCTATCTGCCCCCTGTGCAAATTTGTTCATGTTACTTATTACGCTTGTAGAATTCTGTTGTAAACATCTCAAATTGTTCCTGAATAGATTATTAATAAGCACTTAGAAAAAAAAGTGTTGGATTCTGTATGGAATATAGTGGGTGCTGAGTTTTTTCGCTGCCATGCAGTTTCTTTGAAAACATGTCTGGATAGAGTTCTTTTAATGTGAACAGACCAGTCACAATCAGATGCTTATTTGGTAAAAAGAGCTACTGTAGAATTTAGATTATGAGATGACAGTTTGATAATTTATAAGCACAAGGGTTCAAATTGTACACTGTATTGCACTGTTTTGTTCAATCTAAAGTATTAGTATACATACCAATCCCTTCATGCCCTATCACCTCCGTAACTCTGAGCTGCTAATGCCCACCTCCTTTGCTCAGCTAATAAAGGCCTGCTGTGCATAAACCAACCCCTTCGCACCACCATCAGTGGCCATTCCTTTATCCACTACGTCCCTAATTATTGGAAGTCACTGCCTCAATCCCTCCGTCTTGCCCCCCCACTTTATCTTGAAATCCTACCTGAAGGCCTACCTGTTCAACTATGCCTATGGCCACCTCCCTTTCTCCCTTGTTTGACGACCAACCAACCCCTCACCTCCTTTCCCTCCCCCCCACTGTACAGTACTATGTAACACTATTCTGTGTGCAGTACATTCAAATTAAAATTGTTATTGGTGTTGCAGATCTTTGAATTCTGCATTAGTTTGACATTAGTTTTATTTGTTCAAATGACAGCAGCTGTCATTGCAGAGTTTTCCTATTTGGAAATCTGTAGGGTAACTGAACTCCAGAAAACCCAAATTACTCAAAGCTCTTTACTTCAATGAATGTTTTGTGCAGAATATCCATAATATGGTTGACTATGGTGATTCGTAATTTGAGTGGCAAATAGCAACTCCTGTCATCAACTAGATGTGCTTCATACTATAACTTATATTCTGTACTCTTGACATAGAGGAAATAAAAGCAAAACTTAGTAGAATGGTGTACAGCTTTTGTTTAAAAAGGTGAAAATAAATTGCATAGTATTTAAGTATGTAGTACCTGTTTAACATATTGTATTATAGCTGTTAATCGTTATACTGTTCTTTGCATTGAAGGCTCTAATTCATTTTTCTGAAACGAATGAACGAGAGAAGGACTTGATGCAACAGAATTGTTCACTACAGGATGAGGTGTCCGTGCTCAAACTCGAACTAGATCGTGTGCGTGCACGGAATCAGGAGGAACAAGGAAAATATATGGAGGAGAATGAGGCACTGAAGGAAAGGCTGGAATACCTGAAAAAGGACTTGAAGGATAATGAAGAAGCTTTGACTCAGACAGCTTTGCAGTGTAATGGACAGCTTAATGCTCTGAAGACTGAAACTGCGATGCTGGCATCCCAGCTGGAACGTGAGAAGCAAAACAGAGAAAAACTAGAGACTGACATGGAAATCATGCATTCACGTTTGAACTCAGCACTTCAGGAAATTGAACTCAGTCAAACAGCAAAAGGTGATGGCGAAAAGACTTTCCAAAGAGAACGCGACGAATGGCTTCGTTTAGATGAGAAGCGGAACCATGAAATCTCCAATCTCCGTGAAACCACTAACAGTTTGTCACAGCAACTGAGCAAAGCTGAAGCTAAGGCTAATAACCTTGATAATGAGTCTCATCGTGCAACACTTTCCCTGACTGAGAAAAACCTTATATTAGAGAGTGTTCAGAGGGACTTGAATCAGAGTCTGGCTCGTACAAAGGAACTGGAACATGCTCTTCATTTAGAGAAAGAACAGATGAGCAAATACACAGTACGCCAGGAGTCTATGCAGGAGAGATTAGCACAAACTCAAAGTGACAACATGCTGCTGCGACAGCAATTGGAAGATGCGCACAATAAGGGAATTAAAAAAGAACAAGCAGTTAGTGATGTTCAGGAACGGTTCAGTGACATCTTTTCTAAGCTTCGAGGAGACAGTGAGCGGCAGATCAATCTGATCGAAGAGAGGAATAAAGAATTAATTATCAGGAACAATGAGCAAAAGGAACACATCTATAAATTTGAAAATGAGAAGACCGAAAGAGAGGTAGTGTGGTGGTTAAAAAGCTCAATAACAAATTGTTTCTTGTTGTTTGAAGTTGGAGATTTTTCTCAGATTATCTGTTCAGTTAAAAGGTTGGAGTTTTATCACAAAATAAACATGACCAAAAACATATCTGGAAAATATAATAATAGATGGACAATGTACTTTTAACACAAAAACAGAAGTCGCTAGGAACACTCAGCAGATCAGGCAGCATCTATGGAGAATGCAAAATACTGCAGATGCTAGAAATCTGAAACAAAAACAGAAATTGCTTTTTAAGATATTAAGTTAAGAATGTACTTTTTAAGTTATTTTCGTTCCTCACACTTGGGTGGGATTCAGATGTCTTGGCTGTAGACTTCCTGCCACTGGTCTGAGCTACTTTGTGATGAAGGGATAAATGTGACTCTGTTGATGTTTCCTTCCTCCAACTCTCATGAGGTGATCTGGGAAAGCAGTAACAGTACTATGCTATTGAGGAGAATTGAACTGGAAGTTTGAGTTTGAATAAGAATGTTCTCCAAACTGTTTTTCAACATGAAACGCTAGAACTGGGAGACTGGTGGTACAGTAATGTTTTATAAAGTTGATCGGAAGAGACAAAAAAGAGATGCCATTGGTTTGAAACTGACTCTCCCAACAGTCTGTTTCTTCACCTTTCCAAAAGATAGGATCAAGAGATAAATTTGTGAAAACATCAAGGCAATATCAATGCAGCTTGCACCTCTAAAATGGAGACTCGGGCAAAATATAGTATTAGAATGGTTACATAATACAGAGAAAAGTCTAAAAAAATAGAATGATGGCAAAGGGAAATTGGGGGTGAACCTTTCTCTGTAAATTCATCTTGACTGTTTCAACAACAATAAATCAACAACAGCTTGTGCCACTTACGCAGGGTAGCGTCCCAGAGTGCTTAATACAAATGACATTTGTATACTGCCTTTCATGTCGGGAGGACATCCCAAGCTGCTGGATAGTCAGGGATTTGGACCAGGGATGCTGTGTTTTAAGTACAGTATAGGACAAATAGAGATTTATATCTTTTATAATAACACTAACAACTAAAAGCTTCAAACCTTTTGGAGAACTAACATTAATAACATTAACCTTTCACATTTGCCTATTTAATTTCATATTTCAGAGTATCTCCCATTTTTTTTCTTAGTTAATTTTCATACTTAATTTATTATCCTCCACGTCTGCATGGGTAAATTGATGACAACTGGGGAAATTTTGTTTTCAGAGTATATTGAGGCAACATCAACAAGAACTAGCTGATGCACTGAAGAAACTCTCAATGTCAGAGGCTTCACTGGAGGTCACCACCCGCTACCGTAATGAACTGGAAGAAGAAAAAACACGTATGCAGAAGCAATTAGATAAATTGAAAAGTAAGGTAAGCCACACATGGTCTCTTATGTGATAAATGGAGTTGAATGAAATTTGCATTTTCTACCAATGGTGTACATGTCCTATTGTTGTTGGTAAGTAAAATAACCATGATTTACAGATACGCAAATCATAGCAATCTCCAAAGTTCCGAGTTACAGTATGTGACTATATTCTTCCAGGCTACAAATACTGTAATGGGATTTGTAATACTGAATGAGTTGCTCAGCCCATGAGAGTACCTTTCTCGAAAGGATTTTTTTTTCTCACACATGCACCTCTGAAAATGTACTACCCTTTATCAATACTCTGCACAAACAATTGATTGAACAGCAAATATTTATTTAGTCTTCCTATTCAATCTAGTATCTTTTTTCTTCAGTTGCAAAACACTGAGGAGAAGCATGTGCATTCTGAGCGGAGAATCCAGGAGTTGCAGAACGCTCTGGATGAAAAAGAACACCAGGTGATTGCGAGTTCTCAGAAAATGCAAGAACTTTTGACCGTCTCCTCACAATCAAAGGAGGGTGCAAAACAACTCGAGGAACATGTACAACGGTAGGAAATAGCAATTGAAAATGTTAAAATTATAGTGGAACTGAGAAGCTTTACATCAGGTCTCCTATTGAGTCAAAGAAATAGCTTAAGTTCTTCAAATTTGTATAATATCTTCCAATTTAGTAGATATACCCAGAATTTCCTATTGGATATGAGGCAGAATGTACTCTCTAATTTAAACGCATGAAAAAGGGTTTGTTTTACCCTTGAATATTTTGAAGCAAAATCATTTGTCTGCCTCATCCTACTATTTCAGATTGGAGATTGAAAATGCAAAATTGGAGGCTCTTGTAAAGCAGAAGACAAGCAGATCTGAAATGCTACAGAAAGAGCTCCAGGAGACGGCTTCAGTAAGTATACATATCTGACAATACCATTGTGACTGCTGCACTGTCGATAGTAGATACTGTCCTTAAGTAAAATATGATTTTGTGAATGCAAGTTAGAGTAACGCCTCTAAAACTATTGTGGTTGATACTTGGTTGCTATTGTGTTAGTGATGTTCAGATAATTACTTGCAGTTTAAGGATATTGGGTTATAGAGAACATATAAAGCTTACAAGCAAACTTTGTAGCATGCACTAATTTCAGTCTGTTTTGCAGAGTCCAGGTTACACAACAGAGAGGATTGTTGGCCATTATGAAGATACTACTGTTAGTGGCTGCAGTAAATACCCTTGAACACAGATTGGCTGTAGTTGTAGTTTCTTTCTGCCTCTTCCCTCCATATGCAGATCTCACCAATTGAACCCTTTGACTGCATCAAAATAAAAGTACAGCAAGATTATAATTTTTAGTTAATCGAAAATAATATTTTATCACTGAAAAAGCTGCATTTAAAGTAATTTTCCCAAATATTACTTTATAATCAGCATTACAAATTTACAGAAAATATTTTTTGAAAGGACTTTATTGACTCAAAGGGTTGAAGGTAGGATGGGACAGTGTTAAGTTAACTGAGTGTGCAATAAGATTTATGTCATGGTCTTATCTTTGAAGCAGAAGTGCTTGAAATTGTTCTTATAAGTTAACTACCTATTTAAGATTTTTCAAATCTTGGTATGAAATTAAATTAGTCTAGCTACGTTAGTTCAGTGTCATAAAAACATTTCTTGAAATTTATTGAGAATTTTCAAATCAGCACTTTTGCTTCCCAACTTCTGCTTTTTGTGCATGATTTGGAAAAGCAGTTTTCCTTTTAGGGGCAGGAAACTTTGATTATTTCCTTTTAGAAGTCTTCGTGATCTGACCAAATAAAAACACTGCTCTCAATTAATGAATTACTTTGAGAAAGCTTTCAGAATTAAACTTAATGCCGAACTTAGTGTGGGGGAATAAAAACTTGTTTTCTTTCCCCGCACAGTTTGCAGAAGTTAATATAATGCTGCACAATTTTGTTAACCTTTTAAATTCATCTGTTCTCTTTATGGTCAATTCCAAATTTATCGATTGTGATGTTTTGGGTGTGTACTTTTTTAGGCTTTGCAAGGTGTTGGGAATTTAATTTGTTTTCATGTTGTAAGATGTTATGCAGTAACTCTTCATTAAGTGGGAATTACTAAATCTTGGATTGGCTAACAAATAGAATATTAGCTCCTAACTTGTGTATGGTGCACTTCACTCTATCTCAGGGGAAGACGCTGAAATGCATGAATTTAGTTCAGAATAACTACCTGTAATAAAACTACATGTTGATGTTCTGTCTCACTAGCTCCACAGCTCCTTTATTCTATGGATCATGATTTGGCACTTTAATGACATAGGAAGACATGACCTTAGTGTGCAAAAAGAATCACTGTGCAGCAGCTATGAAACAGTTTCCTGTTTTAATATTGCAGCTTCTCAGACCAGTTTAATGTGCCTTAATGTGAGCATGTTCTCAAAGTAAAGCCAACCATATTTCTGCCTCCAATCCAGGAGCGTGAGGCATTCAACTTATATCTGAATCTTTGAAAGAGAACATTTGTCACTGCGCACATCCTAGTGCTCTTGAAATCTGCCAGAAAAGAGGTAGCATAAGATTTGTGCTCCATTTACCACTTGCGCCATGGTTCAGATAGTGGAATTCGGGGGTGTGTGGGAAAGTTCCAGCCCATACACAGCTATCTCCAGCTCTGAAAACTAAATCCTTTTTAGCATTCGTCACCAAACTGTACTGTGGATGATCTGTTAGGGGTCTGCTCTGTTTGTTAATTTGGACCTTAACATTTTGTTAAGCGAGGAGTAGCTAATCTTATTACAAAATTGCCTTGGCTAGCGTTTCAGCACGAGAGCTTCTCTCCATACAACTATAGAACTTTACAGCTGAAGAAAGCCGATCAACCTTTCACATCTAAGAAAAAGCAATTCATCAGTTTCATACCTGTGTTTTCCCCCAGATCTCTTTGAATTACCCCTTTTTTTAAAAAAAAAGATGTCTTCCTTCTTGAAAGCTAATATGCATCCTGCTTAGACCAGTGCACCCAGCCAGGCATTTGTGGAGTCCTGTAGCTCAGTGGTTAGAGCACTCGCATTGCAAACGAGAGACCTGGGTTCAATTCCAGGCAGGGCGAAACCTTGGGCAAGTTTCCTTACTTCACATGCCTAATAATAATCCCTCCAAAAAACAAAAACAATAGTAAATTGGTCATTTTCAATCCATGACTGTTTGTGGGACACTGCTGTGTGCAATTGGCTGCCGCGTTTTGCCCACAAATATACAGTCAATTCACTTTACAACATATTCTGTGAAGTGCTTTGAGACGTCTAGAAGATGTGAAAAGCGCTATATCAAATGCAAGGATTATTATTATTATTCCACACCCTAACAATCAACAACCTGCTGTGTTTATTAAAAAAAATTCCTAATATTTCTCCTTTACCCCCAAAACATGGGGACCATTCCAATGCTTTGTGTGCCCCTTACCAAAGTGGAATTAGTTATTAAAGTAGGCATTATTTCTGATGTGAATTCAATTCACAATTTTAACAGGTAGTTTGTTGGCTAAGACACCAGTACAAAAACTCCCTTTTTTCGAATAGCTCCATAGAATTTTTAACATCCTCCGAACAGGCAGACAGGACCTCTGTTTAAATGTCTCGTCTAAACCCACATGAAACTTCTGACTGAGAAGTGTTACTGACTCAATCAGGCTGACACCTAAGGTATTATCTCTTCCATGGAAATGGGCCATTTTTTGATGTATTAGTATTTTGGATCCATAATTAGGAAGTTAAAACTAGCTTTCAAGTGAGCAGATGACTTGTTAGTTTAAAGTTTTGTTTTTGTTCTGGTAATGTTTTCTGTTGTCAATAGATGGTGATGTTGCACTGTGAAATTTGGGCAGGGAAATTGCTTTACTTCTATTGTAGCCACCCAGCAGAGTCTGCGGACGTCCTTTTACAAATCCCAATTGATTAAATGCCTCGATCAAATCACCTCTTGACCTCCTGAGCTCTAAGTAATACAGTAAACTCCTGATAACTCGCCACTAAAAGGGGAAACAGGTCGACTCAGGCTTCACTTAAGTCATCATGCTGTCAATATCCTGGAAGCATTTATTTATACATATGTCTAACTTGCCACTCCGGATAACTCATTACCAATTCTTTTTCCTTTGAGGTGACGAGTTATCAGGAGTTAAATAAATATGGCCAAGACATTGACAGCATGATGACTTAAGTGGTACTGTTGTGACAAGTTAAACCAGGGTCGAGTAATTGGGAATTTACTGCACAACCAAGTTTACCTTTCCGCATATCTAAGCCCTTTTACCCTTGGCTTGTCCTTCCAAAGCTGATATATTCATGTCCAAGTCATTACTGTACTATATATAGGAAGGAGCCCCAACAAGGGATGATCTTGCTCACTCATATCAGTCTGTATATGTCTTTAGAGAATCTTAGTAAACCCCTGATAATCTGGATCAAGAAAAGGAGAAACAAGTAATAATAATGTGTTTTTTGACAAGTAAATGTAAAAAGCTTGCTAAATAAAAGGTAAAGCTGAACTGTTGCTGATTTTATAGGGAAAAGCAAAATATTTTTAAAATAAATTAAGTACTGTAAATGGAAACATTTCACATTGAATTTATTTTCACTATTTTATGACTTTTTAATTTTGAATAAAAGTTCAGATTGTTTTGCCCATCCCTACCAGTTAGCACTGTTGGTGAAGCGTTCCAGGTTCCCCCTTCTCAGTAAAGCATGAATTTTCTAGTTCTTATTTATAGCCTTGCTACAATGCAGTAGTGCAACATTCACAAGTTAACACAAGGGGCACCACAGTGGTCTTATTCATTGGTTATTTATCCAATCTTTTCTTGCTAGGTTCGTGGTCGGCTTGAAGACTTGGTAACAAGTTTACAAGGAGTAAAGGTCAACTTGGAAGAACAGCTTAATCAGGAGGTATGGAGGTTTGGTGTTATATGTAATCTGGATGCTTTCGATGAGCAAACCAGCAGAGTGCATTGTTATTGTTTCGCCAAACAAAGCTACTTGAAGCTTCTCGTAATTTAATTTCAAAAGCATTTGTCATTACAGTAATTAGTATATCTTGCATCTAGTGCATTCGAGTAACCTGTTCTTTTTCCAGAAAAAATCGGAGGGATGCTAGAATATAAAACCATCCTAAAAGTGCATTAAATAAATGTGAGGCAAAATTAATTGTTTTAACTTGAGAGGAAAAGAGCAGGAAATGAGATTAAAGTTAGATAGCCTCAGTTAGAGTAGCACAATATCAGAAAGGAGATAATGACCTCTTAGTGCTGCAAATAAATAACAACAAGATTTCATTTATAGAGCGCCTTTCACGTCAGAAGGACGTCCCAAGGCGCTGGACAGTTGGGTCAGGACCCGAACAGGGGGGAAATGGTCAGGGTGAGGGAAGGGAGGGAGCAAGGAGGGGGTAGAGAGTTGAGAGGGGAGCTGAAGGCACGGTCAAAGAGAATAAACGCTCTCTAATTCTTTTGGCTTGAAAATTGAAATAGTTAAATGCCTTAAAATGTAATTTATTTCAGATGTTCATAAAGGAACATTCATGAGAAGAACTATTTAAATTTGACTTGCAAATCTTTCATACCTTTCAACTTTTGTCAAATTTCTTATGTTGATGTGATCTGTATGGAGTTTAATGAACAGATGATTCAAAGTTTGTCTGTGTGTTCATTTAGGTACAAAAGCAAGTTGTGTTGTCACAAACCGCTAAAGATTCACATCACCTGTGGGAAGAAGAATTGAAATCTCGATCTAAACTAGGACTCCGACTTTCTAAATTGGACAGAGAGAAAGATGAACTGGCCAGTCAGGTAACTAGGGCAGAACAGGAAGCAAATTAAGCCTAGTCTGTATTCTCAGTATTTCTCTAGTTTTATCAAGTCTCATTAAAATATTGTATAAAATGTCAAAGATTCTACTTAAAATTTCTTTGAATGCAAAACCAAACTGTTACATGGATTTCATGCTGGCGCAGTGAATTTCATATCCAATATGTTTCACGAGTGAGTTCTATCAGTTTTAGAGATATCAATAGTTCAACATTAATTCTTAAAAGAAGTCATCACAATGAGGAAAAAAAATAAAAGTAGTCTTCATTAGGAATAACAACAATGTGCAATTTTAACATTTCTGTGATTTGGCCTGATTTACACCTGATTTAGAGCATTGCAGAGCAAGCGTATAAAATATATGTGCTTAATTAATCATTCCTTGGGTTCTGGAGAAATGTTTAATGTTGGTAAAGAACAGATTGTCTTGTGCACTCTATGGTGACACCAAAAATAAAACTAAAGAGCAGTCCAGTGAAAACCAAAGCAGTGTGACCAGCTACTTGAGGTGGTCGCTCATCATTTCTGTTAAATTACATCAACCTCAGATTCCTAGTGTAAATTCATGGATATTTTGTATTAATTCAAAATCTTACCTGGGAACCTTCAGTCTGGGTTTTTGGCGTTTCTGCAAGCTGCTATGGGAAAATTCTCTTTCCTCCTTCAATCAAACCTGCAGCTACCAACAGTTATGATTGTATTCTCCAGAGGTTTCAATGTTTATCCTTGCATTGTGAGTGTAGCTAAAAGGAAATTTAACCCACCAAAATTTAATTCCAGTTAAAGTAACAGTATCATTTGTATTTGTACATTGTATTTGTGTCATATTACACAATAGATGTACGAGATAGAAGCTACTGATTGATGACTGATTACTTCATACTTTTTTTAAGTATATTATCTTTTCACAGAATGGCTTAAGAATTTTAGTCAAATATGGGTTCTTGGCTGCATTTATTGGGCATTGCAACCTTAAATGACATTCAAAATAAAGTTGGCATTCCAAAGAATAGATTTACAAACAGAAATTAAGATTGTCTATTCAAAATGTATCATAGAAAATATAATATACATAGGATAACCTTTAACTGGAGATTTGTAACCACTCTTTATTCACCACTCCGCATAACTGTTGTATAATGCAGGATATGAAAAATGTTCGTTTGTTATTATCATTGAGCTGAGGAATCTGCAATTCCTGTTTTAAAGACTAACAGATTATACGCTGTGTAACAGCAATGCCCAGTGATATGGAAAATTGTTTCAATATGTAACATTGAACATTTGGGTATCAGAAATGCATGTCAAGCAACTGCAAGTGATTACTGAGACATTCTGTGTTTGATGTGCCACAATATGCATACTTCTTTATCTTATATATGTAAAAAAAACTGGTTTCAGTCATTATATGTAGATTTTTGGGGGGTAAACCTACAATAGTGTCAGACTCGGTGAACCTCAGGAAATGATGTTCCTGTGTTTGCGCTGACATATGCTGCTGGCACACAAACTTAACAAAAAATAAAGTATCCTTTTCTCTTTCCTTCTACCACAAATTTGAAGTATTACATTGTAAATAACCAATAGCAGAGAACAATTTCAAGCGATTTCATGGTTATTGCCCACTTTATTGGATTACTGCCCGAATAATTACTCAATTAAATGTTTTTCTGAATCAGAGCACATTTTGCAACTTTTGCCAAACAATTAAATCTTCTTTTTAAAGATTGAAAGTGAAAAGAAAAAAGTTAAAAAAATTGCCGAGGGTAAGCGATCAGTGGAAACCAGACTGGATCAAGAAATGAAAAGAAATGCTGAGCTTCAAAAAGAACTAAGCCGGTATGATATTTCGTTCTCTAACAGTTTTAAGATGTGCACAATGTCATTTTGTTAACCAATGCAAGACAGCATTTATTTTAACAACAATGTTCTACTTCACAATAACCAAGTTTTAACCCAGCAAAATCACTTCTGTGTATGCTCTATCTTCAGCAATATCAATTTCAAGACCTTTTTATCTGCTAAAAGACCATTGTTTCCCCCCCCCCACCTGCCCACATCCCACACAATAGTCAAACACACGTGGTGAGAGCTAGAAATATCTGTCTAATGTCTACTGTTTCTGTAGAACTCCATAAGACATTATTTCCCACCAGCAGTTTTTTTTAAAAACGGAGCAGCTCGCTTGATATGAATATATAAATCATTTTTTTAAAAAACACTCATAAAGAAGCAAAAGAGGGATTGCTAGTTTTATAATCTAGGAAACAAAATTAACTCCTAAGATCTTGCAGTACAGTATAGCTTTCTCTCAGTTACTGACTGCTTATTCTCAAGATCTTAAGGACCACAGAGGCAAGTGTCTGCTGCATTCATGCTTCAGACTGGAACTGCTCGTCAAAAAAATACTTAAATTGAATCCAAAAGTTGTTGTTGTAGAGAAATGTCACTGACTCTCTGATTATATTTGCTGTACAGAATGAGAACGCTGTTGAAAGGCACCAAAAAGAAACTGAAGGAGTATGAGAATGGAGGCTTTGTCTCCCAACTCAGCAGTATACGGGGAGAACTGGATCACCGACACTCTGAAACCGAGGTCACTATTAATAAGTTGAAGAGCAAGGTGATGCCACTTTTGCACCTCTGAAAAAATTCATCTGTAGCCTTTGTAGCATGGTCATAAAGAATGCAAATGAGGGATATGTAATATGATGGTTTAATTCCCTGTGGCCTTTAGAACCTCTGCTTGGAGCCATACCAGAATGATGTTGGAAATCTTGTCTATCTGATGCATTAAGGATCATATGTAAAATGACTTTGGGCACTTTGATGTGCTATAGAAGAAAACAAATTTACAGACCATAAGTCCTCACATTTCAAAGTCCTGATGTGTGTTATACCATCAGGAATGGAAAGCACTTCTCCACAGGAAGCAAGGAGAAAATATGATGTGGTTAGTCACTCTGAATTGTTTGTGGTCGAACAGAGGGTCATTGGCAGAAACTCTAGTGCAGGAGGTCTGATTTTTGGTATTATTTGAATGGCCTAAAGCCTGGAAGCATTTTAACTGGAAATATTGGTTAAAAAGATAGGGTATATTTTGTCGAGTATATTTTACATAATTATGGTGAAACATTCAAATCTGTTTAAAATTAGTGATGGTTTTAAAATTCAGACAGTGTGATCAAAGTGATCCCAGCTTGTAGTAATAATGCTTGTTTTCCTATACTAGTGGGGAGACAGCATTTAGTGTACATGTGCATGTAAGTATGGCAGCTCAAATGTCATTCAATCAAACTGCCCTCAGGCTACAGGTAATGCATTCATTTTAAGTCATACTGCAATAAATAGAGGAGGGATAGTAAAGGAAAAAATTGCAAATTATTTTGTTAGGATTTCTGTACTATGGTCAGATTGAAAGGGAATGGATTCTGATTCTCTGAGATGTAATTGTTTCCTTTTTAATTCTAGTACTCGCTCACCACTTATCTTAATTTAGGTTGCCAGCCTGTCTCAGATGGCAGTACTCTTGCCTCTAGAGCAGAAGGTTGTGGGTTCAAGCATTATATTAGTACTTTGAGACTCATAGTCTAGATGGACACTGCAATACAGTGCTGTGGGTGCTCTGCATTTGTCAGAGATACAGTCCTTTGGATGAGACATTAAATCAAGGTCCTATGTGCTTGTTCAGTTGGACGTTAGCACTACTCAAAGAACAATAATCCTCCAGATAAAAATGGTCATTTATTATAGCATGGCTATTTGTATGACATTGCTGTGTGCAAATTGGCTGCCACATTCACCTACAAAATTCATAGGCACTATACTTTATAGTAAATCGTGCAAAGCATTTTGAGACAATCTGATGAGATAGTTTATCGAAAGCAAGGGTTATCATAATGAAAATATTGGTTGTTAATTATATCATTAAAGGCACTTGCAATTCTATGCACATGGGTATTTACACATGGGTATTTAATAGATTCCATAGATCCTTTGTGCACACCCAGATTGATTAAATAATGGATGTCATCTGCCTGTGATCAGTGTAATGACTAACTGCTGCACAACTTAAAATAAGTAACAAAAAAGATAAGTTACACAAAAGCATCAAACTATCAAGTTTTATAACTGGGTAAAAACACATTTTCAAACCCATTTTGTGATGTTAATTTCTCCATACATCTCACAGGTAGATGAATTGTCCCAGCAGCTGGAAGTAGAATATGTCAAGTGTAGACGTTTGGAATCTGCCAGTCAGGAACAGATTGAGCAGGTCGCTTCAATGAGGTCTTTACAGAGGAACCATGATCGACTGGAAAAAAGCAAACAGCATCTAGAGGATGAAGTGGCCAGACTGAAGCGTCAGGTTGAAACCAACGTGATGGATCATAGTCACATGGAACAATACAAGCGGGAAATAGAAGAACACGCGCGTAAGGAAATTAAACAGAAGCTGGAAGAAGTTAACTTATTCTTGCAGGTGGGTTTGGTTTAATATGAGGATTGACAATAGAAATAATCGTGCAGTTATCTTGATTTGACTTTTTATCCTATATTATTCTATGTGAGAATGGTGGAAAGAGGTAGCTTTCTGAGAGGGAACCACAGTGTCGATCAGTGTCTGTCCTTGGTTCCCCCCAGCGGTGGGTGGCCGAGGGAAGCTCTGATTGTCTGTCCTGTTCGTAGTGAACTATGAAACGCTGCCCTCAGTTCTCCTCTCTTTCTGCTCTAACTCTTTTTGTTTCTCTCTCTCCCCATAGGACCCTCTCTCTCAAGTTATCTCTCCCTCAATCGCTCTCTCTACCCCCTCTCTCAAACACTCTCGTACACACTCTTCTCTCATGCATTCTCTCTCAATTACTCTCTCTCGCCTCTTCTCACACTCTCTCACATCCCTTTCACTCTCTCTCCTCTCTATCACACACTCTCTTCCTCTTTCAATTACTCTGTGTCACTCCCCCTCTCTCCCATGCACACACTCTCTATCCCCTCTCAAACTCTCTCTCAATCTCCACCTCTCTGTTTCTTTCTCTCACATTCACTCCCTCCCCCCTCAGCCTCTCTCTCTCCACACTCTCTCAATCACTCTCTCCAGCCTCTCTCACGCAATCTCTCTCTCTCACTCCCCCGTTCTTACCTCTCTCTCACACACTCTCACCTCTCCCACCTCTCTCCCTCTTCTCTCTCCTCTCAATCTCTCTCCCAATCAGTCGCCCGGCAGTCACTATCTGCAGCGGCACAAGTCTGTGGTTGGTAAGAGACACGCTTGCCATCCTGACAGACTACAGAAACCACCGGCATTATTTTCACTCTCCGCGCTGCACCCTCTCAACCACCATCTCCTGGTGAACATGGAAAACATTCACCAGGGAGCGGAAATAGAAATGTTGGAAATGGTCTCTGGCCAGATAAAATAACTGTCCGGGCCAGATGCGGCCCATGGGCCGCCAGTTGAACCACGCTTGGGTAGTTCAATGCTGAGCCGGGATGAAAGGGGAGGTAGCCAACCATAAGCACGGTTGAAGAGGAAAGTCTTCAGTTACTATCTGAAGTCGGGCAAAGAGGAGTAATATGAAATAGAAGATTTCTGATTTGGTGCCATTACAGTTGAGTTGGAGCCTTTCTTTTAATGAGATCATCTAGTTGGACTAATATTTAGAGTAATGTTGACAACATGATAAGGAAAGTTGAGTCATGAAATAATTCTGCCTCTTATTAATGTAATTATCTTATTTCAATATCGTTATAACTAATATAATTTCTGTATAAAAATTAAAGTTTGAAATTAATAAACTTGTTTTGCTAATATATTGTTTCACTCTTACCTGTTCAGACTCAGCAGGCTTCCCAAGAAGCCTTGGAACAACTAAGAGCCACAAATGAAGGTACTGTTAGAAACCAACTAGAGCAGAGAATACGAGACCTGGAATCAGAGCTGACTAGGGTCAGATCTTCACAACAAGATAGCTTGAACCTCAGAGAATCAGCACAGTCAGAAGTTGAGAGGTACAAGGAATTGTACACCGAGGAATTAAAATCGCGGAAATCCCTTGCAGCTAAACTTGATAGGTAAGATTGTAGTATATGATAACTTGAAACGCATTGATGGCTCAGTTGATGAATGCATCATGTAATGTGCACCTGAGCATTTCAGAGCTATTGGCTCTAGGTTTTCAAGTTACTTCACATGGCTCTGGTAAGTTTCACAGTATCTGTCCAGCTAGTCCCACCGATTAGGGTTTGGCCAGCAGGAATTTGCATGTCTGTACTTTCACTCTTATTGATGAGCCAGATTGGTCAAGAATAAACAATGCCTTGGATTGTTGCGGACATGCCCAGCATTATCAGGTATGTTTTCTTTGAACGTTGCATCCCAGGGAGACCTTGGGGAGGGATCAAAATACAGCAGTTTTGCTGCAGATTATGAATTATTGAACATGGCTGGCAGTACGTACACATGCCTGGAAGTGAATTAGGGACAGGGCTTGCTCATCTGTGCTGCTTCGATAGCTTACTTGATGATGATTGCTGCAGTTCATTTTGTAGATAGCACACACTGTATATGAAGAATGGTTGCTTAGATAAGGTACTGGAGTGCTGTAATACAAGTGAAGCTGCATCACATGATGAACCTGAAGCTGCTAAAGAGGACGGGTTAGGGGAGGAAATCGAAGAGGGGAATTGCCCAAAAAAAGCCTCCTGTGCCATTCAAGGTTTTCCATTATACACTAATTCAGTAATCTTTAGTTTGTGTAATTATTTTTCATGGATGCAAATGCTTTATGTGGAGTAACTTATTCTTACTGTTAACTCCTATTCTTGTTCTTTTTTTTCGCATCCCTGTCATAAAGTACAGTTTCCAAGATAAGCAGAACAGAGTATTTTTCGGGGTGGGGGGCAACATTGCTTATGAAAGCTTATGTTGTGGGTGTTGTGCAAATAATATAGTTTAAGATTGCCTGTTTGCAGAAGACAGTCATCTCTCTTGTCTTAAAATTTACCCTGGTACTAGAAATTCCTGCGGTTTCAAAGAAGGAGCTAACTTTTTATCAAGGCAACAACAACAAGATTTGATTTATAGAGCGCCTTTCACGTCGGGAGGACGTCCCAAGGCGCTGGACAATTGGGCACTCTCTTTTGGCTTTTTATGTTAATAGATAATACAAATAGAAGAGATGAAAGTGTAAGTGGCTCTCCAGTAACATTTAAAATCTTCAATAATGGACTGCCCAATTATTTTTAAATATATTTGCTTGGAATAATCTGCTTTAAAACTTGATTTGTTTGTTCCTATCTGAGGGAACCCTGAGAACCACAGTTGTACCTCATTTTTAGCATCGATTCAACATGAACTTGCATTCAAATGTTGCTTTTAGGTCCAACTTTTAGCTAGCTCAGTGGTTAGAGCACTGGCCTCACAAGTCATTCCCGACAGGTCAAAACATTGGGAAAGTTTCTTTACTCCACATACCTGATAATAATTCCTCAACGAAAAAATAATAATAAATTGGTCACTTCAATCCACGACTGTTTGTGGGACACTGCTGTGCACAATTGGCTGCCGCATTTTGCCCACAAATATACAGTCAATTCACTTTACAACATATTCTGTAAAGCGCTTTGAGACATCTAGAAGACATGAAAAAGCGCTGTATTAAATGCAAGGATTATTAACTATAGAAATCATAGATGAGTCATACTGGGATCTGTAGTCTTGATAGATTGGTATTAATGCATTTAGAACACATTTTGTCCTATATTTGTATCCAGATTTATTAGTTGAGTACTGTGCTGTTCTAAGAAGTCCTTTATGCAGATATGCCTTTCTTTTCCCAGTGGACAGAAAGAGTGGAAAAGCAAAGAGGGACAACAGAGACCATAAGAGATGCCATAAACAGAAGCGAAAGGACTGGAGGCAGAGATAAGATCCTAAAAACAAGACAGGGACAATAATGGCATAAAAGGACATAAAGAGAACAGCAGAGATCAGAAGGAGTGATTAGACAAACATCGTAAACAGAAGCAGTGAGATTGGAGGCAGAACACAGAAAAATGAGAGCCATTGAAGATTATTACATGCATTACCTAACCAGATTTCAGTGGAAAGATTAATCTAATCCATGATGGCTAGATCACATTCCCAGCCCACTTCTTTGATATGGCAGACTCCTAACTTCCAAACCATCTGTATCAGAATGTTAATATCAAAATCTGCTCAGAGATGTACCTTTGGTGGGGGGAAAAAAGCAAGTTTATTTCTATTTTAAAAAAACTTTTTCTTTTTTAAAAAAAGTTCCCAAATATGTACCACGAACAAATTTATCTTATCAATAAAAAGGCAAGTTAGGAAAGAGCATGGTACTTAACTGGGATTTTAAAAAAAACTCCTTACAAGTCTCGAGACTTCCTCTATTTTTCCATTCCTCATGTGTAGAAAAAGAATTGAGACAGAATTGAAACTTAATTTTCCAGTGCCTGGGAAATACATCCGATAGCTGTATTATGAATGAGATCTGCAGAATGAAGTATGCCACATATTTGAGCTCTCAAACAGTGATAATGAGAGAAAGCTCTCTCTAACATGATGCTTCATTTTTACAAGAGAGAACACTGAGAGTGAATCAAGTCAAATCTAGTGCCACTGCTTGTTGATGACCTGCATGAAATTACTCAGTTATTTTCAGTGCATGTGAACTGCAATAGATTCAGCAGGTGAGATAACCCTGGATCACTTGCATCCTTCATTTGTCTTTCTGCGGTTCAGAGAGGTCTAGCATTAAGGAGCTGTGTTATTCAGCATTGACGTATTTTTAAAAAATACCAAAGGCAATGAGGACAACATCAAAGAGGAGTCGACGAAAGTCCAAATTTCATGACTTTCTACAATCCAGTTTAAATCAAGTGGTTCACATACAATAGCAATAAAGTAGCATTCTGCTGCCTATTTGTGTCAGTTCCTATCATTGTTTAGTAAATTCTACACAAAAAAAGCTAAGCTTGTAAATGCAAAATTGAAAGTGTAAATAACCTAGAACTTAGATTTCAATTTCGGTATGGTACTGGACTTTTTTTAATGCAACCTATGAATCTGACTTTTATCATAATTTAACTCATCTAAGACTCTGGGATAATGTACATTTACTTTGCGTTAGGATGAAAGCAGGAACATATTCTCTGTTGAGTGCAGAGGAGGATAGGCAGCATGCATATATAGTGGAATCCTGTAGCTCAGTGGTTAGAGCATTCGCCTTGCAAGCAAGACACCTGGGTTCAATTTTAGGCAGGGTGAAACCTTGGGCAAGTTTCCTTACTCCACACGCCTAATAATAATCCCTCCAAAACAATAATAAATTGGTCATTTTCAACCTACGACTGTTTGTGGGACACGGCTGTGTCCCAGAGAGCTTGACAGTGGTAGAGCATGTTGCTGAGAGGGGGGTGACTGTAGGCACGGTCGAATAGGAAGGTCTTCCAGCGCGATCTGAAGATAGGGAAGGAAGGGGCAAGGCAAATGGATAGAGAAAGAGTGTTCCCGAGTTTCAGGGCGTAGTGGCTGAAAGTTCGGTCACCGATGGTGGAACGGAGGGCAGAAGGGACACGCAGAAGGCCAGAGCCAGTTGAGTGGAAGCAGTGGGTTAGGGGTAAGTAGGTCGGAGAGGTAGGGAGGTGCCAGGGCATGAATGGATTTGAAAATGAGTGCGAGGATCTAGAAATCAATCTGTTCACCGATGTGGAGCCAGTTGAGCCTGGCTAGAACTGGTGTGATGGGGATACGGAGTTTAGTACGGGTAAGTTTGCGGGATCAGTTTTTTGGATCTTGTGCACGGTGGAGCTGGGGAGACCGGCAAAGAAGGTATTTGAAAAGTCGAGTCAAGAGGTGATGAACGCATGGACAAGTGCAGCAAGCTGTTAATCCCTCGCAACAGTTCATGGGCATGCCTCAGGCAGACTGATGCTCAGATATTCAAACTGATTTACAGGGTGATCAAAAAAGTCGCGATACCATTACAATGTCTAACAAGTCTTAAAAAAAATGATATTTTTGTTTTTTCTTAGATAATAGGGTAGCTATCACGACTTTTTGGTCATCCTGCAGAATGCCCCATTTGACATAGTGAGCATGCACCATGTGCATATCTAGATTTCATTCCTATTGGGCAAGGCGTCATGAAGTGTCATTTCATCTCAGCTGCTTGAGTTATGCATTCGGCATCCATTGACAGTAGAACATTATCAAGACAAAAAATATCTTGAGTCAGTGCAATTAAATTTTATTTTGAAATGCATATGTGTTAGAAAATCTACATGTCCAATAGACATTTAAATGTTCAATCAGAACCAAAATCAACGAACATTGTCTTGGTTCATTCATTATATAACATACAAAAAAATTGACATAGATGTTTGCAAACTCAATGAACTTGCCTTTTGAAAAGTGGCACGATTTGAAGTCCGTGCCTATAATATAATCCTTGCATTTGATATAGTGCCTTATCACGCCATTAGCGTCTCAAAACCTTTCACGGATTTTACTTTAAACTGTAATGACTGTGTATTTATGCAAATATGGTCTAATGAAGTACTCACTTTCCATCAAAATGAAAGTTTAACAGCTCACTTATCCCTTGAGGTTGATAGATTTAATCCTTGGGCGCCTCTTTCATTTCAAACATCCCCTCTGCAACTAGTTGTTCCATTAATCTCAAATTATTTGAAGGTGCACAACTTCCTGTCCAATAATTGTGTTGGTTACATCCAAAAAGGAATAGCTACTGTTGGCCAAGTTCATGTAGGAATGCAGACAAAGGTAAAACCACTTATAGGTTTGCATATTCACAGGAACATGTCAACTCAGGGAATAAGCTCTCCCTGGCACCAATGGCATAATGGTAAACTCTTCGCACATTGTTCCTAAGGAGCTGCCATTGCAATGTGAACAACTCCCACTCCCAGAGCAGTCAAAAGACCCAGTAGGGTGACTGGTACAATCATGTGATCTATTGTATGGAACCCATTCCTCGCAGCTGCTGGAACATGCTATATCCAAAATTTGATATTTTCGAGCTGCTTTCACACTCCATTGACTGATGATACATGTATTGAATGCCTTGTTTCTTCGGATGGTACATCTGTTGAAATGTACAATACATTTATAGGCAATAATGCTTACTTTCTCATATTTACAGGAATTTCTTAAGGCTAATTCTATTTTGCTAGTTGTCTTATTCATGAGTTAGTAATATTAACAATCTCATGTTTATTTAGAGGAACAGGGGCACACTAATACTTTTTATTTCAATAATTAATATGCTGCTATCTGCATGCTGGACTTCATCAGGTTTTTTAAATATTTCGCTGTCTTAAGGATACTGGCTTAAAAGTTTCTTCTAAGTCAAAGCTAAGTATTGAACAAATTAAGTTTAGGGAAGATTACTTTTTCACAACTGGTATCCGACAAATTGCCTTTGTTTTAAACGCACTTCTACACAGCCACTGTAATTCAGCCTGTCAATGTACCTCATTTCCAAGAGCAGCCCAAAGTCTTGTGGTACGTGGATATTGGTGTAGATACAACCTACCTAGTGGAATTGTATCTCATCGAAATCACTGACTTCTAACAACAAAATATAAAATGCCCACTTAGACAGCTAGCAATCAACTACATGTTGAATGGAGCAATTAAGCCTGTGAACACTTTTCACACTTATTTTAAAAGTACCTAAATAAAACCCATAGTTTATGGCGTTTTAACAACACTGTTCACGTTTACACCTCAGATTGGCTGCCTTGCCCTAATCACGATTACACTATGTCGAGCTTCACATGGAGAAAATATCCATGGGATCCTCTTCTGACATTTGAAGTTATCCAGTGTTTAAGGGGCATTGTCACCAGCAATTTTATCATTTGATATCTTCTTTATTTCTCTTCTATAGAGCAAATGAAAGGCTGTCAGAAGCCAATACGAAGCTGCTTAATGAACGCCAGCGTAGTAAATCCTTGATTGCCAGCAGCATTATGAATGGAAGCTTGACAGCGACTCCTGCACTGGACATGGGTCAACTCCAGAGCGCAATGGCTAATATTGGCAATAATATGGGAACATTTAATAGAAACTTTAGCATTGGAGGTAACTTCCCAAGTCCAGTGGTAGATGGAATGTCTTCTACCAACAGAGTGGAGTCTTACTTGACTAAGGTCAGCTATTATAATTTTTTTTCTTGTTCTCTATATTGGAATTTCTTCCTAAAAGCTGTTATTTACCGGCTCAAAGTAAGTTGGTATGTGCCTACTTTGTGTCTTATTTATATCTGTGAGTTTACATTTATGTTTTCAGTAACTTGGCAGAAACTACATCCGTCACTTCTTCAGAAATTAAATCTTGTTCCTTAATTCTTGTTAAACTTCACAACAATTGAAGGTTTTTTTTAAAAAAAGGTTTACATAATGATTTTTTTAAAAAAATCAGTGAAATGATTTTAATTATATTATTTACAACAAACCAAGCATTTGGATGCACTAGATGTGTTGATCTATTTTTCACATTCTTTTGTAACTATGCCATTTACATGTACCTCAGGCACTGGCAGCATCAGCCTCCATGGCTGCACACTCAACCTCACTAAGCCAGTCAGGAACCTGGGTGTCTTGTTTGACCCTGAACTGCCCTTTCTCCCCCATATCCGCGCCATGACCGGCACTGCCTACCACCATCTCCGCAACATTGCCAGACTCCGCCACTGCCTCACCCCTAAGGCTGCCGAAACCCTCACCCATGCATTCGTCACCTCAAGGCTTGATTACGGGAACTCCCTCTTCATCGGCCTTCCCAGCTCTTCCCTTCACAAGCTGCAGATCATCCAAAACTCCGCAGCTCGTGCACTCTCACGGACCAGGCTCCGTGACTCCATCACTCCCACCCTCGCCCGACTCCACTGGCTCCCCATCCCCCAAAGGATCGAGTTCAATATCCTCGTCCTCACCTTTAAGGCCATCCATGGCCTTGCCCCCTTCTATCTCTCTGACCTGCTGACTCCCTACCAACCTGCCCACTCCCTCCGTTCATCAGGCTCCAGCCTGCTCCATGTCTCCCGCCCTACTATGTCTCCCGCCCTACCATCGGTGGCCCGGCTTTCAGCCTGTCTGCCCCCACACTCTGGAACTCCATCCCACGGTCCTGTTGCCTCACTTCCTCCCTTACATCCTTCAAGGCCGGTCTCAAGAACCTTTTCTTCAACCGTGCCTTTGGTCTCCCTCCCACCTCTGCTTTCCCTCACCCCTACACCACCCCTGCCCCATACTTGGGCCCCGACATCTGACTGTTCAGTGCTTTGGGACGTCCTCCCGATGTGAAAGGCGCTCTATAAATGTAATTTTGTTGTTGTATGATCACCTTGATTTGCTACAGATTCCGTCTTAAAGCTTTCAGTACTTGCATGTGTACTTTCAATTGTCTTGATACACTCATGGTCTTAAGGTGGGTCCTTGTCAGCAGGNTTTTTTTGTAAATGTAATTCAGCATTAAAGTAACATTTACTCATCTCGTCTATGTTATATTGAAATATATGATTGGAATGATGGTCACCTTCATTTTCATTTGAAATTATGTGTTTTTTTAACATTTTAATCTTAAACGTCTGATTAGTAAATGTATTGGTTGTATAAACTGATTGTAAACTCACAACCTTAATTTCTTCAAGTGAGATTGGATTTTTTTTGTTTTACAGAAGCTCCTTTTTGAAGAATAAAAAGTAGTTTTCTAGGGCCTAAAAAAAACATACCATCAGAAATGGTGTAACTTAATATATATACACATGCTTCCTTGAATGCTGCACTTACAGTTCACAGTGAAAAGTCAAATAAGCTTTTAAGTTAAACATGTCTTGGAAATCCTAGTGCCAGTTGGAGTCTGGGGAGGGAAGGGCGAGGGGATGTGGGGAAGAGGAGAGGACATAATGTTGAACTTTCGACAACATTTTTGAAAACTACAAAACATTACCTTTGAATCCGTCAGTTTAACTTTCAACTTGATGATTGCTCCTGAATTACGTTAAATTCCTTTCTCCCTTTAAATCTTAACTTGCTTCCACCCAGAATGAGTTTTTTTTAATAAAAAGGATTGACTATCCCGTGCACTCACAGCTCTCGTTTCTCACTCCTCCAGCTCCTCACTCAAAACTCTGTTTCTCACCTATCTTCTGTGCAGCAAGATGCATAACAAGGTCTGTAGTTATGTGTTGGTTTGCTGACCCAAAATCATTGTGGCTGAATTAGGGTCACCTTTGTTCACTGTCTACATCTGTCCAATCTGGTATCTTGGTGGTGGTGTAAGATCTATTCATATCATGAACATCTGCATGTACAAAAGCACATTGTATTTCGCTGTTTCGATGTTAAATCAAAATTGAAGAATAACATTTTGGGGTGAAATTCCTTTTGCCGCTAAGTGTAAAGGCTTTGTGTGTTTATAATGGGATTTTCCTGATATAAAGATAGTGCTAAATACACTACATTAATGGAAAACGAGTTTGATGCCTTTTATGTTTTCCATTGGATGATCCAGGCCATTTTCTTCAAACAGCCCAGGCTGTTTCCAAAAATTCTGCATCTTTTTGGCATTGTATGGTATGTTTCAAGGCAAGTTTGCATGTACTGCCAACCTTCAGTAAATTCATATCAAACTATTTCCAGTTACTAATGATACAGAGATTTTAACACTTGAAGTTTATGTTTAGGAGATTCTGATAAATAGCAGTTGAGTTTGAGATACCAAGCTAATTTTATGTATCACTCTGTCATTTAAGATTTGAGACTTTTTAAAGAAGATTATATGAGATTATGCAAAACATTTGGAAGATTTATGATAACATCTCTTTCACAGCTGTCCTGAATCTTGCAAAGCCTCTTATCTGAAGATATCGAGAAGAAAATAAATCGACATCATTTTTATGTTTGAATCTGCTTCTAACTCGTACAGAATTGAGAAGTCAGGCCATTTTTAAATCTTTTTTTCATTTGCTTTTACATATGCATCAATAATCAAACCTAATACAGTTATATCAGTGATAGGTTGGTAACAGCAGTGAGCTTTGCATCCATTGACAGACTATGAAGGTCGATGTAGGGCTTTGGGGATTTTTCTCTTCCTGTGTGTCCATCAGCATATATCACAGCTTAGAAGCTGCTTATTTATGCCACTTTTTTCCTACCAACTAAAGAAGCATTTTGTTATTCTGAATGCATTTTAAGTGAGATAATATTGCCTTATATGCCACAAAATGGCTTTATACTTAATACTGTTTAATATATTTAATGTCTGCCCTATTTTTGCCCCTCTCCAAATCAAATTGGTGTGACACTATGATGAATTATTGAGTCTATCACTGTCCTGTTGACAGGCTGTGAAGGGGAGAATAGCAGCAGGCGGGTAGCAAGTCACAGAGTTGTATTTGGATCGCGCTGACTGCCAGTACCTGGAAAGTGGCAAAACTGCAAGGATAAAAAAAAATGTGCTTCTCGGCTGCAAATCAGATTGTAAATGTATATTTTGGAATAATTGCATTACATTACTAGATTGTTAATTGTAGAATATTACAGTAACCAAGAATTATACCACCTGCAATGTTCATTAGGGAATACCAATCGCACAAGATTTCAGATTAGAAAAATTATTTTGCCCATTTGATCTCATCCTTCAGAATACCCACCCCACCATGTTTCGTCACAGTATTGAGTTTTTTTTCTCTAAAAATGAGCTCACTGGCCTAGCCTTTCTTGGTAACCTGTTCTAGTTGATAATTACCCTCTTGGTAAAGAAATATTTCTTGGTATCTGTCCTGAAATTGCTTTTGCTAACCTGAACTTGTGTTCTGGGGTATCTGTATTGTAATGTTCATGATTTACATTATCAATCCCAATTAAAGTCTTGTATACCCCTAGATGTCACCCTCCGAGCCATTCCCTCTCAAATTTGAAGAGCGCTAACTTGTCTAATTGTTCATAGGTCATTCCTCTTAAACTGGGATCATCTTCCTATGTACTGCCTCTGGGACTTGGACATCCCCCTTACATAACAGTGACTTGAATGGGATATAGTGCTCTATGTGCAGCCTAACTAGAGCACTGTACAGTTTTGAGTATGATTTATGAGAATCTGAACTCCAGTGAGGCAAGATAGCTCAACATTTTTTTTTCTTTTTGTCTATTGCTGCTTCACACTGTTTTGACATTGTTGAATGATCTTTTTCAGCTTCCCCTTGTGGCAAGTTGTATCCCATTCACGGAGCACTTGCTACTCTTGTATGCAGTGCAGTTGACCATTTTTCAAAGCCCTGCAGCACAAAACAGCATGATTTGCAATAAACCACAATGTCACTTAGGAGTCAGAAGAACAGTTTGAGGTCTTGCATCAGTTGAGTGCTGACACTACCAAGTTCTTTGTTGTAAGCAGTTGGCTAGTGACTAGTATATTTTAGATCCCTGGTTTGGGAAATAGAAACGTATCTGTGATGCAGTAGAGGGTGCTTCTGAGCATGGTGGTGGGGGAGAGTAATGGGAACTTAGATGTACAACTCTGGGTGCGACACATAATGGGTAGAATTGCATAGAATTATATAGCATGGTATGGAAATGGGTCATTTGGCCAAATTTGTCCATGTGTGTGTCCTTACTGTACAACAAGCCACAAGCCCTCTCATTCTAATTTTCTATAGTATTCTATTCCCTTCTCCCTCAGATATGCCATTGACTTAGAATGGGGGAGAATTGTATCACTTTCCCCAGAATTAACATCTGTCATTTTGGCAAATATAAAAAATGCAAACTTATAGCTTTATGAACTCTGAAAAGTTCAGTCTTCTTTCTAATCGTTCTTTTTTTCCCCAAATGTTAAAACCCACCAATGGAACAGTAAGACATCTCAGGTGGTATTTACAAAAAGCTAATGTCAGGATTTCAGTTAGTAGAGCATGAGCAATTGGACAACTGTTGACCAAGTTGATGTGTGAAAAATAAAACTACTGAAGAAAACCAGAAAGTTATCATCCAGCTGAATGATGTTGAAGAAAAGCTTATGGAAAGCGAGCCTCATCTCCTGAAAAGAGATTAACGTGAAGGCATTTTTAAGTGCATTTGATATGTTAGCAACTAATTATGCAACTGACAGATATTCATTGGAATGATCTGTGTGGAAAACTGCCATTTGAATAAGATCTTGTAGCATATGATAAAGAAACTGAATTTTATTTTATTAAGCTTTAACAACTACTGCATCGGTAATACTTTCTATTCTAAATGAATTGCATGAATGGTATTAAGTTTTAATTTGTTTCTTGTCTAATGAGTGTTGTTTTAATTTTTCAAACCGTGTTGTTTGTTTAATGCATTAATACTTTAAATGTTATGATTTCAGATGCAGAATGCATTGGAAAAAAATATTTCCAAAGAACTCCATGAAGGTAAATTGAGGATATGAATTTGGTTTGTTCTGGTGTCTGAACTATTGGTGTATTTTGATCTGCTGTTGTGTTTAACATAATGAATTAATTCTGGAAAACAACTCTTGCTTTTAGGAGAGTTGTTTCTCTTTTATTGTTCAAAAAAGTACATTATAGAAATTTTAGTGTTGAATGTAAAATGTTTAACATGAATGGGATAGAATATGAATTGCAATATAATTGCAACTTGTAGCTGCCAAGATGGTTCCCCCCCCCCCCCCACCCAATATATTTTCTCCTGATGGCACACTTTTTTTTCTACTGAAATTGTGGTTCTTGTACCTTACGACTCTTGTCAGGCTGTTTGACCAAAGGAGCTGAGGTATACAGCTGAGCCTGAATCTGTCCACACATGGCACTTAAACATGGGTCACTGGATAGTAATGAGGTGTAGGAACCCTGACTGATTTATTTTTCTTTCCTTTCTTACCCTTCCTCCTCCAAACACAGGAGGCTAAAGGCCAATTGTATGCCCTCAACACAGACTGAATCTTTCCCATCTGTATGGCTCACCTGCTAACTGGGTAAAGACAGATAAAGAACTACTGGGCAAGCCTAATGCTATTTTTAAAAAAATATATATTTCCCCTTGACAAAGACTACTTGTCGGCTACGTGTGTGGGCAAGGCGCCTTCTTTTTTCTTTTTAGCTCAGCCTCTGAAACCCTTGAACTGCAGATTAGTGAGTACAGCCCAAAGTGCTGTAGTTTGGCTTCATTGATGCGATTTTGCAGTTTTTCTTTTCCCTGAGCATCTAACTAAAATGAACACATTCCTTCAATTTGCCTGATCTGAATTTGCCTGATCCAAAACGGGTGTGAGCGGATGTTTCGTAGTTAAAAATAAGTTTTAGTTGCAGTCAGAATGTTAAGTGAGTGGAAAATAAATGTCCAGAGCACAATTAAGCAGATTTTGGTAATCAACAAAACAGCTGGATTTGACACAATGTTGTAAATTTGCTATACAAACCAGCTAACAGAATTACAAGAAATACGTACATCCAAACAGATTCACTTGGTGCAGTAAAATAGTTTAAAAGTCTAAAATGTGTTTCAGCCACTGCTGATTTGGATGGGATACCAACTCGAGTCTCGCCGCAGGGATCTGCTGCCAGCTCCCTTAAGAGCATCAATCAAGATCAGGACCCAGTCACGAGAGCCACACAACAGTACCTGGAGGTTCTGAAGAAAAACTACATGCTTTGATTTGAAAATTACATGAATGAAAAAAGCATTCTGTGTGCAAAGTGGGTCAAGCAACCAATCTGCCATCCTACCCAATGTGATAATGTTCCAAGTGTATAATCGCTCTATTTAAGATAACATTTCATTATGTGCTTAAACGGAGTAGAATGCGAATTGTCTTGCAGAAATATTGATGGTTTGTACTCTTGATTTTGCATATTGCACTTACTTGCTCAGGAGGAACACTACAGTTTTAATATATAACTTACACCGAATGTGTTATATTTTATTTCTCTAAATGATACTTGATCAAGATCAACTCTTCTTATGGACCACAATTCTTCAGTATGTTACAACTATTTAACAGGGTTTAGGTAACTCCATAATATGAAAATGAATGTATGGAAATACACAACTTACAGTAGAATATGTGGCAGTTCACCACATCTTGTTGTAAAGTTGATTTGTTATGTATTACCTTGGTAAAACTGTCAAATGCAGTAGTTTGTACTATGTTCATTCCATTGTGAGACAGTATTGTACTTCAGTTTATCTTGTAAAATAGTGCCAAGAATTTTTATAGGCTTGTGTTTTGCTACATGCAGTATACAAAGACATTGCACTGTGCAACTGTTTCAAAATTAAATGCTAATGTTTACTTCTCGGAGGAAAAGCACTTCCTGCAGTCATAATCTTTCATTTTTATAGGGAAGTCCAGTTTACTGCAATACACAACAACCAATAAATAGCCAAGAGGACAAATTTGTTTTGTTTTAGAATAAATGCATGGCTCTGCGTAAAATAAATCTTGGAAATGTTCGTAGCATTGATTGTTTCAAAGCATGAGGCAGAATCTGAATATTTTACAATCTTCATAAAGGACATTAAAATGTCTCCATGAGAAGTGGTTTCGCTGTGCTCTTCAGTACGATTTTATTTGCCAAACTTTTGAAGTTGATTTATCTGCTCTCTGTTTAACACCCTCTCCTCTTCACTCCCCCCCCCCCCCCCCCCACCAGTCTGTTCAGCTGGTGTAATTCATAGCCATTCCATTCACTATACAATCAGAGGAAGTAAGGAAAACTGATTACTTTGATCCACTTTGGTTGGAAATATTTCTTAAAATATGGTAAGTTTTTTGCAAAAGTTTTTGCTCATCCCATCTTACCGATATTGCTATTGCTTGGTCTGTTTGATCTCATCTATGCAGAATACTCTCCCCATTGTCCTATCACACAAGTAAACTGAAGATTGAACAGTTCCTTCTTGAACCTAATTATCTTCATGTTAGAACTGTTTCTTGTGTTGTTGTGCATGGATCTCATCTACAAGTTGAAGAGTAATTGTAAAGGTCAAGATAATTGTACAAGAAAGACAAGACAATTAGCAAAGGGAATAATGCTTTGGGTTTCTCAAAAAAAATTGCATTTGACAAGTTCAGCAACAACAATTTGCACTTGTACAGCATGTGTGGCCTGTTGAGGGAACAACTTCAGGTGCTTTATGAAAATTGAGCAGGAGCCCAGCTGGCATAGAGTCAGAGGTTGAAAGGGATAAATTGACATGAGGGCTGGGGGATTTTCCCATTTTAGTCAGTTACTATACCTCATGCCCAGAAGAAATATTTCAACATTTGTTAACATAAGGGGGCAAATAAGTATGAAGAATAATATTTTTAATGCAAACATCACATCAGGAAGCTATTGGCATACTGGTGTGAATGCGATTGAACCTGGTAGCCTTAATTGAAGACAAGTAGCCTTAATATAGGCATAACACATTCATCCATAAACTCACTAACAAAACAGATTGAGCCATTGCTCTTCATACACAAGGAGCTTGCCTTCCATTCCATCTTGGAGTTACCAAGTAGGGTATTTCTTAATTCAAAGTTAACCATTCAGAGGATGAGTTACACCAGCTGTCCCCACAAAGATTGCACAATCATCAACTTCATTTACAAGTTTGGAGACTCCCGCTTGGCGTGACTCTTCTAGAAGTCCTAGGACTAAGATGGAATTAATTTTTGAATCTTACTTTGTTTTATGGATTTACTTGAGTCCAAACGCTGGAAATTTTAAGATAGTCCAGTAAAATCAGAAAGCTGTTTCCCACTTCCCACGTAATTTAATACCAGTGACTCCAATCAATATATATTGAATCAAAACACCTCTACGTAGTGAACGGATGAAGGAATTTTATGATCTGATGACATAATAAAGGTTAACCAAATTTGTCTTATGAAATCCACATTTACATAAAATAATAATAATACTTGCATTTGATATAGCACCTTATCAGGTCTTCGAGATGTCTCAAAGTGCTTCAGGGAATATACTGTAAAGTTAATGGACTATTTTGTGGGCGAAATGCAGCAGCCAATTGAGCACAGAAGTGTCCAACAAACAGTCGTGGATTGAGTGACCAATTTTTTATTTTTTTGAAGGAATTACTACCCCCCCCCGGAAAAGCGATCCATCAATCGACTACCTACTTACTGCTAGGTAAACAGAAGCACATGAGTAAGGAAACATGCCCAATGTTTCGCCCTATCGGGAATCGAACCCAGATCTCTTGCTTGCGAGGCAGGTGCTCTAACCACTAAGCTACAGACCATCCTTTAATGGACCTGCAAAAGACAACCCATTCTTTTATAACAAGAACAAGATTACATTTGTATAGTGCCTTTCACATCGGGAGGATGTCCCAAGGCACTGGACAGTGTGCAGCATTTCAGACCCGAGCTGGGGTCGGGGAGAAGGGAGGGGAAGGGGGGTGACCAATGGCATGGTCGAAGAGGAGGGTCTTGAGGCAGGACTTGAAGGAGGCTAAGAAGGGGACTTGGGGGATGGAATTCCAGAGGTTGGGGGCAGAGTGGCTGAAGGCTCTCCCGCCAATGGTGGGGTGGGTGGATCAGGTCAGGGGGACGTGGAGCAGGTCATAGCCGGCTGAGCGGAGGGAGTGGGTGGATTGGTAGGGGGTTAGGAGGTCACAGAGATAGGGTGGGGCAAGACCACCGACGGCTTTGTAGGTGAGGACCAGGATTTTGAACTGGATCTTCTGAAGGATAGGGAGCCAATGGAGTCGGGCGAGAATGGGGGACATACAAAAACCTAAGTTTTCAGTGTGACGTGCAAGTTAGTTATAGAAAACAAACAGGTTTGATCTGAGTCCTTTTGGGCAAAGAGGCATTAAAGCAGAAAGGCTGCAGTGTCTTCCAGCAGAAAAGTGCAGAATCACGAATGCAGGTAAGTGGTTCTGTGCCTTCCTGGTGGTTAGATCCCGGTGCATTGAGAATACCCCGGGGGCCAGACAACCTGCTCGTCTGTTATCGTCTGGTTACAGAGACTGTTTGTATAGTTTGGTTACAGTGAGTGCCTGTATAATCTGGTTACAGTCGGTGTATAATCTGGTTACAGTCGGTGTATAATCTGGTTACAGTCGGTGTATAATCCGGTTACAGTCGGTGTGTAATCAGGTTACAGTCGGTGTATAATCCGGTTACAGTCGGTGTGTAATCAGGTTACAGTCGGTGTGTAATCAGGTCACAGTCGGGGTGTGATCAGGTTACAGTCGGTGTGTGATCAGGTTACAGTCGGCGTGTGATCGGGTTACAGTCGGCGTGTGATCGGGTTACAGTCGGCGTGTGATCGGGTTACAGTCGGCGTGTGATCGGGTTACAGTCGGCGTGTGATCGGGTTACAGTCGGCGTGTGATCGGGTTACAGTCGGCGTGTGATCGGGTTACAGTCGGCGTGTGATCGGGTTACAGTCGGTGTGTGATCCGGTTACAGTCGTTGTGTGATCGGGTTACAGTCGGGGTGTGATCGGGTTACAGTCGGCGTGTGATCGGGTTAGTCGGTGTGTGATCGGGTTACAGTCGGTGTGTGATCCGGTTACAGTCGGCGTGTGATCCGGTTACAGTCGGCGTGTGATCGGGTTACAGTCGGCGTGTGATCGGGTTACAGTCGGTGTGTGATCCGGTTACAGTCGGTGTCTGATCGGGTTACAGTTGGTGTCTGATCCGGTTACAGTCGGTGTCTGATCCGGTTACAGTCGGCGTGTGATCCGGTTACAGTCGGTGTGTGATCCGGTTACAGTCGGTGTGTGATCGGGTTACAGTCGGTGTCTGATCGGGTTACAGTCGGTGTCTGATCCGGTTACAGTCGGTGTGTGATCGGGTTACAGTCGGCGTGTGATCCGGTTACAGTCGGTGTCTGATCGGGTTACAGTCGGTGTCTGATCCGGTTACAGTCGGTGTGTGATCGGGTTACAGTCGGTGTGTGATCCGGTTACAGTCGGTGTGTGATCCGGTTACAGTCGGTGTGTGATCCGGTTACAGTCGGTGTGTGATCCGGTTACAGTCGGTGTGTGATCCGGTTACAGTCGGTGTGTGATCCGGTTACAGTCGGTGTGTGATCCGGTTACAGTCGGTGTGTGATCCGGTTACAGTCGGTGTGTGATCGGGTTACAGTCGGTGTGTGATCGGGTTACAGTCGGCGTGTGATCGGGTTACAGTCGGCGTGTGATCGGGTTACAGTCGGCGTGTGATCGGGTTACAGTCGGCGTGTGATCCGGTTACAGTCGGTGTGTGATCGGGTTACAGTCGGTGTGTGATCCGGTTACAGTCGGTGTGTGATCGGGTTACAGTCGGTGTGTGATCGGGTTACAGTCGGTGTGTGATCCGGTTACAGTCGGTGTGTGATCCGGTTACAGTCGGTGTGTGATCGGGTTACAGTCGGTGTGTGATCCGGTTACAGTCGGTGTGTGATCCGGTTACAGTCGGTGTGTGATCGGGTTACAGTCGGTGTGTGATCGGGTTACAGTCGGTGTGTGATCGGGTTACAGTCGGTGTGTGATCGGGTTACAGTCGGTGTGTGATCCGGTTACAGTCGGTGTGTGATCCGGTTACAGTCGGTGTGTGATCCGGTTACAGTCGGTGTGTGATCCGGTTACAGTCGGTGTGTGATCCGGTTACAGTCGGTGTGTGATCCGGTTACAGTCGGTGTGTGATCGGGTTACAGTCGGCGTGTGATCGGGTTACAGTCGGCGTGTGATCGGGTTACAGTCGGTGTGTGATCGGTTACAGTCGGTGTGTGATCGGGTTACAGTCGGTGTGTGATCCGGTTACAGTCGGTGTGTGATCGGGTTACAGTCGGTGTGTGATCCGGTTACAGTCGGTGTGTGATCCGGTTACAGTTGGTGTGTGATCGGGTTACAGTCGGTGTGTGATCGGGTTACAGTCGGTGTGTGATCCGGTTACAGTCGGTGTGTGATCGGGTTACAGTCGGTGTGTGATCGGGTTACAGTCGGTGTGTGATCGGGTTACAGTCGGTGTGTGATCGGGTTACAGTCGGTGTGTGATCGGGTTACAGTCGGTGTGTGATCCGGTTACAGTCGGTGTGTGATCCGGTTACAGTCGGTGTGTGATCCGGTTACAGTCGGTGTGTGATCCGGTTACAGTCGGTGTGTGATCGGGTTACAGTCGGCGTGTGATCGGGTTACAGTCGGCGTGTGATCGGGTTACAGTCGGTGTGTGATCCGGTTACAGTCGGTGTGTGATCGGGTTACAGTCGGTGTGTGATCCGGTTACAGTCGGTGTGTGATCGGGTTACAGTCGGTGTGTGATCGGGTTACAGTCGGTGTGTGATCGGGTTACAGTCGGTGTGTGATCCGGTTACAGTCGGTGTGTGATCCGGTTACAGTCGGTGTGTGATCGGGTTACAGTCGGTGTGTGATCGGGTTACAGTCGGCGTGTGATCGGGTTACAGTCGTGTGATCGGGTTACAGTCGGCGTGTGATCGGGTTACAGTCGGCGTGTGATCGGGTTACAGTCGGCGTGTGATCGGGTTACAGTCGGCGTGTGATCGGGTTACAGTCGGTGTGTGATCGGGTTACAGTCGGTGTGTGATCGGGTTACAGTCGGTGTGTGATCGGGTACAGCGGTGTGTGTTACAGTCGGTGTGTGATCGGGTTACAGTCGGTGTGTGATCGGGTTACAGTCGGGGTGTGATCGGGTTACAGTCGGGGTGTGATCGGGTTACAGTCGGGGTGTAATGTCGATGGTTATCCTGAGCCAATGGGCAGCATCGACAGCTGATCAGCACTCGACTGTCCGCCAGCTCTGCCTGTGCCGGTGGGCGGTTCCGCTTCGCTCGGTTGCTCGGCGCTCGGCTGGCTTGGCCTGGCCGGGCCGGGCCGGGCGGGTGCGCAGGCGCAGTGCGGTGCGGCGCGGAGGGTCGGCAGCCATGACATCGGCGCTCGAGACTTACATCAACCGTATCCTCAGCGCATCAGCGGCGGCGCCGTGTAACTGAAGGGCGAGAGAGAGAGAGAGAGACAGAGCCACAGCGTGTGGTGTGTGCACTGTGATGGTCGCTGTGTGTGTGTGTGTGTGTGGTGGTGGTGGTGTGTGTGGGGCTCACGGGCCTCACACCAGACACCGACCCTCGGCTCCCGACAGTCAATCAACTCGTTCCCTCCACGCGGTGCAGTGTCCGGAGCTCGTGTCCTCTCCCGCATTCAACTCCCGATCACTCCCTCCTCCATCCTATAACCCCGCGGGGCTTCACTGGCTCCACATCTCCCCCCTCCTCCCCTCCCCCCCCTCCCCCCCCCCTCCCCTCCCCCTCCCCTCCCCCCCCTCCTCCCCTCCCCCCCCCCTCCTCCCCTCCCCCCTCCCCTCCCCCCCCCCCACCTCCCCTCCCCCCTCCCCCCCCTCAGCCACCCAGAGGATCGAGTTCAACATCCCCCCATCCTCCGGCTCACCCCGAAACAGTCTCGCTCCTCCTCCCCACCTCTGCCACTTAGTAAAACTTGCACCAACCCTCCGCTTCCTCTGCTCGGCCCCACGTCCCTGCCCTGCCCTGCCCAGCCCTGCCCTGCCCAGCCCTGCCCTGCCCAGCCCTGCCCAGCCCAGCCCAGCCCTGCCCTGCCCTGCCCAGCCCTGCCCTGCCCAGCCCTGCCCAGCCCTGCCCTGCCCTGCCCTGCCCTGCCCTGCTCTGCCCTGCCCAGCCCTGCCCTGCCCGGCCCACGCCATCGCCGGCGGTCCGGCCTTCATCCTTTATTCCCTCACCCTCTGGAACTCCAGCCCCTCCGCCTCCGCCTCGCCCGCCTCCCCACCGCTCGCTTTCTTCATGGCCCTTCTGTAAAAGGTGTCTTCGATCATCTTCCCTGCCCCATGCTCCTTGCCCCCCCCCCCACCCCTGTCGGGTGCAAACCTCAGCTCGGGTGCAAACCCTCAACCGTACAGCGCCTTGAGACGTCCTCCTGTCGCAGGAGGCGCAATGTAAATGCAGCTTCTTGTTTAGGCTGGAGGGCAGCGCTGCAGCCGTTCTGCTCTGTCGCAGTTGCCGGGCTTCAGATCAGACATTAAACCAAGCTCCCCGATTTCCTGTTTCGGGCGGGCATTTAAAAGATCCCACAGCGCAGCTTGATAAAGCGAAAGGGGTTATCTCTCTATCTCCCAGTGTCCCCCAAATAAAATCAGTCACGCGCTCTTACGTTAATAAATGTGATCCTTGCATTTGGTATAGCGCCTTTCTATATCAGGAGAGTTATTCAAAGCGCTTCCCAGGTTTTACTGTTTTACCAATTTTGCTCACGGCAAAGTCCCATGGAGCGAGCAACTGATTTTTATTTGGGGAACTGTTAGTCAGGGCACCAGGGGAAACTCTCTTTTTCTGAATAGTGCTGTGGGATCTTTAACATCCACCTGAACAGGTAGATGGGACCTCTGTTTGATGTATCATCTGAAGCACGGCACTTCCCACCTGCAGTGCTCCTCCAGCACTATGATGGAGTGTCATAAGAGACCATGTAAGTTTAACGTCCCAGTATAGGTTCCGAACCCAATCCAATCTTGAGTGCTACCAAGTAAGCCAACTTGACCTAACTTCATGGCTTTGTGCAAATTGTCAGCCCCGTTCGCCAACAGATACAGTCACTATGCTTTGCAGTAAATTCCGTGAAGAGCTTTGAGGTGTCCTTCTGACATCCCGTGAAAGGCACAGTATCAAATGCAAGGAATCTTATAATTGTAATATATTGTGTGAGAGAGGAACTAGGTTTCTACTTCAGCCGAATCCTGATATTGTTATTAATATAATAATATAATTGCTATTCTCGTGTTTCTGATAGATCAGTGTTTGATGCAAGACCTGTTTTGTATGTCTTTTGGGGAATGATAGTGAAATTCTTCAATAAATTGAATAATGAATCCCAACGGAGTAAATGCAGCTGTAATGATGGTATGTGGCATTTCCAGTGCAGGAAGCATCTCGGGCTATACGTATGCAGCAACTTTTCCAGTCCTTTTCTCCTTTTGAAATATTCTATTTCTTTTTGTGGTGCTTGGTTTTGCAAGATTAAAGCTAAGTTATGGCAGTTATTTGTAAAATATTAGTAGGTGCTTTGTAATGTTCAGCAAGCTAGTCCTTGACTAAGTCTCCAGGTACTGTTGCAGTGGTCACAGCAGATGGAAGAATGATTGTGGTAAGTGAATCTTCACATCTTCATATGTTACTGACGGGATACAGTCAGTCTTATAAACAAAGGTTTTAAAAACAAAACTAGGTTTGTTCTAGTTTCCCCTGAGCTAGGGAAAGGAAACATCTGCTCCTGACTACTTATCCAGTGAGCTTGCTGGAAAATTCAGGACATTGGGTGAAAACAGCATTGCGGTTTGCCTGTGGTTATTGCTCATTGCCTGGGCACTGATGAACAATGGCTGCTTGGATAAGGCACTGGAGGATGTTTGTGAAACTGTCTCAGTGGAAGAAAGAAGGTATTCAATTTATATATTATTGGATTTTGGTACTATTCAGACATTTTGAGTTCAAGCCACAATCAAAACTTAAAACTCATATAGTCTCTCTGACACTTCAACATGTTGCTGGGGGTGTGCTGCATTGTCACAGGTGCTGTTTTCCGGATGAGACATTAGATGAACCGTAAAGATTCCCATTCGAAAGGAGAATGGCGTTTCTTCCTGATGTCCTGCCCAACAATCCCCAGATAAAATTTGTGCCTGTTTGGGTGCAAATTGGCTGCCACATTTGCCCACAACATATATAATACTTCATTTTACAGTAATTCATTTTACAGGTGCTACATCAAATGTAAAGATTATTAATAATTATAAGGAATTGATATGTTAGAAGGTTCTTGATATTTAGAAATAATCTATATAACTTGTGGAATCTTATTGCTAGTCCTCAGTTTCTAAAAGTATTTAAGCAAGTTTTTTTCTTAAATGCATTTTAAAGAATCAATGAGCATCAACACAAGCATTATTTGCCTTTACTTGAAACAGTAAACTCTGATGGATTGACTGAATTATTCAGAACGGCTGTTGGAAATTCAGTTCTTTTAATCAAGGGAGGCATAAGACCAGAGAGGATTTGGCATCAGTGATTTAGCTCCCTCATACTGTCAGGTGCAATAACCTTTCCAATCCACTATTCTTAATGACTTTTTTCATAAGAATTAACAAAACTGAGTGTGAATGACTCATGTATTTTTAGTTATTTTGATCGTGGATTGATTGACTTGATGTTAAATGTTGCAACAGAATGGGGTTTGAAAAGTTGCACATAATTTCATACGTACCATGTTAAGCTAGTAGAGGATCTATAGGTATCAATATAATCATCTGTCCTTACTATCCTATTGTAAATACTGCCAGGGTATTTGATTGGGAACTACTGTAGTTGACCTGTGACCTCTTTAAACTGTATTGACCTTTGATTCAATAAAATAAAGTTCAATATATTATCCTTGGGTAAGTTCATGTTCTGTGAATAAACACATTAATGATGTTGCTAAACAACTAGTATATAAACCTTGTGCTAAATAACTAATATAAAAACCATGTGCTTCTTATGCACTGTACAGTTCTGGGATAGTCTGAAGTCCTCTTAAGGGAGTGCAAGAAATTATTTTACTCTCTGGATTTGTGAGGGAATTGATCACTTAAATAAGTTATGCTTTGTAAACTGTTCTTTTTTGTTTACGTCAAAAGTTGACTACTTTTGATCATTCCCAGCAACTAATTTTGGTTTGTGGACTAAGAGCTGTTGACATTGTTGTTCAGTGATTGGATAATAGGCAGTTAGTGCACTTCAACAAACTAGGATTGGTCTTCACACACACACACACACACCCCGTTGCATCTCAGAGTCTGGCAAGTAACTGGGCAAACTCATTCTGTGGGTGGTCTTTCATTCATATGATGATAATAATAATAATAATACTTACATTTGATATAGCGCCCTCTCACGTTTTTGAGACATCTCAACAACAACAAGATTACATTTGCATGCTGCCTTTCATGTCGGGAGGACATCCCAAGGTGCTGGACACACACAAACACACTCACTCATACACACACACGTACTCTCACACAAGCACACACTCTAACACGCACACACTCACACGCGCACTCACAAAGGATGAGATGGGATGTGACTTCAATTTACTGGGACAGGGAAGGAAGATTGTGTTCTGGAGGGCTGTATAACTGTTAGTACTGCTTAGCTGCTCCTCTTCGTGCAGCAATACTAACTTGGATTACTTTCTTAATTGACAATTATGTTGTCAATTTAGGATACACTAAAATACTGTAGTTAGCTCAAAAATATAGAATCCTGCAGAAGATGTGAATGACTGCTGAGCTTCCTGTGAGTCAGGTCAACCATAAAAACTCCAAATGGTCTTAGTCATTGCATTCATACATAAAAATACAGTATATATACAAACTTAACTCTTTTTTATTTGTTTCCAAAGGGAACCCTGAAGGGATTTGACCAGACTATCAACCTAATCCTAGATGAAAGTCATGAGCGCGTATTTAGTTCACAACAAGGTGTGGAGCAAGTTGTACTGGGCTTGTACATAGTGAGAGGAGACAATGTGTAAGTTAACCCGCTGAAAGTTTCACCAATGATCTATTCTGTTGTTAAATCGAGGTCCTGTCTACCTGTTCAGGTGGACATTGAATATCCCTTGGCACTATATGAAGAGAGAAGAGAGTATTCTCCTGGTGTCCTGGCCAACATTCCTCCAAATAAAATTAATCCTTCACATCATGGGATGTTGCTGTATGCAAATTGGTTGCCACTTTCGGCAACAAGATACACTGACCCTTACACATCACAGTAAATCCTGTGAAGGCGCTTTGAGACATCTCAATGACGTGATAAGGCCCAATTTCAAATCCAAGCATAATTATTGAATTGGTAACAGTGCCATTAGCACCAATATTAAGATTCAATGTAATCACTGTTGATCTTTCTTGTATTCCAGGGCAGTGATAGGTGAAATAGATGAAGAAACGGATTCAGCTCTGGATTTGGGAAACATCCGAGCTGAGCCTTTAAATTCTGTGGTTCACTGAAAGTGGTGCAAGCCATTTGGACTTTGTGAATGCATTGCTGCCATTGCATGTGGAGAGAATGGAAGGTGGATGCTATCACAATCCTGAACAACTATGGACGCAGTCTGCTGTCTGCAGAGTGGACAATTCAGTTGCTGTCTGAATTTTTTTATGTTTTGTAGTTTTGAATATTTACAATAATATTTCCTAGACTTGGTTGTATCAAGTTCTTTCAAAGTTCTTTGTCATTGACTACAATGAAAATAAATTGAATATGGTCATTTCAAACCAAACTCAGTGAATTGTACACACAAAAGGGTAATTGCTTTCATTTATCGCTCCCTCCCTCTCTCTCTTTCTCTCTTCCCTTCCTTCTGAAAGATTAAATTGACTTAAAATGATTCAATCGAAAGATTTTAACAAAAGGCAAATAGATTTGTTCTCATTAAAATAATTCATTTTCTACGTCTAAGGAAAATAGAATTTGGAATGAATGCGTTAAATGTAATCTCTTGCACAGATCAGAATAGTTTTCCATGCCTCTCAATATATTACTGTGAAAAAATGGACCCTCACTGTTCTGACATTCAGACGTACAAAAGCCATCTCAGAATTCTAATCATTCCATGGATTTTAGAGTGTAACATAGAATATTTTACTAGTTACTTTACAGTATTGTCTTCTGTTTCAAGTAAACTGAATGTACTTTCTAAATGCTGTGTTGTAACTGAGACATCTTGTGCTCGGTTCTATATTTTATGTTGACAAGTTATAATGGGGAAAAAGAAGTGGGTTTTTCTTAATGGATTCTTTCAGATTAAAAAAAACCTTAAGACTGCATTCAGGAAAGAGTAAAGATTTGCAGTTGTTTAAAGATGTAAGTTATATTGTTCACTTTTATCTATTATTGTTAATATCATTCTGATTTATTGTTATTATGGCCAGTTCTCTCTGTTCTTTTATTTCAACATCCTGTTGTAATAATGTGATGTACCGTGAAATGACTTTAATCCTTATCCTGCTGCATAAACATATTCCCATAGGATTTGTATAACTTGCAATGGACTACTTTTAATGGTTTGCTGGTCACGCCAGTACTCTTATTTTAAACTCAATATCTGAAATCATGGCTGATGATTTTCTTGAAAATAGTTAATAATTATGTGGATAGTGAGTTCAGGACATTTTTAATTAATTTTCAGAATCCCTTGGCAAAAAAAATATATTTTCTGTTAACACAAACAGTGGACTTCAGTTTACGGTTTAGGCTGACACTACAATACAGTGCTAGGGGTGAGCTGCATTTTCATAGACGTCGTCCTTCGGATGAATTGTTAAAACTAAAGTCCTGTCTGCCTGTTCAGATGGACATTAAAGATGCCATGCCACTATTGGAAAAGAGAAGGGAGTTTGTTCCAATGCCCTGGCCAACAATCCCCCAGATACAAATTGGTCACTCACTTCATGGCTGTTTGTGGGACATTGCTGTGCGTAAATAGGTCGCAATATTTGTCTACAAATACAGTCACTACACTTTACAGTGTATCTTTTGAAGCGCTTTGAAACATTTCATGATGTTATAAGGCTCCAAATCAGATGCAAGGATTAACCATCCTGTCCCACTTACAGTTCCATTTCTATGCCCCTTTGAATGGGAACCTCACAGCGCTGTTTTAGTATTTTGGAACTGTAGCCAGGTTTACCCAATTACTTTAAATCATTGTAACAACACTGCACCATAAAATTGAAAAAGTTAAAAGGTAACCATTTGGAATAGGGCTGCAGTTACTTATTAGGTACCTTTTGAAAACAAATCTATTGTTATAATATTATTAGCCTATAAAGGTACTGTTTGTTCTATGGTGATGATAGCATTGTATTCCACATATGTTAGATACGATGCAAACAATGTATCTAAAATAGAATTGTGCTCAGTTCTAAAGAAGAAATAAAAGAAAAACACAATGTTTGAAATACACATTAGATCAACTGGGAACTGAAAGAGAAGTCATACCTAAAGTATGACTATGACTACTTTAGGTATGGCCTATTTTTCTCTTTAAAATGCATATTAAACCACTGGAATGCAGAAACTCTTTATTGGTTCCATAAATCAGTATCTATTCCCCTACAAAATACCCAGTCACTGCACTTGATACATCTTTCCAACGTGAAATGCGCTGTATGAAGTGCAAAGATTATTATCTTTACTATCTATTGATGAAAAATCTTCTTGAAGCTCGCTCACCACTGAAAATGAACATGTGGTGTGCTATCATTAACAGCTTTTAACTATTCAAAACTATCCTTGCTGTGTGTAGATTGCGTCCTGCCCTACTTATGTCAGAGCAGGAATTCATTCGAATTATAGATGCTGAATGTCTTGGTGGTTCTGCTGCACTAAAACCAGAGTTTGTGCTTTGCAATTCAAATATTAGTTATCACTTCTTATGGATCAGTGACCTTCAACAAGATAGTTTTTGAATGCAAAGAATTCAGCATTTCCAAGGAAAGCATTCTCAATTTGGATTGACAAATTGGTATTGTAACAGAATTAGTATGGTAATCTTAGCCTCTTCTGCAAGAAAAATCCCTGCAGATTTAAGAGCTCTGCATCAAACAAAATTTGAAAGAGCCTTGTTAAAAAAAATCTTTACCAAGTTGTCAACTTGGTACCAGATGGCTGGCTGCTGTTATGTTGATAAAGATGAAGGGCTGGCATTAACTTAGGCCTCCTGCTGGACAGTCTATTGGTTTATTGGTTGGGATCCTGGCTTTTCAACTCAATGAGTGAAGGTTTGTCTCAGCGCTGTCTGTCTACTGGATTCATCTGCCAGAGCTGGGATGAGTCTTGTCAGCGCCTGTCCAGATTTCTGGACATCGTGCTTAATGACAGTAAAGTATTCCACCTCAGAGGAGCTCCTGACATTTTTATTAAGCTTATCACAATGGACACATGGCCTGTCAGGTGACTGTGGAAACTTATTGGGAATGTTTGCAAAGATTTTTTTTCTCCAGACGTTCCTAACCAAAGGTAACTGTAGAGTTGTTGAGCAGAAATTATCTTGGGTATAAACTTGAAAATTGACTGAATTGGAGAGGGAATTTTTTTTAAAAAAGATGCTTCTTTCTTGCCTTTTGCCTGCAAATACACAGTCACTACACATTATTGTAGAAGTAAATCCAATGAAGCAATTTGAGACTTTGACGTGGTAGAGTGCTATGTTAAATGCAAGGATTAATATTTTATAAGATAATCTGATTGAAAAGATAGTAAATTCAATAACTAAATAAAAATAGGGAAGATAGAGGGTAGAGGTAGGGAGTTTGAAAAGGTGGGGAATAGTTTCTGAAACCATTAAAAATGTTAAAGGATACCATATCTAAATGGATGTGAGCCTTCCACAAGGTTCATGGTCATAATGATGGGAAACTTTAGCAAGATCGTTTAGAAAATAACTTAGAGGTGAGTCAATAGAAAAGGAAAAGAGCACAGCTGTCAATCTTAATTTAACCAGAAAATTTATCGAAGCTTTGCATTTAAATATCCAAATTAAGATGTCAGATAAAATCGCAACAATGCTTCTTATTTACAACATTGTAATAGTCTGAAAGGAATAGTATTTAATCACTATAAATTGTGAAGAAATATTTGAAAAGGGGAAGGCATGAAAGGGTAAGGAAAAGTGCAGGGGAGGAGGACTCGATGGATAACTCTTAGGAAGACCAGCACATGTTTATTGGGTTCAAATGGTTTCCTCCTTTCCTGTGAAGTTCTTTGATTTCCAGTGATTTTGAAAGAACTCCTTGGCCCAGTTCTCAACCATTATCAATCAGGTTTTATTGGACTGACTGAGCGTCTCGTGGGGTGGGAAGTAGATTTGCATCAGTAGTAATGCAAGCTGATCTTCTCACTGCTTGTGCAGATGGTTGCATTATCGGGTGACGTTTTCCACTGTGGGAGCAGACAAAAAGACCACACCAGAGGCACAGACTTTACTCATCCTCTTCTAAATTCAGATCTGCCAGAACAATAGGTTTTGCTAAATTTGGTTCATATTAATTATTAGTAAAAGTGTAAATTCAGCTCATAGCTTTAAAGCTTCACACAAAAACAATTGAATGTGCTAACTAGATGGAATTTGAAAAATAAGGAAGATTGAAAGGGATCTGTACTATTCCTGGAATCCCAAGAGCTGAGAAAAGGGAAAGAGTTTCTTCAGTGAGATAGAAATGTAGCAATGAATGCTAAAGAGCCACAAATGGCAATGATCTTACAAGCTAGTTGGCAGACGGGTGCACAGGAACCTGACTTATGATCCTTCTGACAACATCAGAGCTCAAGACACCTCACTGAGCTCTGTAAGTCACTACAATTTTAGCATCTCAGACAGTTTGAAGGGCAGAGGCCATACCACAACTGCAAAGCTCGGATACAAAGACAGCAGAGTTCAAGTGTAATATAGAATGAAGGCTGAAGCTGTCAAACATTCAGTCTTGGTAATCGCATAACCACATTTTCCAAGAAATCTTCTGTTTGATCAGAATTATACCTGGATTAGGATTTCTATACATAGTGTATATATAAAGACTGTTTTGGAATACGCATACATTTGAAAATGGTTAACCATCAATTCTGCTACTTAATATGCACCACATAACTATTGTTACAAATAGTAAATGTTTTTGAGATGTTAACTGTGTGAAAGATAATATTGCTACATTGTTTTACCTTTATTAAACAACTGTGGGCAATATTTACTTTGCTGAGCCTTAATATGAAAATGGGAGAGTGCAATTTTAAGGTAATTAATAATGAGCATTAATTGTATGTTATTCCAAGTTAGCAAAACATTATAAATTGTTGAAGATGTTTAATAATCTACTTCTTTGATTAGTGGATCCTTGAAAGTGAATCCACAATTAACACAGCAACTGGACTGTGCATATCAAGATCAGTTTTAAGATATTCTTTTTCTCTTGTGGAAAGCCTTTACATGAAAGAATGGTATTGAAAATCAATTGCGGTTCTGTAATGCCACAAAAAAAATCAGTGGGAACTCACAACAGCAGTATAACCAACACATAATAAAAAGGACTTAGGTCAATGTTGTCTAAAATATTAGGAATTTGTAATAAGATGCATATCTATCTAATGTGTCTAAACAAACAATATATACTGCATGCAGAACAAGCCACATAAACAACAACAACAAATGACATTTGTATAGTGCCTTTCTTATAAAGACAAAATAGGAACATAAGGAACATAGGAATATAGGAACATAAGGAACATAGGAGGAGACCATTCCTCCTCCTGGATATGCACAGTCCAGTTGCTGTGCTAATTGTGGATTCACTTTCAAGGATCCACTGATCAAAGAAGTAGATTATTAAACACCTTCAACAATTTATAGTGTTTTAAGAGCCTCTTGAGCCTGTTCCGCCGTCCTATACGATCATAGCTGATCTGTACCTCAAGTCCAATTACCCACCCTGGCACCGTACCCCTTGATACCCTTTACCAAACGAATATCTACCCCCCCCCCGTCTTGAAAATGTGAATGCATTGAGCAGCCACAGCCTTTTCTTTTTTTCCGCGGGAGGGAGGTGGGGAGTGAGTTCCAGATTTCCAATGCCCCTCTGGGGTGGAAAAAAAACTGCCTCCTGATTTCACTCCTACAGGAGGTGGGGAGGGGGTGTGGGGGGGGAGGGGGTGGGGGGGGTTAGCTGTCAGTGGGAGATGATGCCCAACCCCTTCCCACCACCGCCAGAGGCAACAGTGTCTCCTGTGCCACAGTGGGACCGACCCACAGCTGATTAGACAATTCTGCTGGAGATGCTCTCAGTGAGTCAGTGAGTCAGTGGTGCTCACGAGCCCCTACTGCCCACTCACTGCCCAGTCATGCACTGACTGGCAGCAGCTGCTGGCAGTGCAGGGCAGGGGAGGGCAGGGCAGGGGAAGGCAGGGCAGGGGAAGGCAGGGGAGGGCAGTGCAGGGCAGGGCAGGGCAGGGGAAGGCAGGGGAGGGCAGTGCAGGGCAGGGCAGGGGAGGGCAGTGCTGCTCACAGCCCCCTCTCTTGGCTGCACAGTGTGGTGCTCCCCTCCCTCCCTCTCTCTCTCTCTCCCCTCTCCCCCCTCCCTCTCTGGTCAGGTTTTCCTGCTCTTCTCATTCGGATACCGGTCGCCTTTGGTCACAAGAGAGAGAGAGAGACAGAGAGAGAGAGAGAGAAAACAAAAATGGCGACGGAGAGCGAGAGGCGGCGGGAGCCGGGGAGCGGGGACCCCCCGGGAGAGGAGCGAGAGGCTGAGAGCGGGCAGGTGAGGAGCTGTGTGTGAGTGTGTGAGAGGGGGAGAGGGAGTGAGGGAGAGAGAGAGAGGGAGGGAGAGAGAGTGTTAGAGGGAGGGAGGGAGAGAGAGAGAGAGAGGGAGAGTGTTAGAGGGAGGGAGAGCGTGTGAGAGGGGGGAGTGAGAGGGAGTGAGAGAGGGGGGGAGGGAGTGAGTGTGAGAGAGGGAGGGAGGGAGAGTGTGAGAGGGAGGGGTGAGTGTGTGAGAGGGAGGGAGGGAGGGGTGAGTGTGTGAGAGGGAGGGAGGGGGAGTGAGAGGGAGGGAGGGGGAGTGAGAGGGAGGGAGGGGAGTGAGAGGGAGGGAGGGGAGGGAGGGGGAGTGAGAGGGAGTGAGGGGGAGTGAGGGGGAGTGAGAGGGAGGGAGGGGGAGTGAGAGGGAGTGAGAGGGAGGGAGGGAGTGTGAGAGGGAGTGAGAGGGATGGAGAGTGTGAGAGGGAGGGAGAGTGTGAGAGGGAGGGAGGGGGAGTGAGAGGGAGGGGGGGGGAGTGAGAGGGAGGGAGGGAGTGTGAGAGGGAGGGAGAGTGTGAGAGGGAGGGAGGGAGTGTGAGAGGGAGGGAGGGAGTGTGAGAGGGAGGGAGGGGGAGTGAGAGGGAGAGTGAGAGGGAGGGAGGTAGGGGGAGTGAGAGTGTGAGAGGGAGGGGGAGAGAGAGTGAGAGGGAGGGGGAGTGAGAGTGTGAGAGGGAGGGGGAGTGAGAGTGTGAGAGGGAGGGAGGGGGAGTGAGAGTGTGAGAGGGAGGGGGAGTGAGAGTGTGAGAGGGAGGGGGAGTGAGTGTGTGAAAGGGAGGGAGTGAGTGTGTGAAAGGGAGGGAGTGAGTGTGTGAAAGGGAGGGAGTGAGTGTGTGAGAGGGAGGGGGAGTGAGTGTGTGAGAGGGAGGGAGTGAGTGTGTGAGAGGGAGGGAGGGAGTGAGAGTGTGAGAGGAAGGGGGAGAGAGAGGGAGGGAGGGAGGGGGAGTGAGAGTGTGAGAGGGAGGGGGAGTGAGAGTGTGAGAGGAAGGGGGAGAGAGTGTGAGAGGAAGGGGGAGTGAGTGTGTGAGAGGGAGGGGGAGTGAGTGTGTGAGAGGGAGGGAGTGAGTGTGTGAGAGGGAGGGAGGGAGTGAGAGTGTGAGAGGAAGGGGGAGAGAGTGTGAGAGGGAGGGAGAGAGTGTGAGAGGGAGGGAGGGGGAGTGAGTGTGTGAGAGGGAGTGAGTGTGTGAGAGGGAGGGAGGGAGTGAGTGTGTGAGAGGGAGTGAGTGTGTGAGAGGGAGGGAGGGAGTGAGTGTGTGAGAGGGAGGGAGTGAGTGTGAGCGGCGGCTGCCCCTCTGCCACAGGCTGCGGTGGCATTGAATCAGCAGTGACTGGGGCTCTGGTTACAGTGTATATCGGCGCCTCTGCACAAAGTCACACCAACATCAACACCGCCTCCCATTCCCAGCCCTTCCCTTCCCACTTTCAAATGTTAAGGAACAACTCATTCCCTGTGTGGTCCCTGGTCTTTGTGTGTGTGTGTGTGTGTGGGGGGGGATATTAAACTGATCATTGTATTTGTATGTGTGGTTTCCATCTATTTTCTCCCCCTTTAAAGGCTCCTCTGTCTCTGCTTTGCTCTGTCTGTGCTCTGTCTTTGCTCTGTCTCTGCCTTTGCTTTTCTCTGTCTCTGCCTTTGCTTTTCTCTGTCTTTGCTTTTCTCTGTCTCTGCCTTTGCTTTTCTCTGTCTCTTGCCTTTGCTCTGTCTCTGCTTTTCTCTGTCTCTGCCTTTGCTTTGCTCGGTCTCTGCTTTTCTCTCTCTGCTTTGCTCTGCCTTTGCTTTTCTCTGTCTCTCCCTTTGCTTTTCTCTGTCTCTCCCTTTGCTTTTCTCTGTCTCTGCCTTTGCTTTTCTCTGTCTCTGCCTTTGCTTTTCTCTGTCTCTGCCTTTGCTTTGCTCTGTCTCTGCCTTTGCTTTGCTCTGTCTCTGCTCTAACCCCCCGCCGCCGCCCCCCCCCCACCCCACCCACCGCGGCGCCCACCACCACTTTTGCTGGGAGACCGGGATTTTTTTTAAAAAAAAATTCCCCTTAAGGGTGGAGGAGAGCCCGAGTCAGTCAGCGTTACATCGGGAATCATCGGTAGCAAAATGTACATTTGAAATGCATGTCATAAAATCGAAGAGTTGTTGGTTGCACTGACTGTTCGTTTCTCCCCCCACCACCACCTCTCTCTCTCTTTCTCTCTCTCTCTAAGAAACGTCCCGAGGGGTGTGGGAGCGATTTGAGGCTGAAATATAACCAGATCCCATTTATATCTATTGTCAGTTTCCATAAGGAAAAAAAGCTGTTGTTTTATTAGGGAACCCGCCACCCCGCACCCCACCTCTCCTCTCCCCTCGCTTTCGTTTTGCTACAGTCACAAATTGATCTCGTGTGTGTGTGTGTGTTTTTTATTTATATGTATAATATAAATAAACCAAACAAAATACCATTTTTTTTTAAAAAAAAAACACACACACACACACCCACACCCGGCGAGGTTTGCTCTGCCGGACGCTCGGTATCACTGTAACATCATGGAAGCAACAAATAGGGTCCACCTTAAAAGGCATTGATTTATTTATTTTCTCTCTCTCTCTCTCTCTCTCTCCCAAATGGGGCCGAGGTTATTCATTCTGTAGCTTAAAACTCCTGACCCAACTTTTTATTCCTTCACGTCGGGGGGAGATGTTTCTGTCTGTCTGTCTGTGTCTGTCTGTCTGTGTCTGTCTGTCCATCGCCAGTGGCTGCGGTTCATTGTGGTCGCGGTTCATTGCGGGTGGAGCTGCTCTTTGTCTGTGTAAAGTTTTATTTAATGTGCTATTTCAGCTGGACGGTGTGTGGGTGGGTGTGTGGGTTTTTTTTGGGGGGGGAAGAGGTGTAAACCAATACTGACTGTGTTCCTGTGTTGCAGAAGCCGGACTTTGATATGGACAACCTCAGCAAACCCGACCAACTGACGCTCCTCAGCATCCTCGAGGGGGAACTGGAAGCCAGGGATCTGGTGATCGAAGCTTTAAGGGTAGGTCAGATGGTTTCACTCCCCCCACCCCCCATCCTCTCTCTCTCTCTCTGCTGCTGCTGTTTTCCCTTTGTAGCACTTGATAAAAATGCTTACAAAGAACACCCTTTGTTCTGCACATCAGTCCCTCACACTGCTACGTTTCCTCTCTCCCACACACCCCCAGTAAAAAAATAACAAGTGAGGGGATGTTTGTACGATTCCCACCCACCTGCTCCCACCCGTTCAGATTGGCAGATAACAAGTTAATGATTAATGTTCCTTGGTTTGCTCTCTGACACTCTGATGGCTTAAGCGATGAAGTCACGGTGTCACGACTTGAACTGTGCAGCACTGAAATGTGATTGCTTTTACTGCAAAACTTTGTGAGGTGTCGCTTCAGTACAATGTGCGAAGCTTACAGTTAAGTCAGGCTCCTAACAAATCAGAGCCATTGCATTGCTTTTTCTAGATTGTTAAGAATCTCAGGGTTGCTGGACCTGGAGATGAATTATAAAGTATAATAAAATGCTTTGGAAGTGTCTATTCTGTTGGCTTGGGATTGCAGGCATTGATGAGACTGTCCTTTTGTTTGATGCTTTCAACCATCTGTGAATCTAGAATGGGACATGTTGAATAAAATAATATGTGATTGTTGATGGCCCAATATTTGTACAAAAGAACTGTCCGAAATTTCAGTTTCAAACCCATGCTCACTCCCACTGCAGCCCTGCAGTCTTTATAATCATTTGTTTCTGCTGCATATATGGAATACAAGACCCACCCTGGGTAATATTGATTAAAAGCCTGATGGGGTGAGTCTGGTCCTTGTATAACGCATTCCTGGTTTTACCTTAACATTTCAGTATGTTGAGGTCAGTGCATTCCGATCCAGTAAAAAATAACCTTCCCCTCTTTTTTGAGGTCAGGGGGCGAGGGTACTAATGAACCACTTAGGTGTCTGATACCCAGAATTGACGCACTAAATATCTAAGGGGATGTGTACTGTGCTTTTTGAGACAGCTATTCTATGTACTAGGTCAAGAGCGTATGTAGTTGGTGTTTTGATGTATCTTGGGAAGTGATGTAATGCAAGCTGTGTACAGTTAGGTTAACAAGCCAAGGTGGTTCATGTTGGTGACCCACATTGAAACAAACCTCCCAAATGTAGGACGACTATGGATGCCCTATTTTCACTGTGGTTCTCACTGCGCTGTGACCTAATATTCCTGCCATCGAGGGGAGTAGAAATACAATCTGGGTCTGGATTTCTTCAGAACGCCCAAGAAATTGGCAAATTCTTAAATACAGTCCTAATTCTACCTTAAAAAGCCATTTTCCTGTATGTTTGTATTGAGAAATAACAAAAAAAGGCTTTGAAGTTGAGGCTGAATTTAACAATTTGCCTGAGTTGGGCACTCTAAAATCCTAAGGAAATAGAGTGAAGTTAGACACAGGTGGAATTTCTACCCACCTGCATGTTAAAATGAGCTGTAACATTGACACTAACACTCTTGTCTTTTAGTGCGTTAAAGCATTTTAATTGGTATTTCTTCCTTGGTAGCAATGCCAGTGTCTTTTGGGCTTTTGCCATAGAGTCAGGGCTTGACATTATCACTACCTCAGGAGCTGCTATTTGAAGCTGGCGTATCCAGTGTTTAACCTCAATGACCTTCCTAAAATAACCGACTTGTAAACATGGGGTCACCAGTTACTTCAGTTACTTGAATCTTCTGTTAAAACTTTCAATTTTATTCTCCCCCCACCCCAATTATGTGGGAATTTGCCTGGGAGTTGTGTGTGTGCATGATTGAAAATTTTAAAGATACATTTTTGTTGTAAATTGTAAAGAAATTTGGAATCTAATTTAATAGTTTCAGATTGTTTTGGTAAATCCTTTATAAATGGTTCGGTGGCGAGGAGGGGAGGAAATGCTATCCTCATGCCCATTTGGTGGCGTGAACATGGAATTGAACTACACAGACTAGGACAGTTCCAGGTTTTATCCTTGGTCTGTGCTTCGAGTTAGATGATCTCAGCTATAGGCAGCAGTAGGAGATTCACAATTGACTTCATTGCCTGAGCTGGGAAGCAAATACAGTAGAACCTCACTAAATCCGGTCACTCAAGGGACTGGACAAAAATGACCTACTTAGTGAGGTGACCTGATTACTGAAACAGGTCGGGTGATTCAGGTCACTGATGTAATGTTAAGGGCATTGGTAATGGGCAAGGGTGATGAACATTCAACAGCCATGCTTTGCAATCTCATTAAAATAAAGGCATTGTCACATTTAAAATAAAAGCTGTCATGTATTTAGCCTTCCTTTTGAGAATCCATCCAACTTGTGTTGTGCCAGTGCCATAGGTCACAGCTAGCTGTCAATGATTTTTGTCCTCACTGTTTTTGATTAAGTCCCCTCTCTCACGTAAGGACAAGTCCTTCCGTGGTGGCATGTCTTACACTTGTCAACAGTCACTAAATCAAAACAATGTACACACAAACCATGTGCTCTGAATACAGCTCTTACCAAGAGTTGGCTTCAGGAGCACAGGTTAGGCCGTGGGCGCCAGGCAAAGGTAAGTTTTCCGCTCGCGCTGCTTCCGTGTTCCCAACACGCCCCCACACCGTGCATGCGCGACCGAAACCCACTCCACCTACAGTAGCAGCATCGAGGAAACAGCGCGAGAAGCCCGAGGCCTAGCGCACTGTGTACTGTACAGGTTAGCAGTGGAGGGGATGTTTGTACCGCGTTTGAAGTGGAGGGGGACGGTGTAGCCACCGCATTCAGTGACCGTTATCCTGCATAATGAGATGCCCGGTTTACTGAATTCGACAGACAGTCTAGCTTTTAGCATTGACAATGAAAGAGACTGAAAATGTACTCGAAATTATGAGGTGGCTGGATTACTGAGGTGACCACAAGCTGGGTTTCTACTGTAGCCATGCAAGTTTCCCACTTCTGGTTGTGACGTGCACCCCCCCACCCCCTCCCCCCCCCAAACACACACACACATTCAAGGAAAGTGGGCATGTGTGGCCATCAGGCGAGGAGAGGATTGGGCTTGGGTATACTGTATATCTCCCACAGTGCATGGTTCGCCAACACAATTGAAGAATGATAACCTGGATGAGATACTTCAAAGTGGTTGCTACCTGTAGAACTGCAACTCTGCATCTCAAGGAAAGGAACATTTACAATACATTGGGGGAAAAGACCGTGATTTAGTGTTAATGTCACGTAAAACATTTTTTTGATCTGGGATCAGTGTCAGAAATTTCTAATGTTCAACATAATGCCTCAAGGTAGCTGAAAGTGAGAGAGAGAGAGAGAGAAAGAAATGTATGTCCCTTGTCAGTTAAGTCTTGTGTGGTTAGTGAATTATATATTCCAAAGTATTCTAGTGCAGATGGCAAACTTACAAGTATGCCCAACCTATAGTGTATTTGGGAGCAGGATTTAGACCATAGAAAGCTACAGGCCATTGCAATCCATCTTCCTGGTCCCAATGTACAAGAAAGTTTTGCACTATTCTCTCTCTCTCATACTTCTCAAGTTGCTGTCTTGCTGTGTTTGGGCTCTTTCTGCTGCAAATGCTTTAATTTGTGATCAGAGAGCATTTTCATGCAGTGGTGCTAAATGGTGCATTGTTCTTAGAATTCCTGTTGGGAGGCTGCTCGCTGGTGAGTTCAGTGTAGTAACCTTCTGTGCTGGCTCTCGTGAAACATTATAGCACTTCTGAAGCCAACTTTGGTTGATTGGGGACATAAATTTCTTCACTAAGTGCCTACTCTTCTCGAACATAGCAACTCATTTGTAAGGCACCTTTGAAAGTGGAGCTAATGTTACTGAGGTGTGTAATAACCACAGGGACAATTCCTGTGTGTGTGCGTCTATGTGTGCATTTTCTTGAGAGTTTTACACCATTGTGCCGCTGGGTACAATGCTTGGTAATTCTGAATGTGGGTTCATTGTTTGCATGAATTTTGAGGAATGCTGACATTTAGGGAGAAGCTATTAAATTCAGAACATGAGCTGTGCTGGTAGTTTTGTGACTGCTTTTTACAGTTTCTGGATTCGTTCCTTTAACCGTTTGTAAAGCCTGTTATTGCAGCTTTAGATTGAGATAAACAGTTGAAAGTGTGTCATGAAAAGGTTTAGAGGCCTCTGCAGTTTTTGCTTCAGGCTCCTCAGACTAAAGTCTGTTGATGACTTCACAGAAAGTATAGTGTTCAATCTTGGAAGAAATCCTGAGAGTGGAGCACAGATTACAGTGAGGGACGGTTAAGTCAGTGGAGTCATTGTCAGATGACACAGTAGCGTAATTGGATAGATTTTGCATAACATTTTTTAGGGTCAGTATGGGAGGCATTGGTGCAATGTTTTTGGTGTTTCTCATCCTAATGGAGTCATTGAATATTCTGGATTTGATTTGATTGTCTGAATTTTGACAATCTATGTCGTTTGCTATGCAGTTTTAGCTGGTTAATGTCAATCAGCACACACCTTGGGGTCCCCAAGTTTTGGCTCTCACCACCTGCACCGAATACTCTCCTGAATTCGGTAGCAGGTGTGACCCTTCGGGGAGAGAGTGAGTGCGCCATTTGTTCCAGACATAGGGAAATTTTGCCCACAAAATATACAGTCGATTCATTTTACAGTGTATTCTGTAAAGCCCTTTGAGATGTCTTAGAGATGTGATAAGGCACTATATCAACCGCAAGGACTGTTTTTATTTCCATGTGTAGATTACATACCTTTGTGGAACTCTGAGTCTGATTTGAATACTCTTAAGCATGTTGACGGATTTCCGCATGAGTCAGATACCCGGCTGAGCGAAACAAAAATCCCTTGTGGGTTCAGGGACTATCTTTGTAGAACTTTCCCCAAGTGATGGCGGGTCAGGTGAAGTCTACGATAGGGTAGCTTTTGCCCAGCTGTGGAACGAATTGGCTCAATGGACTGAATGGTCTTTTCTCTTTTCATATTTTATGTTCTCAAAGATAGGACCAATAAGAC